GCCTTTGTGTTGGCAACTAGCTCAAACCAGGGCGTTATAACGCGTGCATCTTCGTTAAGGGCTCGCTGGCGATCATATGGACGGCTCCTTCGAAGCTTGATCTCAGGCGTACGCGTCTTGAAGTTGTCTACCCAGTGCTTGCCAACAGGCTCTCCACCGCGCTCAGCAAGCAGATCATTGGCCATATCTCGCACCATAGCCTTTGTAGCAGGTATTCCTCTTGTGTCAAGCTCAAGTATACGTTGTACAAGGGCCTCCTCCTCCAGTTTGCTCAGCTTCTTTGAATTGGGCTCGCGATCGCGTTGAGAGAGGGCTCCTTGGCGTCGTCGGCGGACAGTAGTTCGAGGTACGCTGAAGGCTGCAATAGCGCGTCTTTCGCTCTTGTCGCGATCTTTAATTATAGCTTGGATAGCAAGCTGTAAGGTCCCTTCAGTATAGGTTAATTGCACGTTGCGTTGGGATGGCATTGTAATGCAAAGTAGTTATTAGGCTATCATGGTTGGGATGGACCGCTCGCTTGGGTTGGACCGCTCGCTTGTGAACTACGTTATATAGACAATAATAGTGCTAGCCAGCTAGCTTTGCCTCTAGCTGCTATAAGCGCTATGCCACGTGTCGTGTTCGTGCATAGTCGTTACAAAAGTGACCGGCTCGCCCGTTGACCGGCTCGCCCGTGAGGTACGTTACCTAACCCATTTACCAGCCTATGCATGTATTAGTATGTAACAATTTACTAAATAAACCAGGCACGTACCTTGCAAAGTAAACCTTACCTATTTACTAGCCTATTAGCAACCTAACTGCATGCTAATCTGCTTAGCAATCTTAACAGTAGGTTAGGGTTAGGTAGGGGTTGCTCCACTTTTAGGCCGGGTTGGAATTAAATACCATGTAACGCAACCTGACCCCAACCCAACCCCAGCCTATTTACCAGCTTAGTGACAACGCTTTATGTTTAAGGATGAATAATGTAACAAACAGAACGCTATACAATTGGTCTATCGACTTTAGTATGCTATGGTTCAAAGGAAAGGCACCTATTGATAACACAACCCTTTATTAACTATTAGAAGGAGCTCAGTTCAAGGCACTTCTTTTAACCCGTCTGTGAGGAGGACACGGTCTTGGGTTCGGGTTCGGGTTCAGTGGACTCGGCCTGTCATAAGCGACAATTTGCTTCCAAACAGTGCTGTAATGTCTCTCAAAATCGCCGTCCTTGAAAGCAGGGTGCGCAGTCTTCCACTCATACTGAAGCATGACCTTCTTCAATGACTCGGTCATACTCTCAATGCCGATCAGTGGAGCTTGGAAGTATTTGTGGAGAGGATTCTGTGGTGTATCCTCCTTTTGTGCCCGTCGGAACGCATGTGTTCCCATGTTGCTTGCGTACAAAAACTTGGGAGAGTTGCCGTCCCATTGTGCTTGGTTGGATTTGCAGACTGACCAATCGCCGTGTGCAGACCATGCGAGCCATTTCGCATCGCCGTTTTTGGTCCAGACCCAGAGATGCTCCCAGTCGTGTTTGTGACCGCGATCGCTGGCAAAGCCTTGGCCCTCGTCTTTCTCGAAATAGTAGGCGTAGAGGTATGCGCACCAGCCGTCGTTGGTGCACTTCTCTCGAACGTAGGTGTTGGAATGGGAGATACGGTTTATATAGCGACATTTGGTGACGTCTAGTTGAGCCCATCGCACGCATTTATTGTCATCGTCCCGTTGGCGACAGCTGCGGTCGCCGAGTTCGAGGCCACTATTGGTATGGCCGTTTCTATCGATGGCGGCAGTCTGGTAACAGGCAATTTTATCAAAGTCGACCGCAGGCTGATACCTGAGAGCGCCAGCTGAAGCTTTCTGTGGGAGAGGTGCCTGAACCAAGTAGTCGGCAATAACGGTGGAGATGGTGGCTAGGAAACTGAGGACGCTAATGCTAGAAGTATACATAGTCGCCTGGATGAGACGAAAGATTGAGTAGTGGTTGAGTAGAATGATTTGATGCGGTTCATGGCATGCTCGACCTCACCTTATATACTCAACATCAGCCCAAACGCGACTGGATCTTCTTGACATGGATAGCGGTGTTCTAAACGCTGAGTCTCCCTATAGAAGATGCTGCCTTACGGATACAACACGACCGAATCTTGCTCTTCCTGTCACTCATGTTCTTTGAAGCGACGAAGAGAAATGGCGGAGCTGGACAAAAGCTACGCATTTGTACTCACCGTTAAAATCAGCATGAGTAGGCGTTGCGTATCTTGGCAGATTACATCTGACGTGATCCATGCGACGTGACTGGCATGCCGGTTGTGCGTGATGCGCGAGCCGCAAGCTGAGTCGCGTAAAGCTGGCAATCTATCAGGGTCAACGTCGTATTCGCTTTCTATCCTTGAGCTACAAGTCGCACCGCCAACTAATGTACGCTGAGCCTCGTGAACTGAATGTTGGTTGGCAAGTTACCAGCTGCCGGTACTTAGAGCAGCAGCATTCACCGTCTGCTGAGCCACTAGCATCAAGGTCGTCAAGACATGATGGGACCGTGAGAATGAGAGTGTAGAAAGTGCTCAACATGCTGCTGATTTATTCTGGGTAGCCACCAGTTGCAGCGCAAATATAAGCGCGATATATACAGGGGAGGTCATGATGGCTCCCGGTTTGCACTTTTATTTGTTCTCTGCTCGCTAAACAAGCACTATACTAGACGGCAACGTAGACAAGATAACTTGCTTTCAACGTCCTGTTTCGTATGTGAAGATTGAGTATCTTGCGGCGCTAATATATGAGTCGTGGTTTAGGATGAAGACGGCCTCCTCATTGGCGGCGTGATAGCATGTGGCATCCATCCATGGGAACGCGTTGCAGACACGGACCACAAACAGTGCATCCTATGCATACGCATGCAGCCCAGCGAGAAGGACGCAGCACATCTTGTGTAATGTGAACGCAACAGCTGGAGCTACCATTGAATTCCGAACCGTCTGCAACACCCATCGGCCCAATCTATATCTTCACGCCAATAGGTACAAGAACAACGGTACTCACGCGCCTCCACGAACACCGACCCGCGAACAAGATGCAGCGAAGTCAGAGCACCCTCCTCCCACACGCTTGAACAAAAGAAGTGTCGGCCGTGAAGAAAGCCCTGTACTGTGAAATGAAACGGTATGTCGAAGCTAAATCCGCTGATGCAAAATGCCTGAGCCGTGAAAAGCCTCCGAAACAAAGAGAAAGGTAGTAGTACTGAAAGACGCCAAACGCCGATCGCTGTATGAGTGTGCGATGATGATGCTTGGAAGGAGAGCGGATGTATCTGTGTACGATGATCCAATATGTATACGGTGAGGTGGGTTGGCAGACAGTTCTATGTGAATGTCTAGAAGTTTGTCGCGGGGCTGGTGGGTAATCTGTTGAGTAGAGATGGGCCAGATTCGACGTATTCTACGTGGATCGCGATTGCTGACATCTTCTGGGTTTGAGGACTATACTAAAAGTTCGCTAGCCCGTTCTTCGAGTGTCGCTTGCTGAACCGTTTCCTGCTCTTGACCGAGTCTGCATCGGCACGGTCTTTGTGGAGATGTCCGTGGCGCGAAGCAGGAATATTAACGCCGTCAAGGGCAGAGTCGCCGCCTAGGGAGCTGGGTGTAGATATTGAGCCGAGTTCAGACAGGGCCAGATCGTTGGTGGGAGCCTGCGATAGAGCGTATTCTCTCGCTTGCTCGATGCTGTCGATCCATTCCTGGCTTGAATATTTGCTGCCATCAGGGTCGCTGGTGGTACTCTTGGGATCTTCGAAGACGAATTGCTTGTCACGCTGCAGAGTTGTTAGTCAGTAAGTCTAGGTGTGAGCGTGTTGACGTACTGTTTCCACAAGCCAAGCTGTCAACCCCTTCGAGTCCTGGAAGGAGCGCCACGAGCAGCCAGCAGTGAGCAATGACACTTCCTCTTTGAGCTTTTTGTCATTTGTGCCAGCGGCGCACATCAAAACACGAGCATTGCTAGTGATCATGACGAGACGCTGTCGCTTCTTGATGGTGTTGCTGCTGAAGAACCTGGAGAATTTCTTGGGTGCTTCTGCAGCCTCGGTCGCCCCACCTACAGGATGACCTGCAGGGTGTTGGGTGATGAAGAAATTGCCGAGCTTCAGAATGCGCTCATCCCGTTTGGTGAGAACGGGTGACCAGTCGATGTCAAGCTGACTAGGAGGCGGCAGCTCTGTGATGAGTCTAGGTTTGGGTCGCAACTGTGCAGGAGGTGGAGCTCCAGTATTTGAAGGGCCTATAACGTGTTATAAAGTGCTCGTATTGACAGATAGGACTATACTAACCATTGAGTTTGATGGGCTCTTGCGGGGGTGGGCTGTAAGACTTTAGGCGTGGTGCCTTCTGCTTCCATAGCCCTTTGCCCCATATGATGCTTTCGAAGAAAGGATGTGTTTTGATGTGTTCCATGGGAAGACGTGTTAGTGGATCGAGGACCAGCAATCTCTCGACCAGATCCCTCGCCAGCGGAGGGAAGCCTTCGGGGAAGCTGTACTCCAAACCGACAATCTTCTGGAAAGTCATATACTCGTTGGCTGCCTTGAAAGGTGGTCTTCCAGCAATGAGCTGGTAGATGATGCACCCAAACGCCCACAGATCACTGGCTTTGCAGGCGTTCTTGTCTGTGAGGAGCTCGGGGGAGACATACTCTGCCGTCCCAACAAATGACTGTGCACGGTCCGATTCGACGACCTCCATTGGATCTCCGATTGTGGCTCCAGAGCCATTCGACTTTTTTAAATCCAGGATCTTTGCTGTTCCAAAGTCGGTGATCTTGACATGCATCTGGTCGTCTAGGAGAACGTTCTCTGGTTTCAAGTCGCGGTGTATGATGCCTTTGGAGTGCATGTAATCGATCGCATCCAGTATCTGGGCACCGTAGAAGCGTGTGCATTCGACATCGAAAGTGCCCATCTTCTTGAGAAAGCCAAGCAGCTCTCCGCCAGAAGCCAGGTCGAGAACGAAGTATAGCGAGCGCTCGTCCTGGAACGTGTAGTATAAGCGTACAACGCCTGGGTGCTCGGTAAGGCGGTTCAGGGTGTCCTTCTCGATGTTCACGTATTTGACCTTCTTCTCCTTGATGATGTGGCGCTTGTCGAGCACCTTGATCGCGTACTCGCGCAGGGTCTGTCTGTCGGTCGCGGCCAGAACGGTACTGTATGAGCCTTCGCCCAGGGTTCTGCCAAAGTTGAAGTCCTTCACCCCTTTCTTGACCACCCGTGTGATCGGCCGCCCGTTTTGGTCCACCTCTTGCCTTGTGCTGATCGCGGCGCCCTTCTCTTTCCACTCCTCGCTGCTCGATAGGGGGCCTCCTTCCATGCTATATGGCGAGCTGGACAGCTGCGGGGCTAGACCAGCGTCGTCCATGGGCATCCGTCTCGAGCTTCGCCGGGGCGGCAGGGGGCCGTTGAGGCCAGACATCAGGGCTGACTGTCGGTACGGATCTCGTCTGCTGGGTTCACGTACAGGCATGGCATTGGGCGCTACTCGCGAGCTGCTCGTGCGCCGTATGTCTGAGGTCATGCCCTCGTCGTTGTAGCGGTACGTGCCCGGCGCGGTGGTGGAGCTGGTGGAGAGGTTGGGGTGGTTGTACATGCTCGTCGAAACGGGCCGCTCGCGCATGGCCTGGGACAGGGCCTGCGGCTGGGGGCCATTGCGCTGCTGCATGAGGGCCCCGGCGGCGTAGGACGGGTACGACACCTGCTGCTGGGCCTGGTGGGCAAGCGGCATGCTCTGGCGGTGGGCGAGACGGGGCGAGCGGGATGACGACGACGACGATGACACGGCGGCGAGGGGGGAGGTGTGGCCCAGCGGCGACGACGACTGCGGCGGAGTGGTACCGTAGGCGTTCGGGGGGTTGGGCGCGAGGCCCCGCGACGACAGGGCGGGCGACGGCAGCGGCTCTGCGGTCGCATAGGCATGGGCGGGCGGATCGAGGGTGTAGCTCTGGGCTGGCGCAGGCTTCTGGCGCTCCGTGACGGTGCTGCTGCTCGATGCCTGCGACGGCCGGCGGCGCAGTGGTGGCAGTGCGCCCACGCTCTCCTCGGGGCCCGTCGGTGTCTGCAGCGGGCGGCGCTCCTGGACGGGCTCCGGCGACTGCGAGGGCGGCGCGATCGGGTCGTCCTCGTCTGGGTTCGCGATACGCAGCCCGCCGAGGGACTGCGACAGGCTCAGGTCGCCATTCATCGTGGCAGCCGCTGGGCAGCTCTGGCGGTGAGCAGGCGAGGCTGCAGAGGCTCTGGCAGCCACGGGAACGCCCGCGGCACGTCGGGTGCAATTAGTTCAGCGGACAGGAACTGTGCCAGGAACGAGGGACATGGGAACGCCCCGCGACCAGTATACGGGAAGAGCAGCTAGGCCTGGAGGTGAGGATGGAGACCCGTGACGCGGCGCGCTTGATGTCGACGACCGACCGACAACCGCTCGGCCACGGCAAAACCCACCGCAGCTACTGTTCAGGCCCCAGCACCAGCACAGGCACCAGCACCAGCAACAGCGCCAGCAACAGCACCGCTGGTCGGCACGGCACCTCAACGGCTGCATCCTGCCCAGAGTGTCTCTATGAGACTCTATGAGACTCTATGAGACTCTATGAGAGGCTCTTTTGACGCGCACACTATCACCTGTGCGACGTGTGGTGCAGCCGGTGCATCATCGCCGCGAGACACCCGGGCCGTGGTTACGCACAGCCAATATAGCACATGCATCCTGCCCTGCTGCGCTTCCATATCGGTTTGTCTCAAGCCTGAGCCCAGCCACCGATTGGCTCGCCTCGCCATGGACGATTGCATTGGGCAGGTGCATCGACGCAACTTTGGAGACTGATCTTGCACTGCAGCCGGCTGCATAGCATGACGCTCGGACGTGTAGATTCCATGGATCCACACGCTACGACTCCCCATCACTGGTGATTGCTGACCAGGTCCATGGTAGAGACGGACATGATGCATTGCAAACGCTGCGCGGTTTGCGCCTGCCCACGGTAGGCACTCACTAGAAGGCGCTCTCCAACCTTGGAGCAACCTTGGAACTACGCTCGTGGTGAGCATCGTCAAACATCACACACCCCTTCCATAACAGCACAATGACAGCGACGACCACACACTGCCATGGCAGGCGTTCACCATGTGTCGTTCTGCTGTTGTCCAAATACTCACAGCTGCTCAACACACACCTCACTTCATCCTCTCTTTGTTTTGGTCCTTTTGGCTTTATAGCATCCTCATATCCGTCTTTCGTTGACTATTGTCGAACCTATGCTTCGTTTAAAACCCTCGGAGCTGACCCTGACGCCTGACGATATCGACGAAACCCTTCGCCGCATGGCACGTCGACAGCAGTCAAGGCCCCCAGCAGCTCAAGGACAACGACGAACAAAACCCAATGGCAGGCCACCACCGCCTAAGCTAGTGTCCGGTGCACAACGATCTGTGAGGGATGCTATCACACACCTCGGCAACATGCCCGCGTTGCAGCCTCAACATGCCATGATTGCGCACGTGGACGATGAGTCTGATGAAACTGACGAGACCCTGGCCGACCCAGTACAACGTGTGGAGAGCTCGCCAGACCCTGTCAGCCTCTACACACACCCTGTACAGCTCGCGTCTGCTTCATCTACAGCTGTGGCCCCTTCACATCGTCACAGTACTCGACTGCCTTTTCGACTTGGACGTTCTCGCAGAAGGCAAGACAACGATCAAGAGCTAGCCTCGTCGCCGAAAGAGCATTCCGATGATTCTGAAGGAACCCTAGTCGAGCCACCGGGTCTTCCAACAGAGACGACTGCCGTAGCTGACCCGGCCACTCCCAGTCGAAGGAGGCAGATCGGAGAGTCTAATGCAGGCTCCTCGCCAATACGTCAACGCAGCCCACCAGCTTCTCCACCAAGCCTGCGGGGTGGAGCAAGTCGTCCTCAGAGAAACCGTGTTCGATCCGTTGGTCAAGAAGCGCTTTATGCTCCGTCACCGCTTCGTCAGGCCCAGGTGCCCAGCCCAGCTTACTCACCAGAAGTCGCGTCACCCAACTCGGACGAGGGACGCCCGCGCATGCACTTGAAAGGCTACTTCGCAGACCGACAGGACCCAGTGCCTAGGCGAGTTGATAGTGGCGACTTCACAGAAGCCACGGAGACGATGAGTGCAACCAGCTATACATTCCAGGAGACTGTGCCACGTGCTCCACACACTGAGCCATTTCGAAGGACTAGCCAACCACGATTTCATTCGCGAAGCCAATCTTCCAACGATGCTCCGCCTTCACGTCTTTTCGTGCCAACACCACATTCGCCGTACATTTCTCAAGGCGAGGATATCTTTTGGACCGCTTCCACATCCACGCCGGAGTGTTCTATCAACGACAAATTGGGCAGTCGGGCAAGACAGCACAGCAGTGAGATGTCGAACACGAGCTTAGCCTACTCGTACTATGAGCTCCCGGACAACCGACAGTCGAGTGGAGAGCATTCAGCGCAAGTATCACTTTCACAATCACAGCATGACGGGGTGGCAGCCTCCAGACAGGCGAGTCGCGGCACATATCGCTCGTTCAAGCTATCAGATGGCCGATCGCTTCACCCAGCCGGTGACCCGTCGAAATTTCCGGTCCTGATTCGTAGACCGCCTGACCAGCAGAGTGCCTCACCTCTACCCGCGGAGCCGTACGGGCGCCCGTCCGCAGGGAACCTTGGTACACGCTTCCAACAAGCTATTCACCGCTATGTCAGTTCAGACAGTTCGAGCCGCGAAGTCCCAACCGACGCCACGGCAGCGACTATGGAGGAGCGTGCCTCACCCTTGGATGTGCTTGAAGCTCAAATTGAGCGGGCGTCACATCATGTTGGCGAGCAACAAGGACGACAATACAGACGCAGCCATCCTGAGAGTGGACAATCGGCTTATCGCACTGCGGGCCCAGGCATAAGCTCTTTTGATCAATTCCAATTTACATACGGCGCATCCTCCAATGCGTTTGATCAGCCTGCAAGCATGCTTGGTCCATCTCAGGGCGAGTTTGGCGCTCCGATGGCTATGGCCGATGATCCTTACACGAGAGGGGTATCTGCTCACGTAGGACGGTCTTACGGCTCTACTGTGCGTCCTATCTCAGCCCAGCCTGTTCCTGCTGCCTCCCACGCCGCCCCGCCATATGCAAGAAGTACGCATGGAGGGCGAAGCGTCCAACGCTCTAGCGAGAATGCTCCTGTTGGCTCTTCCGGTCAAGAAAGACGAACTGCCCGGGCCTCCCAGGTGCAAGACCACGTCTCAGCATTCGAACAAATGCAGAACGCGGCGCAACCAAGGCAAGTCTGGCTCCAGAAGGGAAGCGTACGATCAAAGACTGACTACTGCAGACATACACGACAGCGAACAGAAGTACCGCAAGAGGCACCAGTTCAACATCAGCATGAGCAGCAAAGCAGTCCCATCTTTGGGGCCCCAATCTGGAGTGTTCCTCCGCGCCACAGCTCACACCAACATGGTGCACTTTCACCTGGTCAGGGCAATGCTGGACGGCGCTCTGCTCGAATGGACCCTCGCCTGCAGAACCAAGAGAATTCAGGCGAAGCGGAGATCGAGATGATGAGGCAAGAGCTGGAGTCGGTCAGGATGCGGCATGATGAGGGCCAGCAGGGCGATGTGATGGATGAGACACCTCCAAGGATTGGACGAGTGGAGAGGCACATGTGAAGATAGTCTCTAGTCTATGAGGATATGGCTATTGCACAACACGGCTGACGAGTAGTCTACAACACCACGATAGCAAGATAGACACCAACTTTGCATAATTTGAGTATAACAAGATTTCTAATTAATCTCCTGCTCTACTTGGGGTCTCTTGGTGCTGTGTTCTTGTTTCGGCCGGCTCAAGCATCATCTGCATGTGATGCGTTTGCCATACCTCGTCCTCCTCATCTACGCCTACGATGTCAAAGCCTTGCTTCTCCCAGAAACGGATGGCACCAGGTAAGAAAGGATGTGTGTGCAGATACATGCACTGTACTCTAGATGCTACCGCGTGGTCTTGAAGGGACCGAAAGAGGGACGCCGCGAGGCCATGCCGTCGGTACTGGGGTAGGACAAATAGACGGAGGACTTCGACGATCCTGCATGGCTTTTCGAAATAGTGAACAGGTGTGTTGAGTGATGATGTGGAGGAGTTGGCAGTCGATGGCGGAGTAGAGAAGGACCCTATGGGTGGAGGCAGCTGTGGAAAGCGATAGTCAAACGGTATGTACGCGATAGCAGCAACTATGTGCCCATTATTTCCAGTGGTAGTCAGATTCGCAGCGCGTGCTACGAGCACGCAGCTCGTCTCCAGCACTGTGGGATGGTCCAGCAAGGCGTCTGAGCCTAGCGAGGGAAACAAAGTGCGCCGCGATGCATTGACGAAGACGGAGGCTTCCTGCAGAGTGGCCGGCGTAACGGCCTCGATGCCCCACGTGGGAGATGCCGTGACTCTGGGGTCGGGGCTTGCAAGTGTGTCCTGCATTATTAGATTGGGCGGTCGGCCTAGGGCTGCATGTGTACGGGTGTGGAGCGTTGTCATTCGACGGTATTTGCCGCGCTAGCCAGGTAGGGTAGCCTTCAAAGGAAATAATGCGAGGCGATTGATGTTTTGCGGAATTTGATAGGGTGCGATTGAAGTTATGTATGCTTTGGAAGTCGTTTGTAGATGATTGAGATGGGTTCTCCTGATGACATTGCCAATGCTGTGCTTGCCCAGACATCGAACGGATGGATTACCGTGTCCGTGCGCGTACCTAATGCGCGGATTCGCGTCATGCGCCGAACCACCAAAACGCGCACCTAAGCTCGGCCATATAGTGTTCGGCCATATATATTGTTCGGCCACCCCACCACAACGCGTCACTCTCTTTTTGATCATATACATTTCAACACCACGCATTTGCTATGGACGCCCGTGAGCTGGCCATACAATCTGCTATGGACAATTTCAATTCTGGTGTTTTTACAAACCAACGAAAGACTGCACAGGCATAGGGCGTGCCGCGATCGACGCTACAAGAACGTATCAACGGTCGTCAACCCAACGCGATAGCTCACTCAAATCAACAGTGGTTAACACCAGAGCAAGAGCGTTTTCTAGTAGAGTGGATACTAAGAGTGGACTCACGCGCACAACCTCCCTCTTATCCACGTGTACGTGAGATGGCCACCCAGATCCTGCACATGAACGGTGACTACGAGCCCCTAGGTCAACTATAGGTACCCCACTTCATTGCCTGCAACCCACGCGTCGCATCTATAGTCAGCCGAACAACTGGGAGCGCAAGGGCTACAGCAGCTAGTCAGGACACAATACAGGCCTTTCTTGAGCTGTTTGAGCGGACAAGAATAGAGCTAGGCATACATTATGAAGATATATGGAGTATGGATGAGACTGGAGTAGCACTAGGGGTATGCACGAACGCCCAGGTGCTTGCAAGCTCTACAAAGAAGAAGGCTTATATCAAATCCCCAGAGGATCGCGAATGGGCATCAATTATTAAGACCATCTCAGCCGTCGGCGTCAAGCTTCAATGCCTTGTCATCTTCAAAGGCAAGCATCTACAATCAACGTGGTTTCTAGCAGAAGGTGCTCCCAATTGGCTCTATACAACCTCAGAGAACAGCCGAACGTCCAACTCGATCGGATATAAATGGTTGCAGCGTACATTTATACTAAACACTTCACCACCCTCTGGCGGCTATCAACTGCTCCTTCTTGACGGCCATGGCTCTCATATTCCTGTTAACTTCATGTGGCTCTGCAAGGTTAACAAGATACACCTCTTGTATCTCCCAGCTCATGCTTCACACCTGCTGCAGCCTCTGGATCTTGCTCCTTTGTTCTTAAATCACGCTATCGCAACGAGATCTGAGCTCTCTCTGCACTTGATGACGCTGCACCTATCAAGAAGGAGCGCTTTGTTATATCCTATAAGAAGGCAAGAGAAGAAGCTCTATCAGAGCAGGCTATACGAGCTGGCTGGCGTGCTGCTGGCCTTTGCCTACTCAACCCAAATCTAGTACTGCTATGGATCCACGATCTTGAATAACGCGATTTTAAGTGTATATTGCAACAAGACAGTGCTCCAGGTCATAAGGCTCGAATATAGCGTGATTGTTTAATCACTGAGCATATTGATAGGTTGTGATGGCCGGGTCACTCACCTGAGGCCAACGCAATTGAGCACGCATGGCCATGGATTCGACGGCACGTGATGAAGCAATTCACTCCTTCTTGCACAGAAAGTGAGTGTAAGAAGCAATAAGAACAGCCCTGGGAGAGAGTATGCCTTTAGGGGTTATGAATCGCCAGGTAGACGCGATTTCAGAACAGAGGTAACAACTTCCATGGGTACGGTAAAGCAGAGACCTCTCCTATCGCTGCAACACCACAAAAATCTCGCGATAGGTCAGTTATATGTCAATCAATAGCTTCAACACGTTAGAACAGTCATAAATTTGTTGCGTTCATTGTTTTGGTGGGGATTACTATGGGCGTTGCGAATAGGAATCATGCTCGTGGACCGTGCGAAAAACGAGCTTCTTCGTCGGTGTGTATGCCGACAATGCCGGGTGGCCACGCTAGCGCCACGCTAGAATCTGGCATACCGCCAGTAAAAATTTCAACCCGCAATATCTAAATGGCCAGAATAGCTACCGACACCATTTCAAGTGCAAAAGAGGGAAGCCTGACGGGGGGCTCGAACCCCCAACCTTGAGATTAAGAGTCTCACGCGCTACCGATTGTGCCAGCCGGGCTTGTTGTTGCTCATTTGATGAGAACATTGTCGCAGGATGCTTTTATTACCTCAGTAGAAATTCTCAGTTGCTGCTACTCGGGTGACGTGTTTGTCCTTATCTCTTGTCCATGCCCAGACTTGTGCCAGGCTTTCCTGCACCCGCGTCCAAAGTGCTGCTTGCATCTTCTCACCATGCATCAGCGAATGACACACTGCGCCGGCCGCCATGGGTACTTTTTCCATCCTGTTGCCGCGAGCAAGGATATGATCGCGCCTGAGTGTGCTGCCAGGACAATGTAGTCTCCGTAGTCGCTCTTTAATATATCGTCAAGTAGCCTGGTGCTGCTGATAATTGTCTCCCGTCGGTTAGGGCTCCACAGAAGATCCTCCTCCAGAAAACTGGGCGATTTCAAATGAAGGGTGGTTCTCCACTATCCAGGATCTGCTGCTTCCCTGGTGGCAGGTGTGAATACCAAGCCATTTGCGTGGCTTCCCCTTGATCACGGGTCTCTTATCCCCTTCTCTTGGCTGCCAAACAAGCTGTACGGTGCAAAGACAGCATTGTATAGGAATAGACAGAATAGATGTGACTGTGTCGGCGCCGAGGTACGATCGGATTCCAGCAATCCTGCGGGCCTGTTCTTCGCCGTAAGCTTTTGATCAGCATCAGCCCAGGAGAAATTGTTGTCGCCAGGTAATCTGACCGAATAGCGCTGGACCAGCCGGCCAGCTAATGTTACTAAATCGGTGATCGCACGCGGTTCAGTTGCAATACTAGGGTTTGTAACGGTCAGACTCACATCCCATTCGGCATACCTGACTTCCTTCTCATTGACGTTATGGAGCCTTTCATCATGACGAATCAAACACAGAAGCTTGTACCGCTTGTCTTTTCATTCGCGTTCAGATGTCGAATGTATTGGTGGAAGCATTGCCATTGCATCCGGTCTCCCTGCGGATGTGGACGCTCCAACGCATCATCTGCAGGATACGGTCAGTCGAGATGCCAAAGATAGACCCGTGTAGTCGCTCTCAAGTCCCACATTCCGGGGTCGTTGTCGTGTGAGAATAAGCCATGCTGAGCAGTGGACTTGCGTTGTGATGTCATTGTTGACGTGACGGGGTAGAGTAGACTGTAGACAACCACCACTACAATTACAAAGACGACTACAATGTCGCGTCTGTAAGCTATCGATAAGAGTTAGTCTGGTTATTGTGTTGATGCTTGTCAAGATGCCTGCCTGCCAGCTGAGATGGTACCCCGCGTTGGGGGCCACTGCACGCCAAAGCCGCCAGCGCTAGGTACTGCAGCTCGATCACCAGCCTCGAGTACCTCTTCTTCCCCACAGCTCAGATCACCGTTCAAAATGCTTTAATTTTAGCTCCTTAAAATACCCTGAATCCATCGGCCTTCCGCTGCAAGTGACGAAACGTCTCGGCTGCATATTAAATTCCCCACACATAGACAGCATTGCTGCACACTGCACAGTCAATGCCGGAACATAGGCCTCCATTAATAGGGTGAAGACATCGTGGTTCGTTATCTTCCCAAAAGATCGCCAGCAAGGATGCTACGAAGGCAATGATTACTATGCTGATACGATATTATTCCGATGGAAAGGCCGCTGAGATTGCAGGTTGGAAGGCATTTGCAACCGGAACAAGCATCGGTTTCACATCCGACCGGCTCGACGTCTTGGCGGCTTGTACAAATATCGACAATTATAGAAAATGCTGGGCATTGTCGACACTTATTATTTCGTATTGACGTTCATAGATCTGGACCCTAAATAACACTTGTTGCTAGCTTTCTGTGTGTTCTGAGGGTTATTCATGGACAATATTTATGGAGGGGTGCCTAATCACAGGTTATACTACTCCCCTCCGTGCGCATACTATACACAGCGGCATCTATAACACTCTTAGGTAAGTACCAGATATTTCTAACACTTGATACTTTGCCGACACCAGTGTCACAAATGCGGTACCAATCCTGCTCGGGCCTTGTTTCGAAACGAGGGCCAATAAACAGACCCTTGCCGAAACCACAGCGCGACTATGCCACTTTAATTACCTCGCAAACGCTCGTATACACACCATGCTTGAGACAAACGAATTTAACCTCGGAGCTTTAAAGCTACAGCTTCGAACGACTTCAGCGATATCAACAACTAAACGCATTCCATATACTCACTCATTTATACACATTCGTTTGATTATCAATATGAAGGCATCTTGGACTGCTGTTGGCGCTTTCCTGTCGCTCATTCACCAGAGCGCTGCCAATCTCGACGTCATTACCCTCCCTGCGAACGGCGACACATGGATTCAGGAAGCTGAAGCCACACTTATCCTGGGTGACACTCCCAAAGATATCACTGGCGATGCTGCGCTGTGGAGTGCAATCATGATGGACCAGCAAGATTTTCTGCAGGGCGTCACCCAAAATTCACCTGGAAGGTAAGATTTCTTTGCAACCATGAACGACCTGAGGGCTAGATCTCTAACTGTTATCGCAGCGCGTGGTGCCAGGACTTGGGTAGCAATTGGTGCAATTTTGCATACATGCTCCAAGGCACGAAGATTACCAACGGCACGCCCGTCAAGGCTTCAGCCGGTGACCGGGTCAGAACTCACTGTAAGGCTATTTGACTCACTGAGAGATACCGGGACTGACCACGCACGCACCAGACAAATTGAACTCTACCACAAATCTGTGGGATCAAAACGTCTATATCAACGACAGTCTTGTATCTCAAATTTCCACGAGCGAGGGACAACATGGAAAGATCTTCTACGTCTCGGTCGAGTGCTCAACTCGACCCTGCGCTACCGTTCCAGCTCACAGTAAGTCTGAACTTTGCGTAGATCCCATATGTCTTAAGTACTAACATTTGCGTAGGCTGGGAGAACATTTCCGTAACCCTGAACCAAGCCGACCAGTCTTTCCAAAACAGCGGCGCTTGGGAGTACGGGGCCACTGGTGGCGCAATGTCAACAGCAGACAGCGGCAAGACCTGGACGTTCGCCAAGTTGAACGTTCCAGCTCTGACGCCACAATAGGTCAAAGCCTCGTGCCTTTATTCTTGTAAATATTCAAATACAGAGATCGCCTTTCAGGAGACATCGGTATCTTCGAAGTAAGTCCTAATGCACTGGGTCGTAACCCATCAACCGTGGAAAGTGCGAAAAGATCACAATACTCTATACTTTTCCTAAGGCGTGGCTGCCTCTTGCAGAAGAACAACTAGTGAACTGGCCAGATCAATACTTGGCTTCAACACTGACGTCCGTAGTTGCCACATCTCTTCATTTGCCACCTCTGCCGCTTTTGCTAATTACCAAACTCATGTTCGAAGCCAATGGTCGCTCATGTATCGCATTCAATAATTCGTTTTCCAAAGCCACACCCATGACCATCAGTATCGCAATGCTGAGCCGCAACAACATGAACACGGTCGAGGTCCGATCGATCATAGACAGTTGCATGACATTTCGAATTCCTTGCGTCAGGTTAAAGCGTCAGGTTAAAGCGTCAGATCTGATAGGATCATACAGTTTTCTTGCACGCAATGAACTTCACATGTAAGTGTCCCAACTGAACGCCGAGTTGCTATCACTGGCTACAATGGGGCTATATGGACTTTCTTCATTACAAGATTGCCAGGTCAGGCTGTTGTGTGTCACTCTCGGAACTAATAGCAAGATCCGATGTATTGTCACTGTACATGACCTGGGCGATGAGACCGGGCTTTTGTGCACTGTCTTACACCTGAGGGCTTTGTCGTTGGAGCAGCTGCAACTTACAAAGACCACTTTCATCTGCAGAACCCACTAGAATAATACTATGTAACTACGAACCAGAAACTGTCAGCGAAAACCTTTAGGACTTCCCCCCACTATTGGACATCGAATGGCGGGAGCTCAATGTATCTATGGATTGATGCGCTCTGGATTGATCAAAACAACATTTCCAAGCAGAGGCATCGGGTCAAGATTATGGGCGAGATTTACATCGCTGCCAGTCAAGTATTGATCTGGCTTGGTCCAGAGGAAGAATCGACAATCGTTGCCTTTGAGCTTATGAAAGATCTGAATTCACTTGCGTCCCAAGCGAGAATTGCGCTTCATTCTCACGGGATGTCTTCGCACAATGCGAGAGTATCGATAACTCCATCTAGATCGAATCCTGATGCCCTGCCACTGCGCACTGAACAGCCATGTCTCGGGCTCCGTTGGCATACGAGCGACATTTCTTGGTCTAGCTCTCGAGCACTTCCTGTACCTGGCTGTGCCCATCTTCACGCAGCTTCGCATCCACAACAGATTGAGTCAGCGAAGGTTCGCACTGTTTGATGAGGCCTGCATGAGTCCCAAAGGATTACCAAGCAGAAAATTGACCGCGACGTTCTACGAACCTAGTCCGGCCGCCGTCGGCTACTGATTTCCAGTGTAACGGAGAGTTTGTTGCGACAAAGACACCAATCATCGCCGCCGGGATAGTCCACGAGGACGCCAGAAACTGCGCTGGACTTGAGCTTGTAACAGTGGGTCAGTTGGAAGGCTTTGACATGGCAGAGATGGTAGGGGACTCATTCCAGCGGATGTCCGCTCCTGTGTAAGGCATTTGTGATGGTTGATCTTGATCAATGGACATAACATGGATGGACTTTTGGCTGCAGAAGAGTAGACTCGTTAGATTGTACCTATTTTTAAGCTACCTACCCTCGACCTGCGGTTTCTCTATAATTTTTTCTGCCATGGCTCGTTTAGGAAATATCCTTTAAAACAACCTCCACGGCCGGCGCTCGCATGTTGGAGCAGAAGGTACATCCTCAGAGGATTTTGTTGGTATCCCGTCAAATATGTTGATGAGAGTTGAGAGTTCGGGCGTCTCGTACGTTTGTTTGTTCACTTGCGGCAATCACAATCAGACGTTGTACGAAGTGTCGCAAGCCTGCCAGCATGCCTGGGGTCATCAAACAGACGCGGCACGTCAGGCTGCTGCCCCAGTACCCCGCGTCATCAGTCTCATCAAAATGCAGGGTGGTGTTCACCGGTGCTCGCAATGCGAGACGACACGTCTCCAGTTAACGATGGTCGTGAGTCATACCTGCCTCGGCTGGGGGCGGGCAAGTGGCCCCCAGCGCCAGCAAACCAAGGCGTGCGCTCGCAAACGCTAAATCCTGGATCGCCGGCGCACCGCTGCTTTGTTGCCTCGTCTTCTTGTGGATGCACTCCTTTCACCCTTCTTTCTCCCGTCACTCCATTGTTTGCGGTTTGACCAGGGTGCACGCGAGGACAAAGTTGCAGGCGCGTAGGTTGTCGCACTTGTCTCAGATGATCCGCAGTGCATTCCAAGGGCAGCAGCAGATTGCGCAGCTCCTCTCCGCCAGCAAAGCAGCGCAGCGACACCGCCGCAGACTTTTCATCGTCGAACTTAAGTCTGCCGGGAGGCAAGAGTTGCGGCGAAGGTGAGTGGTCAGGCTGGCTAGGCCCCGGACCAGGCGACAGCGCCGGTTGCAGCGTCATGGCCTGGTAATGAGAGGAGCAGGCTGCGCGCGTTGCAATGTGACAGCAACAGCGCTGCATTGCGCAAAAAGTACTGTAGATAACAGCTGGCACAAGTGAGAGAGAGCAAAAGGCAGCTCCTGTACCCTGGCAGTCGCAGGACGCGGTACAGTGAAGAAGAGACGCGCCTGTGCATGACGAGCAGCCCCTTTTCCCTTTTCACGCGGCAGAAACTTCCAGCTGCAAAAGCGGCGTGTGGTTACGGCCGCTAGCGTAATGCACGGGCCCTGCGCCGGCTACTATAAGTACTCGGGCTCCCCCCTTGGTTTATCGCCCTTTTGGTCGCCTTGCACTCCGCTCGCCGCCTCACTCAACTCCCCCGCACCACCCCACGCCGCAAGCAGAAAACACCGTTTTCCACCTGCGCGCTCTCTAATACGCGATTCGGGACTAACTGTGTGTTTACCTGCACACGTTTTCACTCTCTTTGAGGCTGAGGACCATATTTGCGATCGGCGCTAGCCTCATTCGCTTGCGATAGTCTCTCCGAGCAGCCTCCGCCCAGTCGCAGCTTCCGACTTCCCTTGCCAAAGGCTTGCTGGCTTCGCTTTTGGTCTCTACCACCGTCACTGTACATCACTAACCACTGCCACCGCCGGCAGCGACTTGCGATCGACGGCACTCTTGTCAACGTTAGCCCGGGACACTTTCGATAGTAGCTCTCCTGCCTCCGGTACGGTTTCACCTTTACATACCTTTCCCATCTCGCGCTTCGGTGTCGATCGATTGTCGCAATACATTCGCGATTCCGTAGTCTACCTGACTAGACCGACGCTTCTCGAAGTCACATTCTGACCTGCGCAGTCTGTCAAGAATCCTCCTCAGATACTCTCTAGCTCGAACGGCATTCCGTTGAGCGCAAACATCAAATCCACCTGTCATGGATCCTTCTTCTCTCACCTCCCACCCGTCCACCGCCGCTCAGGCCAAGACGGTAAGCTTGCGTGATGTCTATGCATGCAAACACTTATTGACACTTCTCTAGTTCGTCGGACCTGGTTCTTTGTCCTATCCTAACAACGGAGACTTGACACCGCCGACGTCTGAGAAGAGCGCGCACCCTGATGGCAATAATGCAAACGGCGTTGCGACCCCAGCGGCTACCCCAGATACACAGAACGGCCAAACGCCCTCTGGCATCGTGCCTACCCTCCAGAACATCGTCGCCACAGTCAACCTCTCCGCTCGCCTAGACCTTAAGACCATCGCTCTGCACGCGCGTAACGCTGAGTACAACCCTAAGCGTTTTGCTGCCGTCATCATGCGTATCCGTGAGCCCAAGACAACGGCTCTGGTCTTCGCGAGTGGAAAGATGGTCGTCACTGGTGCAAAGTCTGAGGACGACAGCCGTCTCGCTTCCCGCAAGTACGCGCGGATTATCCAGAAGCTGGGGTTCAACGCAAAGTTCACCGTACGTTGCACCAGGCTACTCGTCTGGAGCTCACGCTAATAATAATCAGGACTTCAAAATTCAGAACATCGTCGGCTCCTGCGATATCAAGTTCCCCATTCGCTTGGAAGGTCTTGCATCTCGCCACCATACTTTCTCGTCCTACGAGCCTGAACTCTTCCCTGGTCTCATCTACCGCATGATGAAGCCCAAGATTGTTCTACTTATCTTCGTGTCCGGCAAAATAGTCTTGACTGGCGCGAAGGTCCGCGAAGAGATCTACCAAGCTTTCGAGCTCATCTACCCCGTCTTGTCGGATTTCCGCAAGTCCTAAACCTCTCTTCTATACCCTTGTCATTTTTGCGGCATTGCATGGTGTTTCGGTCGGTCGTCTTCCTTTAGCAGTCACTCAAATTGCGTATCCCGGGTTCGGTTCTAAAATTCAGTAAACAACACCCTTTCGACGATTATAGACATGAGCACTCGGGGAGTTCAGCCTCCAGTAACCATGTTCATGGGGGCTCGGAAGTGCGATTGTTTTGGTCTTTATCACTTCAGTACGAGTACGATACGCTGGCGACGGTGGGAGAAATAGCCACAACATTGAGATTGTTTGGGGGATCGGAGGCACTGGTGGAAAGCTTACACTACTTGCTCATCACGGCCGCCTTTGCGACGCTAGAGCCCTCACTATGTGCTACACTGCAGATTATGGTTCTTTCCTCCAGCTCTTCCAAAGGAATAGCTGTGGCAGTAAAAGTAATCATGATACCAGAACATGTTCCCTCTGCTTTATCTGTGAATTTGCACCTTGTTGAAGCCTGCATCTGGCCCCTCTTGCTCAAATTGCATGCCCTTCCCGCTCTTACCACAACTTGCTCCTGGCGGCTGCTGGCCGTGGCGTGGACTTCTTGCGCCAGGTTCCGAATGTTTGAACCCTCCATCATGGTCAAAAATGCTGCAGCTGGATGTTCTTGCTCGTCGCTGTGCTGCATCAGACGTATACCGCGCCACGATGAATGTATTCATGGCCTCCTTGGTGTGAGTGATTGTTGTGTAACTCCAGCTTATTGTCTCAACCTCATCCTCCTTGAATTTCATACTGGTAAGGTAGCTCGCCCTCGCTTGGATTAGGATGCAGCCTGATCACACTCCTCCCTGAGCCCAACGAGCTCGTCGACGAGTTAGACAGATTCGTGCCGGGACTGCGCCACGGCTCTCTCACAACTACGGAGCCTCTGTCCGACATTGTTCGAAATGAAACAGCAGATGGCGTGCGTGACGTGTCATAGATGCCTGAGCTTCGTTGCGCTTGCCGCGAGGGCGCGGTGCGTAGCGTCTGCGGTGAGTGTGGACTGGCGCCGCTGCTGCTGCTGAAATTGCTGGACAGCGAAGATAATGACGGTTGGTGTGCGAGTTGCGGCATACGCGGGTAGGGAAGTGATATGGAGTGCGAGGAGCTGCTGCTGCCGGATATCGACCTGCTTGAACTTGACTGCGTCGGCGCAAGGCTTCGAGAATCGCTGTAAAGGCTTTGCGCACGCAGGTCCTCGATTACGTCCGGATCGAGTTCCGTCATCCCGTTGAGGATGTCGGCGAATATGGACATGATATCTTCAAACTGGCTTTCGAGCAGGCAGGCGGTTGAGAAGCGGGCCCTCTCGTATTGTGCGAGGAAGGCGGGGCCGAGGCTGGGTGGGTTCAGGAGGCCTAACTCAGAGAGACGCGCAAGGTATGAGCGTAGACCCATTGCGCGCGGGCGCTGGAGGAGCACAACGATTCGCGCGTCTGGAAGAAGAGGCGTTTCGAGAGGGGACTGGATCGAGCCTGTTTCTACGTTGGGGTCAGGCGGCGCTAGGGAGACTGCTTTTGCTTCGATGAGATTAGGCAATTCGCAGATGATGCTCCAGTACTGGAGGTTAGGGAGGTCCGGCGACGCTGGAGAGGCCCAGCCTGGGTGGGAGACGTGACCCCAGGGCGGCGACTTTGCGCTGACGGGAAGAATTGTCGCATCAGGCACTTCATGACCACTCTTGTGCTTCTTAGCCTTATCTTTCTCCCTCTCCTTCTCTGATATGCCTGGTCTGGCTTCCTCGAGCTCCTCGTTTGAATCCTCCCCTGCATCCACCTCTCCCCTGATGTCCCTTGGCCGCGAGTCCCATGCCACAATCGCGCTCCGCCTAAGTTGCTTCACAATCATTCTGCGCACCATCTTCCCCACTTCTCCCTCCTCGACTGGTACATAGGGCTTCGGTATCGCCTGCAGGACGCTGCGGTTCGTGTAGATGCGTGTCGAGTAAATGAGTATTACAATAAGTGCCGTAAGCACGTAGACCCCGCCAATGACAAAGAGCTTCGGGATCTCCTCGGTTTTTATGGTTTGGTATATGATGTCGCCAGGCGACACACATAACAGCAGCAGCGTTATGATGAGGAGTGTCGTGTACGTTGTCGAGTACCATATCCTGAATAAGGGGATGCGCATCGTGGCGGCGATGAAATACGGTGTGGAAGCTAAGGATAGGCATCGGTGTGGTCTATTAGATATTAGAGCAATGGGATTGGTGTTACATGGCGTGAATGGGCGGGGTGCTGAAGGAGCGTTGTTGGTGTTGTGGTGCGCGGAGAGGTAGGAGCCAAGGCACTGACGTGGGCGTGCGCGCCAAATTAGCACCACCCACGAGTTCCCGCATGCTTACTCCACCTCACAAGCTCACGCATGTGGCAAATGGAAAGCACTGATTTTTAACATTTGCTCCATCTACAATTAAAAATTGTCATGCCACAGCCAATGCGATCGTGCTATGCACGAACGATGTCGTACTGCCAAAACAGAATGAAACAACACGTAAGATCGCTCAACCCACCGGATATCTCCACAAGTGTCGCATATCGGCTAAACAATGTTCTACCGAACGGCTCCTTCGCAGCTCAAGTGTTCGCCGCGCGTGACTTACGACAGTTGGCATGAGAGTGGGTAGCTAAGTGTTCCACACGGTGCTAGTGCGACTCAGAACGTTGCAAAGCATTCGACAACAAATGCCTTGGCCGTAGATGTCTGGGACTGAAACGTACACTGCTCGCAATGTTGGTTCACATCAGAATGTTTATCAAGCCACACAAGGCTTGTTCGAATGTTCTCCCTCCTCCGTACTCTTCGCTAGTACACCATTCTCCATGCACAGTAGGAAAGGCTCATATGGCTACTCACCGTACAGATCAAAGGTACAGGTGAGGTGGTTTGGTCTTATGCTCGTCGTTTTTGCATTTTTGTTCCTTCTCCTCCGCACCGAGGTAACCTTTTGGATTCTACCACGTCCACCGCGCTTTCCCTCGGCGCAGACATTGTGCCCAACGTCGCCGCCATATCCGTCGATCATCTCGCCTTCACCTGGTCGGTTCAATTGGAGGAATATTACGCAGCATTATCCGGTTGACATATTCGCGGAGCTGCCTGCTACTAGGTTTCCAAAGCTACCGCGGGTGCAATTCGATTTCGAGGAAGATGAGACACCTCTCTACCATGAGCTTATGCGCAAGCGTCGTCAAGCTGCGGTCAAGACGACTTTCGAAAGATCCTGGAAAGCTTATAAAGACTATGCCTGGAAGCAGGACGAGCTGTTACCAATCTCAGGAGGATTGAAGACAACTTTTGGTGGCTGGGGAGCTACCCTTGTGGACAGCCTCGACACCCTCTGGGTCATGGGGCTAAGAGATGGATTCAACGAAGCCGTACAAGCAGTGACCGAGATCGACTTCTCACCTGAGGATGGCGAACTCAACATGTTCGAGACGACAATCCGGTATCTGGGAGGATTACTTGCAGCGTACGACCTGACGGACTGCAAAGATGGCAGACTTCTTGAGAAGGTCATGGAGCTGGGCGACATGATCTACATGAGCTTCGATACTCCCAACCGTATGCCAATCACGCGATGGAGTGCAAAGAAGGCAGCAGCCGGTGAACCACAGTCAGCAGCAGCACAGGGAATCATTGCCGAACTCGCGTCGTTCAGTCTCGAGTTCACACGTCTATCTCAGCTCACTGGAGATATGCGATATTACGACGCTGTGACCCGCATTACTGCTGTCCTCGCTGAACAACAGAACAGCACCAAGATTAGCGGTCTGTGGCCTGTGGGCGTCAACGTCCAAAAGCCTGATTTGACCACCGATAATCTATTTAGCTTGGGTACTATGGCTGACTCGGCGTATGAGTACTTGGGCAAGACGTATCAACTCCTGCACAGTACAGGTGCAACTGCGTCGCAGTACGCAAACATGTACAGTTCCGCCATGGATGCTGTCATCACACATCTCCTCTTCCGGCCAAAGACGCCGGACAACGCGGACATCCTGATGCCAGCGGCCGGGCGTGTAAATGACCGGGGCACAGTCGACCTCGACCACACCGCCCAGCACCTCGCCTGTTTCGCCGGTGGCATGCTTGCACTTGGCTCCAAGCTTCTTGGAAACACATCACATCTGGACTATGGTCGTAAAGTAACCGAGGCATGTATTTGGAGCTACACCCACGCACCAAACGGCATCATGCCAGAGATGTTCCGCATGACGCCCTGCCCTACTCACGAGCCATGTGACTACGACCAACAAACAAGCGAGAGGCAACAATTCCCGGGCTTCGAACAAGTGACTGACGCGCGCTACATGCTCAGACCCGAAGCGATCGAGAGCATGTTCTATATGTACCGCATCACAGGCGAGCGGCGGTACCAGGATATTGCTTGGAGCATGTTCGAGGCGATTGAGAAGCGGACGAGGACAGGACTTGCGAATGCTGCAATAAAGGATGTGACGCTGAAGCTTGAACCGAAGGAGGCGAGTGAGTTGAGGAGGGGTGTGGGTGCGAGAAGTGAGACGAGCGAGCTGGAGCTTGAAGATAGTATGGAGAGCTTTTGGATGGCGGAGACTCTGAAATACTTCTATCTAATCTTTAGCGAGCCGGAATTGTTGAGTTTGGATGAATGGGTGTTCAACACTGAGGCGCATCCTTTTAGGTTGAGAGCGCAGACATGATCAATAACGCATATTTTTGAGGTACCGGATGGCAGCATCCAGCTCCGCCTGACATGCTTCATGGGCCATTCTATTGAACTTGCATCGTATGCTTGATACTGCTATCGTTTATAGACTGATAAGATGTCCGTAGTAGTCGGAAGAGGAAATAAGAGCCGCCACTGTCGGATGCAACCACCGCTCACACCCCCGCGTTTGCCCCGCATTGTGTGCAGCAACTAGCTTATGCAGCCAATCATGATGCATACTTAGAGCCACCTTAGTTGCATAGGGCCTGGTGAATGCCGAGGCAAGAGTGGCTGGTCTACAAATATGTGACACTCGACACTACAAGGCTAGGGTTGCCTCTCTTCAACTTCAGTTTCTGTTCTACTTTATATATACGTACCTCTACTCGATCACATATAAAAAATGGCACCTCCATCTGCAGTCGAGCCGCAGAATGGCAGCGAGACTAAACCGAGCAACGCTGCTCCTCTCGAGCCAGGTCTGAACGAGAAAAAGTCCAAAATAAAGGCTCTCTCGTTCCCTAGCCCACCCAAGTTCGACGACCCGTACAAGGAGCGAGCATACCTTAAAGGGAGACTGGCTGCTGCGTTCCGTATCTTTGGCAAGTATGGGTATGATGAGGGTGTTGCCGGACACATCACCATGCGTGTACGTCTTTCCCATCTTTGCGCGAACAAGCACTCGTATTGACATTCGACAGGACCCCGTGGATCCGACAACGTTCTGGGTGAACCCCTTCGGTGTTGCCTTCAGCTTGATCAAGGCCTCAGACTTGATCCTTGTAAACCACGACGGCGAGGTCATTGACGGCGGACCATGCCGTCTCCTCAACTTAGCGGCATACATGATACACTCAGCAATCCATGCAGCGCGCCCGGATGTTCTCGCTGCGGCACATAGCCACTCGATCTATGGTCGTGCCTTCTGCTCGCTCGGCCGCAAGCTCGACACCATCACACAAGACTCATGCGCCTTCCACAACGACCACGTCTTGTACGACAGCTTCAATGGCATCGTACTGGCGGAAGAGGAGGGCAAGAATATTGCGCGGGCGCTTGGTGACAAGAAGGCCGCGTTGTTGATCAATCATGGGCTCTTGACGGTCGGCAAGTCGATCGAGGAGGCGGTTTTCTGGTTTGTGTCGCTAGACAAGTGCTGTCAGGCGCAGATGCTCGCAGATGCATCTGCGGGCGGTCGTGGTGGCGAGACTGTAAAGATTGGTCAGGAGGAAGCCCAGTTCACGTACAAGACTGTTGGAACGCCGCGCGCTGGCTGGTTCAGCGCGAAGCCTCTGTTCGATGTCATCCACAAGGAGACAGGAGGAGACTACCTCGAGTAAGAGGTCACAACCCATATCATCTTATAAAATCACAACTGGCGACCCAAACCACCCTTGTTCTTGCATGTCCAGAGGTATGCCATTCATGAGTACACAGCAGAGCATGATCCAAAACTGATTAGCGCAAAGGCGACTGCTGCGACCTGATTTTCGGGAGGCGCGTCGCTGGAACGAATCATGGCTGTGACATTCTCGCTGACACCCCATTGGCTCCGTCCAGCCCCTCGGAACGCACGACTGTTTGTTTGCATATCCGTCGATGACGACAATAAGCCGTAATGCAGCAACGAAAATGGACTGCAGCTCGGTGATGAAGGCCGGCTCTCCGCAGGCTGAAGCTTTGTTGTACTTAGGAGTAACAATCTCTCCACTGGTGCACCCTACACCTGGATTCTATCATAGATATTGAAGAGTATCTTTCCAAAGCAGCAATCATGTCGCGAAAAGGGTGAGTTGCATCGACGCGATTCGTGCAAAATTGCTAATAGAAGCAGCCACCCTTCCCACCCAGGTACGGAGAGTGAGAGAAACCACAACGGCTGTTGACTGATGATCTCCAGCCCTTGTGCACTTCCCTATCACGTTCACAGCGATTACTGGAGGACTGGACGCGATGTATTGGGCCTCCAAGATCCCAGCAACCGCAGGCATCGTGAGCTCTGTGTGTGGGTACAGCCATACCTTCAATGCAAAATAGCGTCTGACGCCGTATAGTCAAGTCTCTCGACAGGAGTGTTCAGCCTAACGCCTTCCCTGTCCTTTCCTACTACAGCACGATACTCACGATCCTGACCACTATACCAGCTATCGTGACCGGCGTCATCCAGCTCTCGCCAGTGATTCAGCGCGATGGATTCCAGTCGAAGAAGGCCAAGGCCGGCGCTGTCCATGCAATACTCAACGACATCGCGCTCTTCGCTACCATCTACAACTGGTGGACCCGTAGCCAACAAATTGGCTTCACGCCCAGCACCACGAATGTGATCCTCAGCTCGGCCCTGGCGCTGCCGGTGACCATATACAGCGCGTACTTGGGAGGCTCGCTCGTGTATGAGTACGGCATGGGCTTCTCAAGGAGCAGTCCCCTGAAGAAGGTGGAGTAAAGAGGGCGTTGGAGGAGTAAAGAGAACGCGTTCTCATCCGTTGAAGCGGAGGGTAAGCAGAGGGCGACGGACGACAGATGAATTGCGGGCAGTCTGCCACTTCGCGCCCGGCTGTTCGGTCGCGCTGAGATGAGCTAATTCGACAATCTACGAAACTAAACAAGCATTTTCTCCACAGTGACAACCGGTAATTGACAAAAGCTACGGGTGTGCTCAAGATCCGAGAATGTTCGCTCCTTATCTACGAAGTTGCTGGCCGGCCAAGTGCGCTTGCCAAGTAACTTAGGTACCGGTAGCCCCACAACTACAACGATAAGACCCGCTCACTCCAATTCGAGATATCGACTTTGTCCGGGCTGTACTTTGCGATGCAAGTCGCGCCTGTTACGTAGTGACATGCTAGAACGGGCTATTTGACAGTGATCTGCCAGTCGGCGCTCATCTGCCTGCGCTTATCACCTCTGCCTGCGCTTATCACTTCTGCCAATGCCGCTCAAGCACAGCACCTAACCACATGGGTAGAAGTTTGCTGCAAGATTCTTGCTTTCAAGCTATGGACATATCATGACCGATCAGGCACACCAAACGAAGTTTATGATGACTGGCGACTCGTTAGAGTGGGGTGGATGCACAACAACTTTGAACGAGGGAAGTATAAAGGAGCTCAAAAACCGAACGGACAGCCACTACGATCAAGCCAAGACTCTCGTCGGGTAAACGTCAGGATGATCTCCTTGAGAAACTCCGGCATTGCGTTCCTGATCCTTGTGGCCAATGTCCAGGCTGCTGTTTCATCCACAGGGTTTACAGTCTCACTGACGGACATTGACTACTTCCTCCCTCCTAAGCCCGTAGCAATCATCGCCGGCTGCGATCAGATCAAGGCTGCATTTGCGGATGGGCCGTTTGTCCCATTCACTGTTGTCAAGATAGCGGATCACTGCACGTTGGATGTATCATCTATCACAGCCAAGTACACGGAAGAGGACGATGTTTGGCAAGAGGGTTTTCTCGATGGTGCGTGTGAAGGCCAACGCACACGTGAGAAATGGCTGACAAGTTCCAGCATTATATGTAAAAGGTGGCAGCGTGTGCAACATTTCGACAACCGTTATCACTGGTACAGTATCTGGCGAGCTGAAGCCCGGACCATACTTCATAAACGCCGCCGGTCAAGTCTACGAGGCATGGCGACTATATAGCGATGTGACAGGTGCTTTCACCGAATCGGCAATTGCCAACGGTGACGGATCGTACTCTGTGCTTCCTGCGGGGATTATGGGACAAAAGCTGGCCCTGGCCGTTCCATCTCGTCTCTACTTCGAGAAGACTAATGCAAAGCCACTAGCTGGTGTTCGTATCGGCATCAAGGACATCTACGATATCAAAGGACTGCGCACTTCCAACGGCAACAGAGCTTGGTACTGGCTGTACCCTCCCGCTATGAGCACCGCCACTCCCGTTCAGAATTTGATTAATGCTGGTGCCATCATTGTCGGCAAGATGATCACTTCGCAGTTCGCCAACGGAGAGACAGCTACTGCTGACTGGGTCGACTATCACGAGTCATTCAATCCTCGTGGTGACGGTTACCAGGACACCTCGTCCAGTTCTGCCGGCGGCGGTGCAGGTACAGCTGCATACGCTTGGCTCGACGTCTCCCTTGGATCAGACACCGGCGGCAGCGTTCGCGGCCCTTCGCAAGTCCAAGGACTTTTTGGCAACCGCCCATCCCACGATCTCGTCACCCTCGAGCACACAATGCCCATGGCTCCCGTACTCGACACTGCCGGCCTCATCGCCCGCGACCCACTGATCTGGAAAGCCGCCGCCCAAGCCATGTACGGCTCCAAATTTACCGCCAGTAACACCTACCCATCGAGCATCAAAACTCTCGCGTGGCCCACAGAAGCCGACAGCGTCGCTAACAAGCTCCTCATCGACTTCCTGGCAAACGTGACTGACTTCCTCAGCGCCAACACAACCGCCTACAATGTGACAGCGTCATGGGAGACCGACAACCCCACCCTAGAGCCTCTCTCAGCAATGATGAACCTCACCTACGCAATCCTAATCACCAAGCAACAAACTGCTCTTGTTCGTGAGCTATTCTTGAAAGACTACGCAGCTAAATACGACGGCCGCACACCGTTCATCAACCCGGTCCCGCTGGCGCGCTGGAGCTGGGGCGACAATCAGACGGCAACGCTCGAAGAGGGTATTGCGAACAAGACCGCTTTCATGGCTTGGGCGAATAGTACGTTCCTTACTCCCTCGGCGGAGTCGTGTTCAGAGAGCTTGGTGATGTACGTGGGTTCTACTGGACGCACAAACTACCGCAACGTATACTTGGATGAGCCCGGTGTGCCGCTGGGCTGGGGCAACAGCCGCATTTCCATTTTCTCTGAGGCGCCGGACTTCGTCGTACCCATCGGCGAGGCTCCTTACAACTCAACGATTACGAATCATGTGGAGTACCTGCCGGTCACGGCCAACTTCATGGCGGCGAAGGGGTGCGACGGTATGCTCTTCAGTCTGGTTAGTGATATGCATGAGGCGGGGATTCTTAAGAAGGCGTTGGCTGGGAAGAGCGGTGTCACAGGAGGTGAGACTTTGTACAGAAGAGGCCTTTAAGGTCGAGCATGGCAATTTGCATATGGCACAAACAAGCTGATAGCCTACTCGAAATGGTACACAAGAAGAACCCATTCCGCGACGTCCCATTATGTTTGGACAAACTGCGCACACTTACATGTTCTAATTATACTTTCTAAAGCGAGGGGAAAGGCGGATAGAGTTGAAATGTGCTATTCGATGTCGGTGCTCATTTCCAGATTTCGGTAACCCTTTTTCCACTCGATTTTGCCTTACCTAGCGCGTCTTAATCCTAGCTTGTATTCACGTCCATGCGTGCGACGGGCGTGTCAAATACCACCAGTCCTGACCGCGCCCTGGATAGCTCCAGAACTGCACCTACTTGACCAACCATGTTGACCAACCATGAGTCGATTGCGTGGCAATTTGAACAATGTTGGTCTGAGGGTTGGTCAAGGAGGGAGAAGGAAGTCAAGCTCTGAGCCATCGGACGATTAGTCTTGACCGAGTAGACCGCATTCCAGATGCCAACACTGATGCGAAAATCAGAGAGGACGAGACGTATGTATCCGAAGAGAACTCGTGTTGAAAGGCCGTGAATTAGTCATTATTATACTACTCATTACTCAAGGCTCAGACCTTGATCTCGATGCCCTCCTGGCCATCACACGCGCTGATGTGTCCAAAGTACCACAAATGCGCATTAATATCGACTCTAAAGTCTCCCTCGTTGCCCCTAAAGTTAAGACTGCCCGTTAAAACATTAACATTGCCAGTCCCTGGCTGTACACCATTGCCGCTAGTAATGTAGTACTCGGGGCTCGTATGCCTGTACCCCAGCAGCGCAGGTGGCAGCTTGGGGACGGGGTCGTTCTTGTGCGTGACGCGGTAGTTCTGGCCTTTGCTGGTGCCGGAGATGTAGTCTGCCAGTCCCTGGAGCCCGACCTTGGGAGCGCCGTAGGTATATAGGTCAACTGTAGTCCCCTGAGCACGCAACACTCCAGCGGCGAGAGAGGCCAGCGCGCCACCAAGCGAGTGACCCGTTGCAACGACCTTGAACGTAGGGTATTGGGCCTGAGCTGTCTTGATGGCAGAGAGCACATTGGTTTGCGCTTCGACCCAGGATGTCCAGAACCCGATTGAGGATGAGCAGGTGGTGCAGATTGAAGTGGGCGTGACAGGGAAGTTGAGGTTAGTGAGCCAGTTGCGGACAGAGCGGGAGCCGCGAAAGGAGAGGACAATGAGTTTGTTGGTGGTGTCCGTGGCAACGAAGCCGGTGACGTCGGACTTGAGCGAGCTGTAGGAGTTTAGTATGTCGTTTTGGTACAGAGGGGCGTGGTGAGACGTACTTCTCAAACTCGGTCAGTGTGTTCGTGTTGGCTGCTTCCACTCGCGCGCAATTTCCCTGCGGGCAGGTGACCTTTGTATTGGGGCTGTTGTTATTCCCGAGACAGTATGCTGCGGCGGAATACTGGCTGAAGAATTGGAGTTGATCGAGGATATTGGCGGAGACGGCTGTCTTGTATGTTAGATGTGATTGAAAGTGTAATGTGAAATAGACGCACCCCTCTTTTCGAGCTCGACTGGAACAGCAGTGACAAGGCTAACAGCACCAAGGAGCACAGCTCCCAATCTCAGGATCGACGGCATGATCTTAGTAGTATAAGATAAGAACGATGCTCAAACAGGCAAAACGCAATTTGCAAGCCGATTGCTTAACTCAAGGGTAGACAAGAGTGTTCTAGGATTCACAACTCATCAACAAGCAGCGAACACGCCCACTACAAATACTTCTCCGCAAGACAGACTCTTCGATTTTCTGCGGAAACTCTTAGCTGGTGGTTCATACCCCGGTTCATACTCACCAAAGCGGAAGTCCGTGCTTCACCTCTCTTAGACCATGCTCTGTTTAGACAAATCTCCGCACCTGATACCTAAGCGACAAGGAGCTTACTCCATTTGCAATTATCACGGGACACAAGAGTGCAGATTACTGACCGGGTATCAAAGCCGCGTTTGAACGCGACGCCAGGATATTGCCGAGATCTGTTGTAGGAGCCGGCATGAGGCGTAGTAGGGCTGTGTCGTGCTCCGACACTAGCATACTACAGTGGTGGAGAGTCGTCTAAGAAGCAGCGTTGCACACACTGTTGACGCTGGGGTCGCCATCTACGCAAGTACTCGCGATCACATGTGAGACTTGTAAGATCTGAGTGCGTGGTTTGTAAAGGTCGGCATCCACGGCACGAACACACACCATCAACTCTGGAGTGCAGCGGCAGCTTGCTTAGCCTCCGTGACGTTCGCCAATCATGGCGTTGATCATTAAACTGCTGTCAGGCCAGGAACCGCTTCCGAATTCCTGGTAGTTTTTCTGTGGAGATAGGTCAATCAGCTGCCGCTGTGGGGCTGGCGGATCGGGAAGGGAATGCGAGGCAGCCCGACTGCTGTTTGCGGCAATAACAAGCGAATTGCGAAGGTTTTGGGCTGCCAGGCAAAGAGGCTCCATGTGCAATCGAAGGGACTGGCGAACCCGAGGGCGAGGACTCGGTTTCGTGTTGCGCCCCTACTAACTCGAACAAGTCTCGACGATGACAGAACTCCTGCCACAAAGCGTGCGCATGGGCGGCAAGGGCTGACGGTTTATTCGCCAACTGCACGCCTTATGTAAGTGCAGACGCGGGCAATTCGAAGAGAGGCAGGCCGCAGGCTGGGCGAGTCGCGGTGGAATGGGTTCAGCGGCCCGCGTCGCGGCGAGCAAGCAGGGTGGAGGTGTTGAGAGATGACCCCCGTTTCGAAGCTGCGTACCAAAAAATTCTGCTTTGTCTCCACGACAACAGCAACCGCGAAGGACGCTGTCATTCATCCCTTGCATGTTGGCAATGTGCATGCAAAAGTTTGTGAGGCACCCTGCAGCCGAGTTCGGTGCCCCTCATCTCAAACGTCGAAGCTCTGTGTAACTTTTCGACAGCGCTAGAAAACCGTTCCTCCACAATTCCATGTTCTCGAAGCTGTAGCGCTGTGCCTCATCCGTTTTGTGGACTGTTAGAAGCGTGGCTCTGGGAAGATGTTCGGCGCCATGCCGACGTCCGAAAGATCCTGAAAGTGACAAATACGAACATTGGACAGGCTGTGCGGATGTGGTGGTTAGACCTGTATGCTGAACAGCGTCCTGACGATAACGCATAGTCGTGTGCACTTGATATAGATGATCACAGAACAGGTCTGACCAGTACGAATCACGGTTTCTTATTTGGTTTTCCATCAGGCTGAAAGCACCTGTGCGGTAGTTGCAGCCTCGTGTGCGATAAGTGCATGTCCAGTGCGAAGTGCCACTCCAGACAACGCATACTCACCATAAAGTATCAGGGGTTCCGTGGTCATTCGAACTCCCTGTTTACTCTGCACAATGTATGAGCGTAAGAAGGGATTCAGACAAAGCGCACGTACGGTTTCGGGATGCTGAGAGAGACACGAGGGGCGTCAGAGTCAGCATGCAAGCATGAGTGGCTTGGATTGCGCAACTTGTACGGCTATGTAATTTCGTGCGCTGATCTGCTTCACGCTGACTGCTTCAGAAGGTGCTGTGGTTTTGGCGTTAATAGCTCCGGTCGTGCGAACTATCAGCGGTGTCTGCCTGTGTGTACAGGAACCTGTTATTTCCTTCACTCTGGGTCCTACGAAAATAGTCAGTGAGACATACCAACGCAATTCCGTGAGCCTTAGTATTGGAGCGATGTTGGCTAAGTCATGCAAGTTTACCGCGCGCAAGATGGATGGTATGGTCTAGATACGGAGCTCTGTACAGTCACTCTGCTTGGCAAGGCAGTTGGGTAAGGTGAACATGATCAGCAGGCTCAGTCTGGCAAACAAAGGTACGAGTTGACCAAGTGCCTCGATTTATACCCCGCGGTCTTCACACTCGACCTCTTCTCATCCGATGTATCCTGATCGCCGCCCTGCCCGCACCATAGCAGTATTATCAACACATGAAAAGCTGTAGTAAAGGGTATACAGCTACAGATTCGGGATCCGTTCTGGCGCGTACAGACATGTTAATGGGCGGCAGCTGATCCGATTTGTCCCGATAGGTGCGTGTGAGGGCGCGTGACTTGTGCCTTCGGTGAGCGTTGGGCCGACACGAGAAGGAAGTAGAAGTTCCAGGCGAGTAGATGCCTTCAAGCGCAACGATACGTCTGTGTGATGAGTGGTACTGAAGCGAATTAAGATACGGCGGTGTGTTGTCCACGGTCTGCTCCATCCACCAACCACGATCGACTCCATCCACCAACCACGATCGAAAGCGGTGAAGGGTGAAGCGAATCCAGTCGGAAAAGCAGAGCAGGTTTCTATGCATCGCAGTACCAGTGCGCATCGATACTGTTGGTGTTGACGTGACGAGATTTGCTTGCCAGTATACTCGCTGCACCTCTTCGCAGGGTCTCAAGGGCGCTTCGACTACACACCGACCAGTCCGCCATGATTTGACGCTTGCACCGATCGACATAAACCCTCCACTATCGCGAGATCGCATTTATATGGAATGCGAGATGACTGCCAGTGAACTGCGAGAAGCGAAGAACTGAAAGTATTGTTCCTGGCACCGCAGAGTCAGAGAACCGCCCCAACGTGACTCGCAAGATGACGTTTGAATTGAGTTCGACGATTTGCGAAGATATGCAGACTGAAAGGAGACCTTTAGTATTTGTCACTGTTCCCAGCTCAATCGGCCGGCCTGTGCCATCAGAGAGGAGGGTACATCCTGTTTGAGCAGTCCCTCGGAGGCGCTTGGTCGCAACACTGTTCAGCGAAGGGTTCCAGCCCGGCTGTTCAGCGGGCGCTTCCGCCGAGCACATCGGCTCCTGCATGCTGTCGATTCTCGATCACGTCCTTGCCATTGCAGGCCAATCCCGGTGCACTGCTGGGTGCAGGGCTCGATGTTAATGGCGAGTGTGTCTTCGGCGAGGTCGTTCCACGCCTGCCTGCCTGTCTCTCCGTTGTCAGAACCCTTAGTAAGAGCAGCCAAGCTGTGAAGAGCGCCACAACGACCATCTTTCTCGGCATTCTTGCACTTCCTCGACCTCTACGCTGGTCATGATCAGCGCTAAACCAGCCACATTCGGACGCGGGAAGGTGAAATGTTCTGTACAAATGTTGGTTATATTGGACCTAGGGTACGTTGTCAGAATGCATGCAGATGCAATGGGAGATGCCTGCATTGTGAGTCGTGAGGTTTTGCTGCCTTAGCCGCTGATCGTGAAACGTCAACGAAGAGAAGAGCTTACTGCGGTGTGGGAGCAAAGGGGTCGGGGGTGGGGTGTGCCGATCCGATTCGTGCACCCCTTAGATCCAAGTCAAACAGCTTCCTGGTGCTGCATCTTGCTTTGGCAAACAAGGAAACGCCGTGCGTGAACAGAGGGTGCCAAATGACCGCAAAGACATCCACAAGGTGCAAGCAGAGCGTTGTGCTGATTCGTTCGTGCATTCAGGCACGCAGCATGGCTGCCACGGCCCATACGAACCCAGAACAGGGGTACATTCCAGTTGCCAGACACGGGCGTAGAAAGAAGTATTTATTGGTGATCCACAGCTATGAACAGTGCTATCAAGGTGCGCCGCAATCAGTTTGTAACGTGCAAGACCAGGCCGGACCACTCTTCGATCGAGGCCAGAGTTTGGTCGCCGGTGTGCCGCTGTCAGAGCTACAGACTCAAACCTCCGTATCGTGCACGTCAGCTTACAGGCCAGGACCGCGAAATGAGACTGTCGCTGCCACCAATTGAAGAGCCAGGGAAAAAATAAAAAGGGCGAGAAGCTGAGCAAAAGTAACGAGAGTGCACTGCTGCGGGCGTGCGGGTAAGTTTCAGAGATTGACGCAAAACTGGGGTCTCATTGGCGGCGCGGATCTCGTTAATCTGATCTTGTAGATCAGCGTAAATGGAGATCCCTGCTCAAGTGCATGGTGGTGATTGGCTGAATCGGGATGTATGCCAACGCAGTGCTCGGAGTCTCGAATTCTGGACGAACCCCGCCGAGGACGCAAATGTGATGCGAGTTGCCCTTGTTGGAACAAATGCACGGCCGGCTGCGTACTCGCTGACCCTCGTACTTCACAGCCCCGGACACGGTCCGGTCGATATTGAAGGCGGGGCGGGGCGGGTCGCACACAGCAAGGTTGTGTGCGTGCGAGCGTGTAACTTTTCAAGGTTCAACGTCGCCGACCTGTTCTGTGCAGTGATCTGTAGCACGGCATCGAAGTTGGATGAATAATTTCCCCACGCCGATAACACCGTTTTCGTTACCTGCCTGCTGGATCCCAGGTCTTGACGGCGTTCGCCTGGCGTCAGAGAGCTGCATGGCGCTCAGATAAACAGCAAGTCATATTGTTGCAAGGACCATCCGAATCACACTCGCCCATACCTAGTGTGTGGATCGTTTCTCTTTTCCCCTGCGTCGATTAAAGCCGTCTGTGTATAGAGTTCCAGGTATGAGGGACAACCTTGTCAAAACAATCTTGAGATAATAAGCATAGTTCTTATGATTCGCGATACAGCTGCGAGTCGCGGATGAATGCCCGACGGAATGGCGCCTCATCTGCACAGGGAAGGGCAATCAATCTACTTCGTATCATCGGAGCAGGTTGCAGCATCGATATTGACATGCTCGAAGGCCGAGGATGTTCGGTCCTCGAAATTGGTCGTACAAACCGCGGAGGCCGCGAGGATTGGTCGATGCTTTGCGTGCGAACCCGAAGCCGAATGGGCAGGCATTATTGACCACAGCATGAGCCACAATTGATTGCTGGGACCACCGTTAATCCCAGAACATAGGAACGACGTATGCCTTTTGCTGCTGATCCCGAAGCCCATGACAAACAGTTCCCCCACTGCAGACGCCCAGCTCCATCAACGGCTGTCGAGGTGTTTACGGCGAACAGGACGCGTGACAATTGATGCGCTTGGCATACGGTCGCAGCTGAACATTGTCCTTACATGCAGCCAGGATGCTGAGTGAGTAGTGCGAGCCCTCTCTGGGATGCATGCACGGTGGACGGGAAGCAATTGCTCGGATGCTGTCTGTCCTGTTGGAGACGTCTCATGGCGATGGATAATTTCGATGAGATCGGTCATGGCGGCCGTTGAGCTACCCTGGCGACGGGATTCATTGCCATGGATAGGCGAGCCGCTCTAGGTAAGTGGACGGCGAGGTCGCTGCCTTCGTGCGAGTTTGTATGCAGGCGGCTTACTGGTGACGAAACAATCACTCGGAAACGTTGACTCCCGGGTCGCACTTGGCCAAAGACGGTCTGGACTACCCAGTAGCTCGGAAGGGAGTTTCACCCCCAGGATTTGCTCAAGCCACAGCACAACGCCTGCAGCCTCATCTTCAGGGATTGCGGCCAGCCCGAAGGCATCCCGGACAGTGAAACTGAAGGACTGTCGCGTGGGGGAGCGAGGGATGGGCGCGTGGCTGCTCCTATTTTTTGCACAGTGACAGGCACAGCGACTTCAGAATGCGGACAAGTGACACATGAGGCTGGTAGCAGATAGAGTGTGCTTTAGAGGTACCCTGTGAATACCCACCAAATGGCGTAATGGGCCAACAGACATGGCGGTCAGTGGGCAGTATCGATTGTCGACGATGCTGTGCAGTGGATGAAGTCAACATTCCAAACGTCGCCGACTGAGAGAGGGTAGCACCGCCGCTGATTGGGGGAGGCGCCCGTTGATGTCCGCCGCTTCGTCTCGTCAGAATTGTCCGCATCAGATCAAAGGTGCTGGATCTGGCCGACAGACGGTGACTGCTGGCCTGGAACGATGGATGGGCGATGATGCGCTCTGGGTGGACCGGGCGGGCAAAACGTTCTGGCGTTGGCGAAGCCGCGGTCTGTCCCTTCCCAAACCGTGATCCGCTTCCCAAAGGGGATGCCCACTAAAAAGATTTGAATTTGAATGGCGGCGCTGGGTTGGCTGGCCATTTCCAACGAAGTGGGCTTGCTGTGCGTCGTCCCGCCGGCAGATCGCAGCCAAGCAACGGCGGCCTGCGACGAGCGTTGCGAGAGCCGCTGCAGGCTGACTGTGCCCGAGGGCTGGCTCCCGAGGCAGACGGAATCGCTGGCCTGTAACGTCCGAGGAAACGCTAGTGTGTCGCTGGAAATGCAGCAAAAACCATGCGAAAACAGGCCCATCGCTAGAGATGCGTGCGCTGACACTGTCGTCGCCGTTGCTGCTGCCGACTACGTATTGAGCCGGGCGAACGACAGGGCCGAAAAGGAGTGCGTTAAAAGGCCAAGCTCACCTCGCCGACCTCGTGTGCTCTACCAAGGGGGGCCGTGACGATCGCACTATGCCGCCCTGGGTGCAGCGGCAAGCCTGAGTACCCGTTTGATCGACGAGTGAGTGGTGACTGCAACGTGCCTCGTGCGGCGCTCGCTGCTGGGGAACGAACAGCTGGCGGTGCTGGTCGTGCAGGGGCAGAAACACCACGATGTGTCTCGCACGGCAAGCTGAGGGCTGCTGTCATGGCGTATTGTACGCCCTCGTTTGTGTTTGTGTCTACCTTCGTGCCCTTACCACCGCGTGGCTGCTATTCATGGCAGGCGCAAGGGCGGTCACAGGCAAGGGCTACAGGCGCAGTTTGCGGTTATAGTCCGGGAGATGCCTTTCCGCCCGCCGCCTACCAGGATAACGGTACACGGTGCCAGAAGCAGCAGAAGCAGCTCAAGCCTTAGGACCAGGCTTAGGTCTACCAGCAAAAATGAAAGTTTACATCCAGCTGTGAACAGCACCTCGAGCCCCCTGGCCATTCATGGCCGCCGGGCGGCCTCAGGACCAGGTTTGGTTTTACAGCAGGGAGGGCCAGCGTCGTGAATGTGTGGATCGCCCACCGGGTGGGGGTATTTCTGACTGTGTCCATGCTGTCGTAGAAACACGTCCAGACTCCTCGACCGCCCCTACACCCCGTTGATGCAGGGCGAAACGGCCAGGGCCCCCAGTAACTTACAGCCTGAGGCGAGGGATGCGGGCCTGCAGCGGGTACTGTCGATGCAGTACGGTAGATGTTTGGCCGCGAGCGTTGCAGGGGCAGCCATTTGCCCCCTTCTCCCAGGATAGAATGCGAAGCTCGGCGCTGGCATTTCATTTTTCTGCCGCTAGCACGCTCCAGGGCTAACAGGGTGCAATACTCTGTAGCGCCCAAAGACGCCATGCCACGATGTGTTACAGGGTTAAGCTCGAATCCGACGATCCGGTCCACTTCCAGGGAACTGCTTGTGTGCGTCGACGACAACGACTACATTAGCCCGTCGGCCCAGCTAGGGACCCATAGCGCCGCATGACGCCCCAGCGCTCCCCGACCATCATCTCACCAGTGCCTTAGCCGCAGCCTCTCAAAAGCAGAGCCCTCGCACTGTCAACCGTCCCGAACAGTCGATAGCACCTCGACCGCCTTGGCATCCGTTCACCACACTAACCTTCTCCGTGCCTGCTTAGATATATACTGCTCGCCGCCTGGCACGCTGCTGTTGGCTCTGGGATCATACAGTCAATCACATCTCAGATACCGCTCTTCAACACAACATTAAAGCATTCCGTCTTAGTGTATTCCCAGCATTCGGTAAGTCAACCATCATCACTGTCGCCATGCCCTTCATGACTATCCCTGCCCTCGACGCCCTCACCACGCGCTCGACGACGAATGTGTCTACCTCACACAACAACTTGAGCTTCGTCTTTGCATCTTTACGTACTCCCAACAACAGAAATGGTGTCTTCGTCACTTGCCCCAATATTCTCTTATAGCGCCCGGCCGCAGTCACTGACAACAAGTTCAGCAGACTGTGAACATAAACCGCGGACTCTCCAGCAGAACATTCTCAGAACACCTACATCGACGAGCAGTATACCTTCAGTGGCATACATCTCGTCGTATTCATCACTTCTATCTAAATTCACACAACCGGACGACTACGATATGGTAGCTCACCGCCGCGGCCCCTGGTCGCAACATGAGGACCAGTGGCTTGTTAACCTCGTTGCTCGCAACGGTCCGCACAACTGGGTACGCATCTCGCAGGAGATCGGCTCGAGATCACCAAAGCAGTGTCGTGAGAGATATCACCAAAACCTCAAGCCATCATTGAATCATGATCCCATTACACCAGAGGAGGGGGATCTGATCGAGAAGATGGTCGCTGAGATGGGCAAGAGGTGGGCCGAGATTGCGAGAAGGCTCAAGGGACGCAGCGATAATGCAGTGAAGAATTGGTGGAACGGTGGCCAGAACCGCAGGAAGCGCAACCCAGAACGTCCTGACCAGCGACCTCGCGAGTACTCCCAGACTTCAGAACACTACCAGTACCCACTGGCACCCCAGCATATGCAACATCACGAAGAGCAGCACTACCACGACTCTCGTCGCTCCTCTTTGAACGTTCCCATGCACACCCCATACGGCGTCAAGCTGCCCCAGCCTCAGCGCTTCGAATCATACCCTGGATCACGACCAAAGCCTCTGGAGTTGTACGGACAGCCTGCCAACGTACGAGCACGAGGCTTCGAGACACCCATGCCTTCGCCTTCAGGCTACTCTTCGGTTTCAGCTGATGGCGCACCATCTCTCATCACAGACACTGGCTCAGAGTCAAGGTCACCTCGCGGCGCCGCATCCCCTCTCGACATCACCCTTGCACCCTTGGTCGGAAACAGGGACGAGCGCAAGAATTCGAGCACTCGCTACCTGCCTTCCACAGGTTTCGCTGTCGAGGATGACGTACACTCTACAGCCTACAATTCATACGGGCACCGTGGGTCTCTGCACCTTCCTCCTCTTTACCGCGAGGCGCCGGCATACAAGGAGCCACATCACGCCCAGCACCACTCACAGCCGCTCACAACTCAGTCTGCACCACAGCACGTCCACCACCATTCAATGCCTCAATCATCGAACCTCAGCGTTGCACAGCGCGCACTGCCAGGCTTCCACTCTCTGACTGAGCCTGTACTGCCTCTCCCTTCTCCATTCAGCGCAGCCTCCAGTCCCGCAGCAAGGCAACTTCCTTCACCATACGCGCGGTCCGCTGAAGCCCAGCGTGCACCAGTCTCACCCAAGGACAAGATGAGTTTGAAGAACATCATGTAGATGTCTGTTCATATTTCACGCTACTTCTTATACCCGGTCCTATTCATACACCATCTGCACTGCAAGTTTCACATCTACATATTTATAATGCTCGATCATCACGGCATGTCATCGCTGGCAAGCCTGGCACCGCTCGGTGTCAACGTTTTGTATCTTCTTTTACTTCACTTGCATATATGGGCCCGGATTAGCACAGAATAGGGAGATTGGCAGGGTAATTCTTTGGGCCCTTGCATCTAGGACGGTACGAACAAAAAGATACCCCACAAACGGTTTCATGGTGGAAAGGGGAACCATGGCATTGAGCGATCGAGCGAGTCAGCATTCTTGCACTTGTTCTTTAAATAATACCCATCAGCGGCTCAGCTGAGCATTGCAAACAATCGAAGCGTCACAATACAAATCACTCAAATAACTCTCTCCACGCTCCAGGAATGGTACACCTTCGTCTGCCTTCAGCACTGACATCTTTTCCTTAACCACATTAAGATCAGCCGCCACCAACCCCTCGGAGCTGGCCATTTCGGGGACCTGCTTGATCTGCAGTGCGCCATTACGGCCGCAGAAAAGATCCACAGCATAGTGCCACCACTCTCGTCTCAGCTTGCCAAGAATGCGCACTGGCTGTCCGCTGCTGCTCGAGAACCTGGCTTGAGCGTTATCACATCGAGCAATTGACCGTTGCGAGGCCGTGAGGATCAGCATGAGGTTTGTACAAAGAGCAGGGATACCCCATCAGCTGATCAGTCCGGATCGACGCATCATCTGGCCTCGCACATCAGCATCTCTCGACTCTTGCCTCGATACCCGCATCGGGAGTGCACGAAGTTGGCATGGTGTAGAACGGCGACCTAGGATAAGTGCATTACCACAGCAATGAACATGTTTAACATGTCACTCTCACGTTGATCGATCAGCTGCACGATGGTTTTGCGTCATGTATCGATTTGGCTGTGGCAGGGATTGCGGTCGCCGACCTCAGGGATAGCCAACGTCAACACCACAATTCATGTGGAGACCCGAATCAGAACAACGCTTATGCGAAATGTTCTGATCCGTGCAGACACTTTTCTCGGTTTCATTGAAGAACCACAGTTGAATCAAATCAATGTTCGGCGAGTGACTTTCCACAAAGCAGAAACTGCAGTTGGTTCTCACCACAAGATTACTGCGATGTTGGATGCGACTGAGGTCAACAATAATCGTTTGCGATCTATCATTGGAGGAGAAGAAAATGCAATTGCTGGCCCGCAAGATTTCACTGGCTCGGAAGAACATTTTCTCACTGATCATGCACCTGACCGCTACGTACGGCGAGGTGCATCAATGTTGGGATACATCTCCAGGCGTGTGAGTGACTTCAACAAGTCCATCTCTTCACGCAATTTAAAGTCTTCACTGGATAGAAACCAGATCCTACTAGGTGCTCGTAAAAGCTCACTGGGGGAGAGCCTACAGTAGTACTGGTGATTATTCAGACCTTTGGAGCGCCAAGGTCGGCATGCAGCTAAGGACTACGGACGGCGAACGACCTTTGTGCTGGGTCAGAGCTGTTGAGGTTTATTTCCGTGTGCACGCTGGCACGCCATGCAAGTGACGAGGCCGTGGGGATGACAACGGTGCATCTGAGTCGTAAGCCCCAACGCAGTGACATGCATTCAGCACGTGAGATGCTGCATTTCGACGTTTACAATGAGATCTGGTAAAGCGTACTGTAGACTATAGGGGCACGTAGACGACAGTTATTCTAAGCACAGCATCCTCCTTTCCCAACGTCTTCGACCACGGCACGACCTCGTACCAATCTCCCTGACCCGTCACTCACCGTATACGCTCCTCTCATCGTTCACCATACCCCTCTCACCACACCTCTCTCACCATACCGCACCGGTAAGCACCCGACAGCCAGCATTCGAAAGTACTGGCTGGCCTAGACGGGATTCGCTATGCTACTCGCCCAGCTGAAGGAGCGGCAACGTTGTTTAACGTGTCTCGTCTGGCGCACGACAGGCCGTCAACCGTCACTACCGTTTCCATCCAAACTTTCAGTCGCCGACCACTCTCTAGGGCGCTCTAGTACTACCCACTCTCCATCGAGAGCCACCCATCTGTCTTTGGCGTCGCTAGTGCATATCGCAGCCTATTCGGGCCGCGCTAGCTACCTACGGATACCACGATCTCGACTAGATGCATCTAGGTATTAGAGTTTAGGTTTAGTCTGCGTTCGGTAAGGCATGCAACCGTTGGCACTTTGGGCGGTAAAGGGTGGTGATCTGTGGTGGCTTCGCGGGCTTTGGTGATGGGCGTTGTGCTGCATCATTTAGCGCTTCGTTGACAGTGGTTCTGGTACCGCGCCGTTGCTGTAAGCGAAACTGAAACCATCATAACTCAAATCCGGGCTCGGTACCGCACAAACTATCTCTGATGAACACTAGGTAGTCTGCAACCACCAATACTGCTTAAGGGATGATCGTAATTTTTGTGCGAAGTGACCTGAAGTGCCAAGTTCGATAGAGGAGCTGTGACTTGCTGGAAATACGGGGTGTGTAAGCGCGCGAGAAACTGTCACGAGAGCTGCAGAAGAGCGCCACGGCGCGGCTTGGGCCCTTAGCGACCTGAAGTGCTGGTGAGTTTGCACTACAGCTTCAAAATGCTGCAGGTGAAGCAGTCGGTTGTCTCAAAGCGAATTCACCCACACCACCTCAAAGTTCTGTCAGACATGTACAGATGTCTTTCGGCAGATGTCGACTGCACTTTGGTACCCTGAATTTCGAATCAGGGGCGGGCCGAGGTGGATCCTGTCCACGCAAGCAAAAAGCGGTACCGTAGAGACGACGGTGCGTCGGACGAAAGTGCGATACGTGGGCGACAACGGGACCGTTATCAGCTCATGTGGAAGTATCCAACGTCCTCGTTGTGCATATCGCTCTCGCTATCGTATTCGATTGGTGTGGACCGAACAATATACGATGTTGATTTGTCCAATGGTTGTTCTGCGCCCGTTATTGATGTCGACCGTATCCGCTTATGCGCGCCACTCATATCTCGTCACTTCACCGCTGCTCTGACGATTGCAGTTCGCTCGGTCTCCCTTCGCCGTACACCGTGTGGGTGTGGGAGCGTCGTGGCATGCTGTGACCAAGTCTTCACGGGCAATATTCATCAGGTCTGGAAGATTTGGGCATTTGGACGCACAGCACACGAATTACTGATTGGCCAATCTCTGTTCCTACTGGAATTTTGCTCTGTATGGGTCATCTGCAGCAGGCCTTTGGAATCCTTCCAGGTTTACTGTATGTATCAGACACCATCAAGTGCGGGTGCGGTCGCGACGAAGATCGTATGATGACCTTGGGTTGGGTCTTTACAACTATTGACCACGTCTGGCGCTCAGTTACGCATTCTGGATGACCTTGTGTGAACGACGAGCAAGAGATGCTGATGATTTGGTCCGCATCGCCTCTTGAAAACCAGCTGAGGGTGCGTCCAGGGCAACCAACTTTCGAATCCAGTCTTAACATCTGGCAAAGAGTCAGACTAAGGTGCCTCGGCCTGCTGGAGCATGTTAACGGATGAACCGTGTTCACCAGGAATCTGCCATGGCGACTTATTTCAATGAAGTCATCCCCAGTGCGCGATACGGAAGGCTGGTTTGAACACTTAGATCCTCAGGTGTCAATATGCGCATTGGTGCTCCTTTGGAGGACAAGAGATTGACAGCATCTGGTTGAGCACCAGGTGCCCTGATGTCTGCACACATCAACCACAAATTTGGCCAAGATACTGTCTCTTAAAAGTTAATATCAATAAATCGCTTGTGCTTGTGATCTGGACACTGATTCGAAAATTGTTGACGTATTCTGGTGGAAAATCGTGAGGCTGGGGTAGGTACTTCGTAAGACACGAGCGTGACGTCACCAGCGTCTGTGCTCGACGCGCATGTTCGCGCGACAACATCCCTCTACTTTTAAGTACGGACATGTCCAAACAGTGGCAAGGGCTTCAGATGTGTGTGGAGAATTCAGTCACTGTGGTATTCTTTCCCTAAAAGAAAAGGCTTCGCTGAGCTGTCATCTCGACGCAAGTCATCTGCTTTCACCGCTGGCCTGCTTGAAGCTTGGGCCGCACAGAGCATGGCTTCAAAAAGCTACTTCGTAGTGGTAGATGGGCTCGACCTTGCCGATATTAAATATGGCCGCGATGACATCCTGTCGGGGTCCTTGAACTCGGTCCTGAGCTCAAGTCATACAGTCGTGTCAATAGAATTGAGTAACATCGACTTCCGCGAAGAAGCTCTGTTGCAGCTCTACGACAACAGCTGGAGGAAGGTGAAGTCGCCTGCTCTCATCGAATGTTAACGTCAAATTCAACCTGCTCAGCAAACGAATGCTTTGTCACATTCTAAAGGCGCCCGATACCAATAACAAGGTCAAAGCGATCATGACTCAGACCAAGTGCAGTTGAGGGATCAAGATCGGGCACACTTGGCTCGATACCTTGCACTGAACAACAAGAATTTCCAGGAACACAGGGTGTTCGAATTCCCGTCTACATGAATACCTTAAGGCATCCCGGCCGGTGTTGGAAGGAACTCAGCGACTAAGGCTGATAGTCTCCCCTACCTACTTATATGCTTAAGGCCGACTAGCTCGAAACCGGTGAGGTCTTCAGAAACGACTTTACCCTAAGTATTGGTCAAGTCCCGACAACATCCCTTCAGCACAGCAGCCACTGTCTCGTGTCGCAGACAGAAGTGGCTATTATATCAGGAGTATCGGAGCCCCCGGAAGACTTCAATCGTGAACGATGCGTAGGTGAACTTTGACAACCTCCATAATTGTCAAGGAAGAAGATCTCATGGCTGACGTTTTCTGCCGCCCGAGGTATACTCTATCGATCTGGCTGATGTCTGATTCCAGACGCTCATGCTTACAGCACGATAATTTTCTGCGTAGCTGATCACCCGATGTAAATTCGGTGTTTCATCAGTTCCTGCAGCTGTTCCTGCCCGTCAAGCTTGATACCATCAACCCTTTGCGGGGAAATACGAGGAGACGGCTGCAAACAGTGCATACACCAGTCTTTTGCCCTGGATTCAGAACAAGGAAGCTAGGATCGCCATTGTCACGCTGGGCAAGTCCTACGAGCCGTGCACCATATTCCATTTTACCGGATCCGAGAACCAGACTCTTTCTTGATCCGTCACAACATTATGGTCCTTGGAACTACATCATGTTGGCAAGATATCGAGCAGGGAAGACTGGAACCGTAACAATGATGCGTACAAATCCAGGCTTGCCGTCGAGTAAATTTTATACCTTGACGACGCTGCCTTAAATAACTAAAGCGACATTGATGTTTTCGTGCTCATAGACCAAAGTACTCCTTGCTTGCATATTATCTCTACGCATTGGGCTGTCGCCTTAGAGTCACGATGGCCGTGGCCTCTACAACCTGAAGTATTCTTTACGAGTTATAAAACCGGGTCAGGTTCCTCGACGCGACTCGAGGCGACACCCCCGCGTAGATCACAAGGCTGGACCGTCGTTCATGAGGGCTCTGTGCGGACTGATGGAAGAACTTGGTAGTCTACGATAAAAGGTCTGATATTTGGGATGGAAGGAGGCAACATCTATCGCATAGAAGCAATCTTAAATTTCAAGTTCCTGAATCACACATGCCATTCTGAAAAATGAGCAAGCGCAACATAACAGGTCACGTCGCTCTACTTCCAAGTAGTGTCTACCGTTGCTGTGCCTGCGCAGCCGTTGGGCACCGTGTAAGCTCTGTTTGCACCTGACTCATAGGTCACAGACCCGCTGCTCTCGACCTTTATGAACTTGTACTCGAAGCTGGTGCCAGCAGGCAGGTTAATAGCGATGGTCCATAGAGGGTTAAAGGACGTGTACTGCGAGGCAGACAGGGCTGGCGCTTGCGACGTATCCCAGCTTCCCAGCTGTGCAATAGATCCTGCGATCTTAATTGTCTGGCCAACTACTGTCGTCGTCTTGGAGTTGAATGTAACAGCCACGGTTGTGAAAGGTGTGGCACATCCAGTGGCTACAGTGGTCGAAGTGGCCTTGGTTGAGGTGGGTACTGCAGGAGCGGAGGCCTTGCTGGTTGTGGTGGGTGGGTTTGAACCTGTATCAGTGATCTTGATGTCCGCGCAGGTCAGATAGACCTGTGGTGTTTGGAATGAGTTCCACTTAAAGGAAAGCAGAGTGTGGTTCGACACGTAGTTCGGAATCTTAATCTTCGAAGAGACCTGGTCATGTCAGCAAGGAGTCCGTCATCGTCTCGAGGACAAAGCACCTACGGTGTAGCCGCCAGCAATACTGGTGTAGCAAGAATTCAATGGCGCGTTGTCCACACCTCTACACTTAGTATCCTGAAATCCCTTGCACGTGAACCAGTCATTCCTCCAGCAAGCCTGTCCTTGCTGACAGTCTGCATTGTATCCACATGACTGCCCACTCACGTCAGTGCATGGAAGTGTGCCCTTCTCGAAACAGTTCTCTGCAGCTTGCTTCTCAGCATCGGTTGGCAAATATCCTGGTGTTATCAACTTGTCGACAAGCGCCTGATCCTGGCAGATGCGGTAGCTAAACATGCCGCCGTGGTCTCCATTGTTATCAAGACACCACTGGACATCGACTACGTCGCCGCCCTTGTAGATAATTACTGGATCAGAACCCCAGCGAGGTCCGGGTTGGTTGTAGTCCACACTGACGCGAGCGTTGTACCCGCAGGGCCCGCTGCGACCAACTTGGGCTAAGTTGAGGTCTGGCCATGCTGTGACGGGCTCGAGGATGGTACACTCAGGGCAAGTGTCTGCTCCAGATTGGGCGTTGAGGCCAGTCCGACTCATGGGAAGGGAGAGGTAGCCATGGGCTTGAATGCCAGCGGCAAAAGCAAGAGCTTGAGCTACGACCCACTTCATGATGAGAACGTGAAGAGGGATTGTTCGCAATGAAGATGAGAATTCAACATCAGATAACCAAACTTCCATTACGCTATATAAATAAGGCATGAAACCACCCTTCTAGCTTGACTCTGATCATACTCACGATCACCGAGTTTATATTATCGCTGCATCTGCCCATCCCATCATATTCACGAAGCAATATATTACACTCCGACTGTGGGCAAATAGTATGCAAGGTACCCACAAAACATTCTCAAGCAGCGGACTTTATAAATTACGGGAGCATCTACGTTCTTACGGCCCGGGTCCTAAAAGGAAAGACCCCCAGTACCACGAGTTCAAATTGCGGGGCTCTGCGCCCAAACCTGGAGCCATGCAGCAAGACTCCGAAGCCAACGACATGCTCGAAGCACCCAGATACACCTGTAATACCGAGCTTGCATCAGAGTTGCGTTCGAGATCGCGCAGTGTCTTGCTTACAATGTATTGCCGATGTATGTCGTCGTGAAAACCTTGAAATATGGGAGATAACTTCTGGTGTTTTGTCGATCGCGGACATCAGCCCGGAAATGAGCTGCATGAGTTGTGGAACAGCAGAGCTATGATGAACTAAGCTGTACAACTGCCCGTTTGAGCATGATGCCCGTTTGATCTCCGGTGACTACCTCATCCCGCAATGTAAAAGAATGTTCCTCCAGAGTTCCTCCCCGTGGCACGAGATAAAGTTTCATGCAAGAGACTCGGTCCGAGAAGATTTGTACCGTCCTGCCGGTCATTCGATAAATTCTGGGCGATTCTGAGTGGCTGCTTCTCGGCCCGCCGTGCTAGCGTGCTTACGGCTGTCAGGAACAACGCACCCTCACGCATGCCACTCCACAAATGACCGTATGTCAGCCGGGGCTTACTTGGGCTTCATGATTCATGGTACGCTGGAGATATAGTTCCAGACGACCCTCCAGCAACGCTGATCCACGAATTACGCACGCTCTCCGCCGTGGGAAGGTGAAAGGTGGAGCCTCAGCTATATATTGAGCTTCCAGGCTGCTCGAACGGGACCATTATCAGAAGCATTGACGCTTCGGATTATTCGAAGAGCACGTATCAGTATGACATTCCTCAAAGCTGTCGTTGCCTTCCTGCTCCAGATCACTACCCTAGTCCATGCTGCAGATACGGCTGCATGGAAATCACGCAGCATCTACTTTGTGCTTACAGACCGTGTAGCCCGCAGCAGTGGCGACACTGGAGGCGGCTCATGCAGCGACCTTGGGAAGTACTGTGGCGGCACGTTCAAGGGTCTAGAGTCGAAGCTCGACTACATTCAAAACCTAGGCTTTGATGCCATTTGGATCACACCCGTGGTCGCGAGTACGTAGCTCGTTGTTGCCCACTGCATCAAACTTTGACTGACAACCTACGCAGATAGCGCAGATGGCTATCATGGGTACTGGGCACAAGACCTGTACGCGGTGAACTCCAACTACGGCACTGCAGACGACCTGAAGAGCCTTGTCAGCACGGCCCATTCGAAGGTACGCTTTCACGTATGCATGTGCCCCTGTGCGGCTGCTTATCCGTTTCTAGGGCATCTATATCATGGTTGATGTGGTAGCGAATCACATGGGTTTCGCGAACATCGCCGACAACCGCCCAGCACCACTGAATCAGGCTTCAGCTTACCATACCGCCTGCGACATTGACTACTCAAACCAGACCAGTATCGAGAACTGCCGTATTGCCAATTTACCGGATATCAACACTCAGAACTCTGAGATTCGAATACTCTTGAATACCTGGGTTAGCTGGCTTGTGAAAGAGTACAGCTTTGACGGCGTCCGCATCGACACCGTCAAGCATGTCGAGAAAGAATTCTGGCCTGGCTTTTCCTCCGCCATAGGCACTTTCTCGATCGGAGAGGTATTCAACGGCGACCCATCCTACCTCGCCGGGTAAGTGCAACTCCTTGTTCGCCTACAGGCAGAACAACACAGCTAATTTAAACATAGGTATGCAAAGTTAATGCCTGGACTACTTAACTATGCTGTCTACTATCCAATGAACAATTTCTACCAGCAGAAGGGCTCATCACAGGCGCTTGTCGACATGATCAATACCGTCAGCTCTTCTTTCCCCGATCCCGCAGCGCTCCCAAATTTCGCAGACAATCACGATCTCCCGCGGTTTTTGAATCAGAAGAATGACCAAACCTTGTTGAAGAACGCACTGGCATTTGTGGTCCTGTCCCGGGGCATTCCAATCCTGTACTACGGGACCGAGCAAGGGTACGCAGGTGGTGCTGACCCTGCCAATCGCGAAGACTTGTGGCGCAGCAGCTTCAACACCAACACAGATTTGTACCAATCTATCGCAAAGCTGACTGCTGCACGCAAGGCTGCTGGCGGTCTTGCCGGTAATGACCACACACACTTGTACGTCGCGGATAACGCCTACGCCTGGAGCCGTGCGGGAGGAAACCTCATTGTCCTTACCACCAACGCTGGCAGTAGCTCCAATGCCCAGCACTGCTTCAATACCCAAAAGGCGAATGGTCGTTGGACCAACGTCTACGGTGACGGTGCCACTGTCACCTCTGATGGGAATGGCCAAGCTTGTGTCAACGTAGCCAACGGTGAGCCTATTGTTCTGCTGGCCTCTACAGCTTCAATGACCACCGCTTCACCTACCACCCCGCGGGCCTCATCCACTTTGATCCGTAGCACGACCGGCACTGCTTGTCCGACCGCAGTATCTGTATCGTTCACGGAGCGCGTTGTGACTGTGCTGGGCGACACAATCAAGATCGCTGGCAATACTACGCAACTCGCTAACTGGAATGTGGCAAGCGCTCCTGCGCTCACAGCTTCGCAGTATACTTCTAGCAACCCAGTATGGAATATTACCCTGATTATGACCCCGGGACAGGTGGTGGCGTACAAATTTGTGAAGATGTCGAGCTCTGGCGCTTTGGCTTGGGAGAGCGACCCGAACAGATCGTACACTGTGCCGGCTTGTCAGGCCAGTGCGAGTGTGAGCAATCAATGGCAATGATGAGGCTAGCGGCATGCGACCTTGTGGTTGCGAGATTCCTTCGATTAATTGCTTGAGTACATCAACGAATCACCTACGTCATGCCCTAGCGAGAAATCTTGTTGTGATGTTGGAAGGCTGGAGCTGTTGGCGCGTTTGTCTTCGCGACGCAGTGGCTGACTCACTAGCGTGGCCGAAGGGCAATCGCGTTCAACGCTTTTGCGTTCCTTCCCGATGCAGTAATCGATCACCTGCGTCGCCGGGGCCCTTTCGACTGATCCTGCCTCACCTTGGGCTCTTCTTCCTGTCGTACATCCCCTCGGAAACTCTCTGATGACAGAAGAGGCGTGCGCGCTCTCAGCTCCGGGGGTCTGATGACGACATCAAGATGGTTTCAGTGTACTCGCAGTTTTCTTCCTGTTAACACTACACTGGCAGATTCTTTCCATCGTCTGACTCGCTCGCTGCATACGTCAGACTTGAACATACCTAAAAGTCATCGCGAGGCCACCGACTGTCGCCGACATGGGGGCTATTCATTGATACTCGGCCGATCAAAGCAGCGGCGCTCCACAAACAGCCGAAAATTTAGGAACCTAAATGCATGTTCTTTTCGCTAGTTACGGCACTGCAACGCAATACCGTTTATACAAATCCCACGTTAAAACGGAATACAGACCAGAATTCATCTACGACTCGGCAATTTTTAAATGTTGAATTTCAACGTTAATGCGCTGTAAATCTACATGCAAGAAGTAGCCTTTTGTAAGAGTCGCTTCGTTACCATCCGAGGTGGCTAAGCAGTGCGCGGCAAATTTGTGAGTGCAATTTAACTACTTCTATCGTGTTCGGGCTGTAGCATCCGAATGCTGGCCAAAGCCGGCATCGATGTTTCCGACCGTCATGATCCCTGCACGAAGGATGCGCTTGCGGGTCAACCTTATCGCAGTGCTCTACTCAGTCGGTGATTGACCTGCCCACGAGGACATATATCACGGTCAGAAACCCATGAAGCTCAAGAGAAGAATCCATGTCGGGGGAAGGCCAACGCAATCGGCATGTCAATGGGAAAATATGACCTGAAGCTTTGAAATCTTCACAGTCACTGCAGCTATGTAGCCTACTTTGTGGGTCTCAATTTTCGTCACCAAAGCACCCACTTGAAAGGTAAAGTGGCACGTGATTCTATTAACATGCCGATTTCGTTGACGTGCCGATTCCGTTGATATGCTGCCGCCGCTAGTACGAGAGCCTACGGGGGACGATTAGAGAGCCCCCACGATAAGAGGAACGCGGATCGCATTCCACTACACAATTTTACAGTCCACAACGCCGGGATGAGTCCTAAATCCCTCCGACACGGTGCGATAAGCAGATACCAAGTGATGCTGGGCCGGCTGATGGGAAGAACGGGTCCAGTATGCCGATCCAACACGCGCCTTGGTGCCCACTGTCGCATGGTAGCAAGCGATGAGCAGCTATACTTCATCGTGTCTCCCTGAACGCCGAGTGCATTTCCAGCTGGATCTCTGATAACTTTCGCCTTCAACCATTCTCGCCATGACTGTCGCCATGGGCCCATCTTCCAAGCTTTTCGAACCGTTGACCATTGGCAATGGCAAGATCAAGCTCGACCATCGCGTTGTGCTCGCACCTATGACCAGGAATCGAGGAACACCACTGAGTGCGGAAAGTACGGCGGAGAAGCCAAATCGCATCTGGCTCCCAAATGACCTCATGGTTGAGTATTACACTCAACGCGCAAGCAAAGGCGGACTGATCATCACCGAGGGCGTCCCACCTTCTCTTGAGGTACTATAATCTTTTGTTACTGCGAGGGGTTTTGATAGCATGAGGGAAATTTGGCACCTTCCAAGTTGCCAGCAGAGCTGACAGAAACGACAGGGCAATGGAATGCCAGGTGTGCCTGGTCTGTTCATCGAAGAGCAAAAGGCGGGCTGGAAGAAGATTGCAGACGCTATTCACGCACAGGGCGGCTACGCTTACGTTCAGATTTGGTAGGAAGAGCATGGCACATATAAAGACAGGGCTGACATGTTACAGGCACTCCGGACGCGCAAACATCCCACAATTGACCGGAACGCCAATCCTTAGCCCTTCTGGTCTGCCTTGGGATAGCTCAGACGAATGTTTCGCATATCCTCCCCCACACACATCCAAACAAGTACGCTACATCGACAACCCACCTATCGAGCTCACCGTTGAGCACATTAAGAAGACTATTCAAGACTATGTGCGCACAGCTAAGTGGGCCATGGAGTGCGGCTTCGACGGCGTTGAGGTCCACGGAGGCAACGGATACCTGCCCGAGCAATTCCTTGCTTCCAATGTCAACAGACGAACAGATGCATACGGAGGTAGTCCAGAGAAGCGATGCACGTTTACGCTTGAGCTCATGGACGAGCTGAGCAAGGCGATTGGAGAGGAGAACTTGGCGATTAGGCTCACACCCTTTGGGTTGTTCAACCAAATTCGTTCCGAGCAGCGTATGGAGACATGGTCCACGCTATGTCGCAAGCTGAAGGAAGCTCACCCAAACTTGTCATACGTTAGCTTCGTCGAGCCGGTGAGTACTGACCTTCGGAATTTGGCAACGTACCGCTGACAGCGACCAGCGCTATGAGCAAATCCACAGCGGGACCGAAAAGCAGAAGTTCCTCGATTCGTGGGGATTGACCTCAATCGACCTCAACCCTTTCCGCGAGATTTTTGGCACAACACCTTTCTTCTCCGCTGGCGGTTTTGATGACACGAACTCATGGGGCGTCTTGGAGTCCGGAAAGTACGATGCGCTCCTGTACGGTAGGTACTTCACCAGCAACCCTGATCTGCCAGAGAGGCTGAAGGAAGGACTACCTCTTGCGCCGTATGATCGCAGTAGGTTTTACGGGCCTTTCGAAGATAATTCAATTGGCTTCACGGATTACCCAGAGTGGCAGCACGGGAGCACACCATAGAGGTCGTACGTTGCGACAAAGCTGTGCTCGAGTTACATCTTTTGAATTGTGTTACCGATGAGCAGACACTGCATCTTTTCTGGTGGTCAGCAACAGCTCTGCGGAACATATCTCGTGGGGGCGCAGATGACCAGTAATGCCTAATGATAGCATTTTCGAAATATCGACATCTTGAAGAGACATGCATGACCCAATACTGCGTCCAATTCCAGACGAAATTAATGCAACTACTGGCTCTAATAGGAGCTACTAGAAGATGTAAGACCTGTCCAGCGTTGGTGCCCACGCATCCTAAGCACAAATTGTCTTAGCAGCATGCAGTCTGCAGCCGAAACAAAACACGACTAATCTGTATTATCCATCGACACTTATACAAAGCCCCACAATGAACACAGTACGCAAAGCCGACTATGCACTGCTAAGTTGTAGTGGGTCGATGGCCCCAGCGTTGAGCTTACTTCGAGTCTGCAGTCTTCTGCACTGCCTCATACGTTGCGGGTAGCGATGTGACTTACTGATTGCTCCCTGGCGATCGCTAAGCCTAGCGGACGCGTCCATGACGTCAGTGAGTCCTGGTCCTAATACGCTTGCCTCAGCAAATATCGACTGAAAACGCCTTTACAAGAGTGTGTCAGGCGGTGTTCTACGTTTTCCGGGAGTATAAGATGCGACCATGATCGGCTCACAAGAGTCGTCTCTATTGCCGTTCAGCAGCACCAAGGTACATTCTCCATAAAAAGTAACAGTGCTACGCCTCGAAGTTCAGTCATCGATGTGTTTCTTTCTCATGATGCAGCCCTTCCATGCCTCATATATAGGTTTCGTGCTAATGGAACTGTAGGATCATGATAAAATTGCAGCATGAAGGCATAAAATGCTGAGTCATGTATCTTGGTCAAAGTCTTTAAAGGGCATCCGCTAAGTGGCCTTCCATCTGAGCAGAGTGAGAGAGTGCTTAGGGAATGTGTAAGCACCCTTATTGTTCCAAGAACTCTGCTTGATTCCAACCTGTTGATCCTCAGCTGTGTTGGTAACCTGGACATGCTCTCCAGTAACAGTGTGAACCTCAACATTGTCCGCGCTGATACCATGAAGGTCAACCTCAAAGTCTTCGTCCTCACTAACGTTGGTGACTGCCAAGTTGGTGTAGCCGTCTTCGCCAGCAACAGCGCAAGTATCTAGAAAAGGTGTCTCGATAGTACCTCGGATCCAGGAAGGATTTGTGCGGCCAGTATACTCGGGTGACTTGACATTCAGAGAAATGGTGTGACCGCGCATATATTTGCTGAATAGGAGCAGCGGCCACCAGATGGTCTGCTTGATTAGGCCGTTCTTGGTCGTCATGAGAGGTGCGATGACGTTGACGGACTGTGCGATGTTGGCCATACCCACATCCTTGGCCTGGCGAATGAAAGTATTGAGAAAAACAGCGACAGCGAGAGCATCGGAGAGCGTGTACTTCTCCTCGGCACCCTTTGAACCAGGTGCGCGGACGGGGTCCCAAACGTTCCACTCATCGAAGCAGATTGTGGGCCTTGGGACCGTCTCAGGTACCTTGTTCTCAATGCGGGCTAGATCAATGAGCGCACTTGTCATCTGGATGGCTCGCTCGGCAGCCCTGGGTGCGGTCGCGTTAGGCAGGTGCTCGTTGTCTGCGGTGTAGATGTGAATGCTGTGCATGTCGATCAACGACTTGGTGGTGTCACCACCCAGGTGGAAGAAGGACCACTTGACGCACTGATTGAGAACGTAGTAGTCCCATGACGAGTAACCAGTCTCACCACAGAGAATGAGGGTGATGGTAGGGTCGAGCAACTTCAGAGCCTTGGCCCATTGCCAGGCCTTCTTTGCGTAGTCTTCCTTAGTCATCTGCTCAACCTGCCAAGGACCCCATAACTCGTTACCAAGTGCCCAGTACTTGACCTGCGGTGACCGTTAGCCCAATTAATACGAGGTACTCGAAGTGATATCAAGCGTACATTGTAAGGCTTTTCACGGCCATTTTTACGGCGGAGGTTAGCATAGTATGAATTGCGATCACCGTTGCAATATTCAAGCCATCCCAGAGCTAAGGTAGAATGCGTTAGTCGTCGGTACCAAAGACATTGAAGACGCGACTAACCTTCAGTCAATGTTCCGGTGCCAAAGTTTAGGCAAAGATAGGGCTCAGTGCCAACGACTTCACACCATTTCATGAACTCATCAGTACCGAACTCGTTGGTTTCTGTGCCGGTCCAAGCAAGTTCGGGCCTGTGTAGATTGTTAGCAAACTGCATACAGGAAGCCTACAGAATGTGTTGATCGGACGCCCGGAAGCAATACTACATCCGGGTAAGGATCACCCGCAAACGGAGATAGAGCAGTTGCCTTACCTTACAGGCCTCTGATCTCTTGGGCCAATGCCATCTCTCCAGTCATAAGTTGCAACAAAGTTACCACCAGGGTAACGGACCACGGGGACTTTCAGTTCTTGAAAAGCCTCGATGACGTCTTTGCGGAAGCCATTCTCGTCTGACAAGGGGTTGCCAGGATCGTAGATGCCGCCGTAAATGCAGCGCCCCATGTGCCTAGACTTTGGTCAATGTGGCTCTGCGCGCAATTTCACCACTTGCTAGGCTTATTGGCTTGATGCTTACTCCGTGAAACCGCCATAGATGTTCTCGTTGATCTTTGCGATCTTGTAGTCTGGGTGAACGCTGATTGAAGGCTTCTCGCCTCCCGGAATGCTTGTGAATGTCGCCATTTTGGTAGTCGATCTATGAACGATGTAGTAGGTGATTGAACAGAGTGCAGACAAAGTGAACAAAAGTACTTCGCGAGTAGTTGCGGCGTGATACCGTGAGGAGTCGCTCAAAGCTCCGTTGTACAAAGTGAGGGGTGATGATTGCCGATGCTAGTGCCGGATATGGCTAGCGGTGGTTCGATGTGATTCGCGGAAAAAGGCTGCCTAGCATTGAGACGGGACGATGACACTCTTGTTGACGCCCTAGCCGTGTACGATGTGCTTACCGACGCCATGCAACGAGCGTCAAAGCTTAGTCTCCAGAAAGCCACCAGTCGTCGCTTCATCATCCTCCCAGGGCGGGGCACTGGGCTCCATCTAGCAATCGGACCAGGCACATTATGCAGGCAGACGGTGCAGCTAGCGACGAAAAGTGGAGTCGCAAAGAGACCTGGGGAATTAGGATGCTCGGTAGGTCATTCGACACGGCTTCCTCAGTCAGCGGTAGCAATGTACAGCAAGCAGGGCAGACTGGCACTTAGTCGAGACATATAAAGCGCGTGTGGATCGCTGTGTGGGGTTGGTATCCCCTTGTTGCAGCATCGCAGTCTCAAGCAGTTGATCATTCACGATGGCGCTTCCTCCTAAGTGGTACCAGGTAAGCGAGTCTCACGATCCATGATGCAGATTGTGCAGGCGACAGACGACCAGCGACGCGGAACCCGAGGTGATGATGCTGTCAGCACCATGCTTTGAAGGTTGTGGTTGCAAGTTGACTGAAAAGTGTCTCGATTCCAAGATGCTACCGGGTCAAGATGTCAACGAGCTGTATACTGACCAAATTGCAGTTCTTGGTCGGCCTCTTTGCCTCCCTTGGATCTCTCCTCTACGGTTACGATTTGGGAGTGATCGCGCAGGTAATTGCCTCGCAGTCGTTCAACTCCACGTTCAAACCGGAGACAAATGAGACTGGTGCGGTAGTGTCGGTATTCACGGGTGGTGCCTTCTTTGGTGCTGCAATCGCCGGTTATTCCGGTGATAAGCTTGGTCGCCGATGGACCATCTTTATTGGTGCTGTCATCTTCTGTCTCGGAGGTGCGCTCCAGACTGGTGCTCAGGCTCTGTCGTACCTGTACTCTGGCCGCGCTATCGCTGGTCTCGGTGTTGGTGTGCTTTGCATGATCATTCCCCTCTACCAGGCCGAACTGGCTCACCCTAGCATTCGTGGTCGTGTCACGGCTCTACAGCAGTTCATGTTGGGTATCGGTGCCTTGATCGCTTCATGGGTCTCCTTTGGCACCTACATTGGATTCAGCCCTACCGACAACGGCCAATGGCGCACGCCGCTTGGTCTTCAGATCATCCCCGCTGTCCTGCTCGCCGCACTAATTATGATATTTCCCGAATCGCCTCGCTGGCTTATCGACCATGGTAGGGTTGAAGAGGGCCTCAAGACTCTTGCCAGGCTTCACGCTCACGGCGACGAGACCGATGCCTGGGTTCAAGCCGAGTTCCAGCAAATCCAGGATCAAATTACCTTTGAGCACGAGCACGAGGCAAAGTCCTACACTGAGCTGTTTACCGACAGGTCTTGTTTCCGCCGTCTTTTCCTCGCATGCGCCATCCAGGGCTCCGTTCAGATGACAGGTGTTTCCGCCATCCAGTACTATTCTGTCGAGATCTACAGCCAGATGGGCATTGCTGGTGACGACACTTTGAAGTACCAGGCCATCTCTTCTATTATTGCTTTGATCGCCCAGGCTCTGTGTATCCTCTTCATCGACCGGTTCGGTCGCCGCTGGACGCTGATATTCGGCAATCTAGGAAACATGGTCACTTTCATCATCTCTACCATTCTGCTCGCTGTGTTCCCTCCTGGTTCCAGCAACAACAGTGCTGCCGCTTGGGGTTTCATCGTCATCACTTGGATCTACAATTTTAGTTTCAGCGCCACCTGCGGACCGCTGTCCTGGATCATTCCTGCTGAGATCTTCGACACCAAGACCCGCTCTAAGGGCGTCGCTATCGCTACGATGACCTCGTTTGGTCTGAACACCATGATCGGACAGGTGACCGGTATCGCCATGAAGAACATCGGTTGGAGGTTCTACATTGTGTTCGTTGTAAGTGTCTTAGTCTCAAATTTGACGACTCAACGCTAACGAGATATGCAGGTTTGCAACTTGACCAACGCCATCTTCTTCTACTGCTTCCTGCCCGAAACCGCCAAGCGCCCTCTTGAAGAGATGAACTACCTCTTCACTAACGCTCCTTACTTCGTCCCTGGTATGAACAAGAGCGACTGGCAGAGCACCGATATCGAGCGCCGTGTCGCAGAGGTCGAAGCCAAGCAGGGATCAATCTCGCACCACGAGGCCACTCCCTACGAGCAGAAGTACTGAGCGGGAGAATAGTCGTGAACTCGGCTCGTAGAATAGCTTTCGAAAGATTTCCCGCAACTGTAAAGAGCAGCAGCATTAAATTGGAAGTAGTGAGAGAAATAGAATGATTCTGTTCGAGAATCGACATACCTGTGCAAAGGGTGACGTGGGGCGAATGGCACACCTTACAGCTCGCACTACTTTACACAACCATCCATGCCGTGCGTTGTGCGATGACCAAGTTTCTGCATGTACGAGACGAACTGATTGGACTTGCCGATCTTCCGCGCACCACTTTTCGGACGGACTAAGCAAGCGTCCGTGTGTATAGCGCACGTGTTAACACACGAAGGAAGTTCAGCGCCACCACCTCTGACGCAATTGTGCGACTCGTCAAGACAACGAACATGCGCATCTCGATGACGGCATTTGATAGGCAGAATGCAGCACCCAGTACGAAGTAGACGAAGAAGGTCGCGTGCACTCGATGTCTCGACAGCTGAGAATGTATCTCCTGCAATGTTGCGAAACCACTTGAGGTACTGGAGTATGTATGAGCAAGCCGTGCAGCAAGTCAACTTTCCAGCAAGCATCCTAGCTTCAAAATAGACCCGTATTGAACCTTCATCTTATTTGAGACGTTTCTCCGGAGACTTGTCTGTTTTCATACGCACCTGGATCTGACTTCAACAATGCACCGTAAACATCAACACCACAAACTCATCTCCAACACATGGGGCTGGCTCCACCCTAACGTTCAGATGCTCGATAGGTTTTGGAGATCCCAGAGCAAGTGGTTGCGTCCCGCGCCAGCGTCTCACAACGCACTTCAACGAGCGGCAATGATTGGCCGGTTTGGAATGCGCCCGGCCAGTGTGGCTATGCTGGTTTCCGGTTTCAGCTCGGCCTTCATACGTTATGCACCGAACCTGCAACTCGACACTCTGCTATTACTGAGACTCGACGTTCGCTCTCTGCAATCCAACATACAAGATACTCCCGTTGCTACCATTACCATCACTACAGATATCGTCGCATTGCTGGACTCGAGCGCAAAGCCACAAAATGTGGTTCAAGAAGAAGGAGAGCGATATTGAGATGTCGGGGATGCAGACGCAAGCACACAAGGAGGGGCCTCCAGAAGAGACGGAATACCGACCCGTGAACTGGAAGAAGATCTTCCTGTCGCCGAAGTACATACGTACGTTGTTCCTAAACCTGCGCCTGTGCGGACGCTAAACAAGTCAACAGCATGGCACATCTTAGGGATAGCGATCCTCGTCGCCACTGTCTTGCTATCGCTGCACCACGATGAGGTCGTTGCGGTACGTCGACACCATTCTTGCATCTTCTCCGTTCGGTGTTGACACTTCGCGCCAGAAACTCCGCCCCTTTTCAGAAAAGGTCCGTGACCTTCCCGCGGGGTGGCTCATTCCGATCGCCATTCTAATCGTAATATCATTCCCACCGCTATTCGGCCACGAGCTGATCGCGCTCTTATGCGGTGTCGTATACGGACTAGGAATCGGCTTCGCTGTCGTTGCAGTAGGTACCTTCCTCGGCGAAAGTAAGACACCTTCTCCTGCCTTCAATATTAATACGATGCTAATAATAAATCCAATAGTCGGCACCTGGTTCGCATTCAAGCACCTCTTCCGCCGTAAAGCCCTTAAGCTCGAGCGCACAAACCTCAATTATGGCGCTATGGCGCGTCTCACGCGTGACGGCGGCTTCTTCATCGTGCTCATTATCCGCCTCTCGGCCATTCCGGCGCATTTCTCCACCGCCGTGTTCTCAACCTGCGACGTCAAGTTCTGGCACTTTGTTGTCGCGACGCTGCTCTCACTGCCCAAGCAGATATTCCTCGTTTATCTGGGCGTACTCCTCGTGCAGAAAAATAACGACAACATCATCAAGACCGTCATGTTCGGCGTAGTGTTTCTAATCACCGTTGCGATGGGTGTCTGGATATGGGTGAAGATGGCCAAGATCAAGAAGATGCTGCTCGAGGAGCAGGAAGCACGGCGTATAAAGAGCGCGGAGAGCCAGGTGGAGATCGTGCCGGATGTGAAAAGCGCGTTTGAGCGGCGGTACGAGGAAGAGCCGGCGGAGTTTACGCTGCAGCCCACACAGCCAACAAGGATGGTATGAGCGCTGTGCGCCACCATCTGCGTCTTTGAAAACACAAGACTTTTAGTGTAATGATATAATGATTTTTCCCACTTTCCTCGACGTCAACGCTACCGATCCCTCCACACCAACCCTGCCCCAGCATCATCCACCAAATCCACGGTGTTCGCTCTGACAACCTCCCTCCCATCTCCACTTAGCTTCCACACTCTCCACGCTAGTACACACAATCCTCCGTATAGAAACAGCGGGATAATGACTCTCATTAATACCCTCTCCCACGTGACTCCCCTCTTCCCTTTCTCCGCGCCCTCTTTATAGGGCCCGCTCAGATCTTCGTCAAAGATAGCACCGTACCCAATTAGGAAAAGCAGGTGATGCAGCACAGCCATAATCAGGAGCCCAACAACAGCTCCGAAACCAGAGAAGCTTTGCAATTCCCAAGGCGAGGCGGCGCGGCGGCCCAGCATTTCGTACAGGCCGTCCAGGCAGAGCACAAGCACATGGATCGTGCGAGGGACGAGGAACACAGCTAATGCTGTGCCGATGACCTTGACAATGAGGGTCGTGAGTCGGGTTGCGATGCTGACCAAGCGGAGCAGGAGAGCTCGCGGTAACGATGGTGGACCGTGGGTGCGGTGCGTTGGGTCCATGTTGGGAAGGACTAGCATTGTGGGGGTCGGGTGATGTATCAGGGCGTGGAGGCTTGGTATTGTCTCCATGCGGTGTGCGTTCGATTCGTCCGTATGGTTATGTTGAGGTGTCGTGTCGGGTCGGGTTCGAGCAACGACGGGTAGGCTCTTCAAAATGTCGTTGCTCGAGAGATATGTGGGTCCGGTAGGCGCAAATATGCGTATACCTACGCGTACGTTCGTAACCCTTCTTGCTCTTCCTGCTCTTCTTTCGCGCAATCTCGAATAATCGATGACTCAGGCTCACGCGTCCTTGCGATTGCTTTCTGCTGGTTGGCAATGTTGTATGCTCTGGATAAAGGTCCTCTTTTGCCCTGCAGCTGTCTCAATCGCAGTCGCACAAGCGCTCTAGCGGCGGCTACAAGGCCCAAAAGTCGACCATGTGAATGCCCTTCAACAGTGCGACAGTCTCTGACTGCGCGTTCGCACGCGTAGTGTCGCGGCCAAGTGTGCCTCGGTTCGAATTCGCAAACCCAATGTCTCTTTGATCGTTTTTGCGGACTGTCGGGCTCCAGCTCCAGCTCCAGCTCTTACACGGCTCTCCTTCTCACGCAACTCAACGCGCGGCGGAACAAGGAAGGACAAATATCAGGCGAAGATGTCCAACCACATGTGCGCTCATTTTCTTTTAGATCTCGTGTTTGATTAGGCACGCCGCTGCGCCTTAGGCATACTGCCAACTCTTGCCGCAAGATGCTGCCCCGCACTACGCTAGACCGTAAACACACTAGCGATGCTGTCTGATTGGTGCGATGTTGGTGTAAAGGAGAAATGGGTTAGCTTAGGGTGGCGTGGGAAATTGCACTGGGTAGGTATTGTGTCGGAGGATTATAATCATTTGTTCACGTGGTGTGGGTTGAAATTTTTGTGTTGGTTATAGCTATCATGGGGTGTACGCTGCGAACGAGCAACGATAGGTGCTTCGCGGGCTCATTCCTCGACCTGCCTCCCGGCGATTGTACAAGCACGTCTACTTTTGTAGCGATCGATAACCTCCTGGTTTATTGATCGCTCATGTAGTGTATCTGAACCATGGCACATTGTCTGCAAGTTCACGCTTCAGCAACTTTTGCTCTTCGGTCAACTCTTGTGTGCCCCTTTCCTGCGCGATCTTTACTCTGCGAGCGTTCTCGAGACGGCACCATGTTGACACGAAGAGAGCAAGGCCGAAAGCCACACTACTGATGTGAGCTGGTGTCAATAGGCGAGCCGTGGTCTCTTACGCAATCATGGCAGTCAGAAGGCAGTGCCCCTTTGATATAACGAGGTCCATCACGGCTGATGTAGACGTAAGACGCGATGATGCCTCCACAGTTGCCGCCCATGACCTGCCAATGTGTCAGTGCATACAGTCCTGAGCTAGCAGAAAAGAAGAGATCATACCTGCATCGCAATACCAGTTCCTCTCTTCACGCTACCTCAGATGTTCGCACTGTTCCATGCCATGCCCAGCGGGGTCTGGGTGTATATACCGATCGCAGCAAGGACGGTGCCGGCGTACTGCACCTTTGGCTTTACGGTCGCTGCAAGCATGGAGAAGCCAGAAATGGCAATGAGCTGGAAGCCCAGCATGAAGATGTCTCGCTTGTGGACACGGCCGGCTTACCAGCTAGCCGCGATGGTGAAGAAGCAAGCGCATACATGGGGAGGAACGGACATCAGTTGGGCGTCGTTGGCGGAATAGCCCATGTTTCTAGCGGGCGTCAGTGATTGCTAAAGTGTTGAGGTACAAAGGCTTACTTGATGATGGTTGGGAGAAACAGGGAAAGGCTGTAGATCGGGCAGAAACCAGCTATGCAGGTGAACATGAAGATGTAGATCTCTCAGTCTTTGATGGCTTGCCAAACGTATTTGGTATCGAAGTCATTCGAGAGGTGCCCATGGTCTTCGTGAAGAGGGTGCTCAACATCCTCGCGCTCTTGCGTTGACAGAAAAGTAACACTGTGTACGTCAGACCAGTCAATACATTGATGCTGACTTTGGAGAGCGCTTACGTTGCTGAATAGTCGTAGATGCACCAATACGCTATCGTGCTGACAATAATGCTCAGAAGGCCCTCGAAAATGACTGCACCTGTCAGATGGACTCGTGCTGAGCGATTCAGTGTAACTTACAGATCTACGACCAGGCGGGCTTGCCGCCAACACCTGAAATCTCCGCAATACCTCGCGACAATGTTCCGTCAAAAGCTCCTGCCAGTGTCGCGGCAGAGAAGAAGAGCGCCATACGGAAGCCAAATTCATGTCTTTGGTACCACTGGGAGATGTTAATAGTGTTAGAAGCACAAAGAGTGTGAATGTACAGCACGAAGTAACACAAAACAAGCACAGTGCCCTCTAAACGCAACAAGGGAAGCGTGACGTACCTGGGAGGTGTAGTAGTTGACACTAGGAAACAGCTGATGCCTTGTAAGTAGGTCTTATACCCGCAAGGGAAAAAGTAACACGCACCACGCCCTCAAAGAAGCCTAAAAATACTCGAGTCGCCATCAATCCAGAGTAGTTCGACGCGAATCCCTGAGGAATCATGACTGCAGACCAGAAGAACATGATAAAAGACAGCCAAATAGAAGGGCGCAGTAACTTCACCATCATGTTACTTGGTCTGCATTGATATCAGTCTCTTTGTCAAATCTCGTGCGTCCAGACAATGATCTCACATCTCAGCCGCGATGTAGAATGGGAAAAGGACTACGAGACAGTCATTGTACTGTAAGCCACGTAGTTTGAGATCCTGTTCAAGGTGGTCGAGGCGGGCGTTGCCTATGTTGGTTCTTTCGAGGAAGCATATGTCAATGATATCAGTACGTAGTTTGACACTACTGAGCGGCGATGGGCTACCAGTAGGTAGATGAGTGACATGAAAGGGATGATGTGCCAGTCAAGCTTGCGCAGCAGCTTCTTGGTGGCGACATGGTCAAAGCCCTGACTCTCACTTTCTCCAGTGGAAAGATCCGGAGTCGATGAGATGTCGACCGTCCCTGGTATCTTCTCTTCTGACATGATGGCGATCGCAAGATTGGGGTTCTGGCTTACTCGAAGGTTGGTGTCCCTGCCTTAAGTATGTGGTTCGTGTGCTGAGACCCCAGTGTGCGGTTGCGGTCGTATGCAACCTAGACTTTGCAAAGCTAAGCAGCCGCCATGCAGCTCATCTGACTATTCTCACAGACTCACGAAGTTGCTGGTGGGGATCCTCAAGCATCGTAGTACGCTTTCGCCTCATTGAGGGTAGCACGGTAAGGCGCTCAAGGTTGTGCAACCGTAAGCATTCGTTCAATGGCGGGGAGAAGACTAGTCACTCGGGCAATGTACCGTGAAGAATGCGCCTACCGGCGGCCATGTGCTTGAAGATATGGGAAGACAAATATTTCTTATCTGACAGCCTCGGAGTATTGGCGTTGCTTGAGTGGTCAAGCAATTTGCTGGATCTGTATGGCGGCTGACATGCAGCTGCGCACCGAAGACACGTTTCAGATCAAGCTCTTTCTTGCGCTCCTCGCTGTTCACTCGTGACAAGGATTGTCTGTTGGTAACTCATGGCCTCCCGGAGCGTGCCTCTTCAAAACAGGATGTCGTAGAGTCCAGAAGGCAAAGAACATATTGGAACTCCTCAGCCTGGCAAGCATCACGAACTTCAATGTTCGAGCTTCGGTCAATAGTTCGGTACACCTAGGTCACAATGAGCTTTGCCGCGTCAAGGAAATGGTGTTCTGCATGAGCGAATTGTCCAGAACCTGCGATCATTGAAAGAGGCAGGAGACAAGGGCTGGCAAGCGCATTGCCACGACAGTAAAACCGACCCTGCACCGTGAGCAAACGTATCAGTCATTGGATCACGAGATGAGAAAGCTTTCTTGAGGTGAGAAAGGCGAGAAAGCTGGCTCAAGCTTCAACGTCACGTGCACTCGCATCAAGAAAAGTGGGTCGCGTTAGGCAGCCGTCACGCGCGACTTCGGCATAGACTGGCTCAAACATCAACAATGTCGACTTACAAGCTAGGGACGATGGAGGACGCCTCTCGTAGTCTTGAATTTAAAACCTGAATACTCATGGTTACTATTCGTCCACTCTTTCTCGTCATCTTCCTTCTCCAGCATGGCCGAGGCAAGCGCGTCTTCTGAGGACATCGCACATGGTGATCTCTGCCCAGTAAGCTATGGAAACTCCCTAACAGCCATCCTGAGCTCATTGTTTCCTTCAGATCTGCCAGCTTCTGTTATTCACACCAGTGAGGACACGCTGCAATCATCTGCTGTGCGCATCCTGTATGGCGCAGTGGGCCGATGCCTCAACCACGAACCAAATCGAGGCGTCTAGTTGGGACATCGAACTTGAAGAGTTTGATCCCAACTACGATCCATCCTACGACCTCGAAGCGAATTGCCCAATGTGTCGGACGCACACAGCAGCCTCGCCCGACCACACTCTGGCTACGCAGCTGGAGCAGAAGTACCCCGCGACATACGCCGAAAGACGCACTGAGGAGGAGGTCGACCGAGGCAGCAGAATCGGGCAGAATGGTGTAGAGGGCATCATGGTCCTGATAGGCAACAAGCACAGGTTGATCCGAGGGGGTGAGGATGCAAACCAGCACGACTGGACGTTCTTCGTTCGAACGTCGAGGCCAGACCTGGTGGAGGAGGTGCGCGTAGAGTTGGTAAGCTAGATTCTACGATGGGGTGTGAGGCTCTCCTGACTGGTCACAGCACCCCACCTTTCGTCCACCACGCGTCATCCTGCGTCGTGCGCCCTACGAAGTTCGCCGGCTGGGTTGGGGCTATTTCACACTCGAAGCCGAAATCGTTCTCAAAGCGCCGTACACCTGGATCGTTGACAATTCTGGAACAACGCAACGCGGCCTTGGGCTTACATGGACTCTGAACTTCACAGATCGAGGGCGACAAGGGAGGGTCCGGGCGAAGGTCAAAAGGCTCGGAGATGAGGGAGGGCGAAGGCTGCGTACCAGAGCAGCACCAGCGCCAGTGCCCAATGATGACGAGGATGAAGAAGAGGATGAAGACTACGAGTCGGTTGACGAAGATTTGTCTGAGGACGAAGAAGAGGACATTAGCGAATTCGTGGAGACACCGAGAGGGCGGTAGGACCTGTATTTGGACGCTGCACCCTAGGAGTTCCACTCGATGACCTGCTGTAGGAACAGAGAGTGCTCACTGACAGAATGTGACTGTCCGGTGCGCCGGTATCGCCACATGCAGTCTGTACAACGCATCTATTACGAACTTTACTCAGCGTCGCCTCGGCCTGAAATGCAGACCCACGTCGATTGACAGTATTGCGATGCTTCTGTGATTTCGGGCTGACCAAGGCGGCAGCCTCAGCCACTCATCTGTACCCTGGGCAGCCTTAAATAAGCCCTGGCATGCAGATTGACGCAGCTGCGGTCTGTGTACAGCTTACACTCCATTGACTCACCATATCGTCCATTAACATTCTCTGGCGGAGAGCTGACAGTGACTGGCTTTGGATTCAATCGCAGTGCATGCTCACCAACTCAGTCACAAGCTCGGTCGACTCATGGGCCCTTTCTTACATGCTTTAGAGACCCAAAGCTCAAGCGTGCCTATAGGTAAGCCTGAAAGAGGCTTATCCAATGCTTACATGCCAGAGTTGCAGATGAGAGCAATGGACGTGGCATCCTATAAACCGAGAAGCTGCGCCGTTCAACAGAAGCAGCTTTTACCATTATAACGTCGCACAATACCAGTCGACTGGCTATCATTTTGACTATTCAGCTTGCTTACTAACTTCGCTATGGATCTTGGACGTTACTTCAGCGTCAAGAGGCGATGAAAGCGTGAAGAACGTTGGACCATCTGTCATTATTGGCATCCGCCATCAACGAGGATGCCCGCGAGGCGTTATCGAAACGTGCCTCCGACGCCGCGAAGATGACAATCGCCACGAGCGGAGCAGAGAGCTCAGTAACGGCCATGCTGGCAGGCAATGGGCGTACTAGTAGTGAAATATATTGTCTCGTGCATGCATCGCAACCCAGTATGCAGTCGTTATGTCGCAGGGGCGAATGCCTCGGCAAACAACTGCTACCACTGGCCCTGAGTACCTTATTCTACATAGCTGCGGCGGTAGCGTATGCCGTCACTCTGATCCTGTTCCCTCACGCCGAAGTCGGCCTGTCAGAACAGATCACTTGGTGAGTTGGTGTAGCACTAAGCTGAAATTGTTTGCTGACTAGTACTGATAGGATCGTCATTGCTATCGTTGAAGGTCTGGCTGTCCTTATCATCAACATGACATGGCGCATCGTCAGCTTCAAGTACACGCATATCGTCGAATGCTTGTAGCCACTCACTCTTATCATCATAGGAGAGGGTATCATCGGCATGATCAAGAACGTAGCCTGCATCACCAAGCGCTAAGGCAAGAACGATTCCACTGAGCTTGGCTCCGTGCTCGCAGCAGTTGTTCTATTGGTAAGTCTGCCTGGTTCAAGTTCGGGACGAGTCTCTAACAGAACCAGTCCCTCATTTACATGCTATATTTTGATCGTTTCTCTGAAGATGATTCGGCACGTTACGCCAACAGATCTGGTCGCCGCTGCACCACCCACTGCACATGGTCATCGTTGTATGTGTCGAGAGCAATACTTCTTTGATCGTCTGAACCTCTGCAGTTCAGGCCTTGAGATTCACGTAGAGCCTTGAATATGAATACTGGTAACACCAAGCGGATGACTTTTACAGCTCGAGCGCATATGTTGCGTACCTTCATAATAGCATGAGCATGATCAACAACCGCTTCCGAAGCAAGAAATGGGAGGTCTATGACTCGAATGTCAACTTGACGGCGACCAACAATCAGGTCGAAATATACAGCTTCAAGACGCCTATGTGGACCAAGAACACCGGAGAATCGATACGTAAACTCGTCACCAAGGCTCAAGTCTTTGTGTTTAAAGCGCACGCAGACACGATCGCAAAGCTCAATGCTGTCACACCGGTCAACCAGGCAGTCGTACGAGATACCCGAAAGGGCCTCAGATTACCTTGAGGCCATTTGTGATATATTCAACGTCATGGTCAAGTCGTTCTGTATTGTCACAGGTGCGATACTCCTTGTGCTAGCCACTTGAACTGGTTCAACAAGATGCCTAAGATAAAATACGAATTTGGCGGGATGATCAACCGCGTTGTTGTAGGCTTTGCGCATATGATCGTTGGCGTGGCGACCGTCGTTGGGGACCAGTCAATTGAGGGCTTCAAGTTCTCTGCTAGTCATTGAACGATGGCTGTTGAAGTGATATAATTTATCACAGGTAAACAGCTGCTCTCACAAAAGATGCTTTACTTTCTCTGGAACAGCGCTTCTGCCCCAAGAAACGCCACTGACAACGGTCCCAGTTCTCTTCCTCGACAACGTCCTCGCTCTCCCCTGTAAGATGTTGCGTCGCCATGCCCGTCTTAGAGCCTCGTGGGGCAATTCGATCTCCACCGCCGACACCAGCACAAAAAACCTATTGCCACGACACCCCCACAGCCGCAACACTTCTCGCTTGCCATCTCGCTCTAAACCGCTGAGCAGGGTCGCGAGTACAACAAACACGCCACTGTCACGCCCGCAGACCCATATCCGTGCCATCCGTATCCACGCACGACAAAGAACGCTGTCTTGGTTGATCCGAAGCGAGTCAGCCTCGCCGCAATATCGTATACTTCGCACACCATACTCCATCCCACTCGCGTTCCTCCTTAGGAGGTGGCCAGATAGGTCTGGCTGTCTCTCCTCCGCTGCCGGAACTCAGCCCAAGCAGGGGTCAAGCGAAGACGAAAGGGAAAGAGAGGCATCGAATGAATGAGAGCGGTGGATGAGTTGAATACCGTTGTGAGTGTATATTTCGTGAGACGTCGTGGTGTATTTGCGGATCTAGCGTGGCGCTTTGGCAAATTCACTCCTTGGACGACGATGCCGATTGGGATTGACTGCAGCAGTAACCACTGACTCTTACTATGCGTGGTCCATCGTACCATGTGAGTTCTTTCCACTCGATGCTTGTTCTGCAATCAGGTCTCCCCCGTGATGCCATGCATGTACGCGCCTCCAACAAACGCAACTGCCCGTTTCCATCGAGAAGAAACACGGTGACGCAAGGAACTTCACACCAGCCATACTCCCGCTCCTTCTCCTCTGATCCCGGCAATCGGCGCTCCAAAATCCCCGCCGCTGCGTTGCAAACAAGGCACTTTTTGCATCCTCATCACAAAGAAGTACTTATCTTATAGCCTCCTGAATCGCAGCTTAGCTTAACAAAACCTCAATTACGTCTAGGGCGAACTCATGATTCGCGACCATGCCCTTGATGTAAGCGGCCCTGACCTGGAGGCTTCTTTGCTGCGTGGAGCGCCTTCTTCTCGGTGACGAGCTCTGCCAAGGCAGCACTGATGTATATACTGAGGTACTATTTGCCAATTGCGGTACGGCGGTGCGTTTGCTTCGCGTCGAAGCATAGCAATCGTTCCTTTAGAGTCGGGACTTGCTCGTCTCCAAGGAAATGCTGCTATGCGACTTCTTCTGGGAAACGTTCAATGGTGTACCATACGCATTAGTAGCTAAAGATTGATCAGTTTTGTATCCAAGATCTCCACATTTATATCTTTGTGGTGTAGCAGAGTCCTAACAGTTGCAATTTGTCTGTACGATACGCCTAAGGCGCACGATATTGGCTGGTTCCGTCTTGTACATAAGCAGACTGCGAGACCATGCGCCTGCTGTTGAACTTAGGATACTTGGTTGGCTCTGCGGCTGAATCTCGCTTGAGATGCATTGTGCTCCTACATGCGGTTGCGCTGATCGAGATGGGACTTCTTTTTGCAATGTGTATGCTGCGTTGTTGGTACTACTGGCAGAGGGATAATTTACAAGGCCCGTTTTGTGTCGTGCTTTCGACTCTTCTAGCTCCGCATGGGTAGCCTTTATTATCTTACGGATAACCCGTATGATCCGTACGATATCGAGCTTCAGCCAGAGCCTTGCACCTTGGTCGTTGTTCAGTAGGACGCAAAGAGCTTCCATTATAACAGCTCATCATGGACGTCGATGAGGATTCCGAAGAACACTGCGCTGCGTCTCGGTCCATCTTTACCCAGAACTTCTCACCGTGATTTCCCGTCGATGGTGCAAAACAGGACATTGCGGGAAACCCCTGCAATAGTTGCTGAACATGCGCATACCGTAGAATGACGCAGCTTCAAGTGTTCAGGCCCGAGGGTCTGCTACCTGTCAACCTCCGCTTCCCCAGACCCCAGATATCAAGGCCACCACGATGTCCGTAGTCATCGGCGCGGCCTCGGCCTCACCCTCTTCAGACAGGCAACATGCTTCACATTCTTCTCTCCTGTTGCTCTGTGTTGGTGCCAAGCACGTCCCAGTTCTTACAGCGTCGTTGAAGCAAGCACTCTAAGCCGCGCTCAGCTTCGCACTCGGCTCTCGCGCTCTCGGTCGCGACGTCAGCCCAGCATTCAGCGCCCTACTGATTGGCGCGTAGAGCGACGCACGTGGAAGCAGGCGCTTTACGTAAGTCGGCACACTCCGACATGCCAACGCCCATGAGGCCGCCAAGTGGATAACAATTACCGTGGCCCCACATGCTCGAATACTGCGTTTTGGCAGATGCTGCGCAATACAGCCGGTGCGTATCAGGGTAACAGCGGGGCGGAGGCGGAGTGGAAATGCGTAGACGACGTCAGCGGCTGACGGGGACGGCAGGCGTGGTTGTGATCTGTGCCAAGGCGGTCACGCCTGCAGGAGTGAGAACTTAGTGAGGCTTGCGCTGCCGAGATGCAGAGTGCTGCGCAACAGCAGCGTAATGCGCCTAATCTTTCGTGGCGAGAGAAGGGTCCAATTTGATGGAGCAACGGCATGTCTGGGGTTACCATGAACAAAACCGGTGGAGTCCTTGTCTTGGCTTGGTGGGCCTGCGTGGGTCCTCTTTTCCGCACAAGCGTGTCAACCGTCTTTGAACTTCGAGTGCGCAGCAGGGCGTCGTATTCGCTCATCAGGTACCGCTTCAGCCGCGGCCGCAAGAGACAGAGTCTGCGCCAGCGTGGTGCTACGCAAATGCAAATTGCCGCAATCCGATTCCTTGCGAGGCGCGTTTCCAGTGGTACAGCAACGCTCCTCTTACCGCTACAACTGGGAGCAGCCTCCATCTCTTGTATACGAATCGGATGCCAAGTTGAAGAGCATATTCGAACCGCATCTGAGCTGAATGGGAGCCGCACTTGTTAGAGAGCCGACTCCTTGAGTTTCAAGGTAGCATCCTAGCCTGCACGAATCTGCCTGCCGTCAAGTTTTCACCATCACCGTCCATCGAATGCCGATTCTTCTTGCTGATAATCACGTTGCCAAATATCTCTTTCCACAGCTCAAGTTCGGAAGGTTGATAATCGTGTCAGCGAAGGGGGTGATTTTGTCGCTAGGATGAAGAATTTGTCGCAAAGGGAGGGTTGTCGCAAAGGATCGTCTCGTGGAGGTCGCAATCGTATTGGAACTGCAATAGTTCGCAAAACATGACTCTTCTGCTTATCGCGAGGGCAATCGCAGAAGAGCTTCCATCACCTGACACATTCGAATGCGAAGTTGATCTTGTAGCGAACGAGTATTGATTCGTTACGAAAGAAGCGCGTATGCGCGAGCACAAAGGGTATCTATCCAACAAACGTTAGGTTATAATCGTAGCAACGTGAACGACAGATTGCCTCAAACTTAGGCCACGTCAGCTCGCTTGTCGACTGGGATGTGGCGCTTAAAGCCGATGAGCTGAAGCAGCTCAGTCCAGAAGCCAACCGGAGGAGTGATGAAAGATGCCTCGTAGACGTCAACAACGGGAGCTTCCCAGACAAGGTCAACCTCGTGAGGCCTGAGCCACCTAGTCTTCTTGAAAAGCTTCCAGAAACCAAAGGTGAGCGGTGCAATGAAGACCATGGCGTAGTATGTGAACAAGCCTTCAATGGTGAACTGGCCAGGCAGGAACGTAGAATACCCGTAAGCGCCGAGGATACTAACGAGGATGACAAGTCCAACAATCGTGCCGTAGGGCTGGAAGTACCCGGTGTAGGGAAGGGTCTTGCGGTCGAGGCCCTGGGCCTTGCAGGCGCGATAGAAGCACAAGTAGGTAATCATCATGGTGATGAAGTTGATGAGTCCACCGGCTGTAACGATGTTGATCAACCAGTTCAGGACAGTCGCAGCACTGTCTGACAACTGCAGGAACGACAGGAAGGGGAATATCATGACGATGGCGAAGCAGTAGATGGGCACACCATTCTTTGTGCACTTGCGCAGGAACTTGGGCGCACGGCCTTCAATCGCAAGCGAGTACAGGGAGCGAGTGGCGCAGTATGTGTATGTGTTGCCGGCAGAGAAGATACTGGTGATCAACAAGGCGTTGACGAGGTGAGGGAGTCCGTTGATGTTCAAGTTGGTCATGGCAATGACGTAGGGAGAGGCGGCGGCGCTCTTCTCTCCGACTTCAAGGACCTGGACGAGGGTAGGGTCGTTGTAAGGCAGAACAATGCCAACGCAGAGAGCTCCGAGAATGAAGAAGGCTCCGAATCGGAAGTACACGGTCTTGAAGGCGTTCTTGATGTAGACACGCGGGCGCTTGGCCTCGCCGGACACCATCGAGATGTACTCAGGGCCGACAATACAGAAAGAGGCAGCCCAGAGAGCACCAAGGAAACCCTCGAAGTGGCCGAGATCGCCGGAGGACCACGCAACAGTGCCGAAAACACCAGGGTCGCGCCAGTAACGGAAGCCATATGGATCCTTTTGTGGGTTTCCACCGACCATCTACAGGTTGTCAGTACTAGTTTCCTCGCCCGTACATGCATGTTCACTTACCGTGATGAAGGTGAAGGTGTACAGGATGAGAATCAAGATGACCTTGCCGCCAGAGAGCCAGAATTCCGCCTCACCATACGCCTTGACAGCCAAAACGTTGCAAGCACCGTAGAGCACAATGACAGCAGCGCACACGGCGGCTACGGGGATGTCGTCTCGCCAGTATTTCAAAACAACGTTCAGCGCAGTGATCTCGAAGGGGATGAGCAGAGCCTCGTAGAGGAAGAAATTCCATCCAGCCATGAAGCCTATCGGAGGTTAATACAGCGCGCGTGCTTCCCGAACGGGGTGTGGATTACCAAAGGCCTCATCGACCCATTTACCAGCCATGCGAATGAAGCCTCCCGAGACGGGCATGTAAGTAGCCATCTCGGCCATAGAGTTGTTCACCAGCGCAATTACGCAGGAGTATCCAGCGTACGCGAGCAGCATGCCGAGAGGACCGCCCTTATTGAGGGCACCGCCAATGCTGACGAACAGCGCAGTACCAATGGATCCGCCGATAGCAATAAGCTGGATCTGGCGGTTTCCAAGGTGGCGTTGGAGGTCATCGGCATTATCAGTTACCGTACCGTGCTGGATGTCCTGGTCGCCGCCATTATAAGTCTCGCGAACGAATTCGCCAGAGTACTTCTTCTCCGCAGTAGTCATGGCTGCAAGGGTAGTTGTTGCGCAGGCAGTGTTGCTTGGGTTTGGAGTCGCTTAGGACTGGCGCTTTGGTAGAGGGCAGTGTCGCGTGAGGTCAACAACGGTGTCGCGTGAGGTCAACAACGGTGTCGCGTGAGGTCAACAACAGTGTCGCTGGGAAGGTGGCGCAGTGGAGTCGACGTCAAGTCGAGAGGGTAGGGAGCCGAAGCTAAGTGTGAGTGAATCGCACCAAAGACGGTGGACGTGAAGTAGGCTGTATTGCGAAGTGTAAGTCGCGTACCACTCTATCAAGTCCGTGTCCCGGGGTGAGTAGCATAGACTTTATATGAAAGCAGGCGCGGGTTATCTCTTCAGCGCGCTGCTGGTAGATCCGGTGTATGGTGAGCGAAGCATGCGACTAAGGGTCGGAAGCAGCAAGCGTAGCTCTGGGCATACGGAGCTAACTAGCCGAATACAGTGTAGCGAGTCCGACCCGTTGAGCTGGGCGTGGATCGTCGGCAGCGGCACAGAGTTTTCACGCCCCCGGACACAAGATAGACCCCGCTCGTTGCGTCTGCACGTCGAATCAGGGCTATCCGCTGAAATACAACCATAGAGTGGCGATGCCTTAGTCAGGCGTTCTGAGCGAAAGATTTGCCTTGTTGCAGTCGCGCAGCGAAGACGGCTTACCGTCAAAGAAATAGATGGCGCCTGGATCAGGTCGCGCGTGGGTCAAGGCTGCGTTATCCGTCGCCATTGCGAGCATCACACCAGTGAAGGTGAATGTTTCGACCAGCCATCTCCGCTGCGCGTATCTGGCCACACTTCTCCCAGTCCGATGCCTGTCAGTTGCCGTTCGAAGGCGCGGATGGTCTTGGTGTGCCGCAAGTCGTTAGCGGGCAATCTGTCACACACAGCCATCCAGGGCTGGAGTCTGCCTCCATTTTCGCATGTTTTGGCGCGAAGAGGTTGCCCGATGCGTGCGCTGCAGCACAAGAGTGAGCACTCCTGCGGCGCAGTGGAATTGGTTGCTTGTTGGTGATAAGAGTTTCGCATGACCCTATTGATATCAACTGCATCTGACAATCCTGAGAGTAATCAGGTGACCGGAAGCGGCTCAAACGAAGCATCCCGGCCCTCATGGCAGCTGTCAACAGCCAAGGACGACAGGGATGCATTGACTCGCGTGTCAGATGTTGTGCATTTGCCTGAGACCACCGCGGCTGGCAAAAGCAAGTTGAGATGGACGGCATCCGCGCTATCTGCCGGCCACGTCAAGTCCTCGTGCAAGCGCCTAGATCGCGCGAACTGTCCAATTCGGTCCATCGCAAAGCGGTTCGTCGGCGGAGGTACATAGCGTGTAGAAAGGCTGCTACCTATCGACATTTCTGGCGCTCAATCAACTGCATACGAATGCGGCCGCAGTCTCCATCCAATCACACCCAATCCGGTTTGCAAGTGGTGAGCGTCAAGGCCTGCGCTTGTGGATCTGGAGGACAACGGGTTGACGCGAAGTTCGAGAGGGCGACGATGTGAGAGGTGGCGAAAGCGGTTCTGGGAGGAGTCGTGGTTTTGTACATGGGGGAGACCGCGGCTCGGATACATAGGCAGCCGTAGCCTATCTTTGTTTACTCCGTAATGTCTTGTGGGGAAGGTCGCGCGGAGAACGGTGCTGTTGTCTGACACCAAAGGCAGACATCATCACGTACGTCCATCTTGAAAACTGCAATGGCTTTTGGCGGTGAGAGCGTATATGTTATGTTGCATAGGAGCCGCGCGGGTGGCGTCAACGACAACCCAACCCACCGCGGTAATGTTAACATTGTGCGAACCTCCAGCCTCCTCGGGCGGGCCCAGCGAGTACGCTTCACACACAACCGCTTCTCCACGGTCCTCACCTCGCCCCCACGAACCTCAGTTCCTCGTCCAGTCCACCGTTGCCGCCATCTGACCCCACGGGCAGACCAAACGCGGCTGCACGTCGCACCCCGCATTCTCGTGTGCAGATAGGACCCTCTGCATTGCCTAATACGGTCATTTCGCCCACCATGCCGGGAAACATATCTGCATCCTCCCCATCCTCCCACACGGCCGTGCACAGATAGCCTTAGAGCTTATGTCCACATTGTGCATGGCCTCGGACGGAACCCAGAGAAGGACATGTAGCTTATCGCGCTTAGCCGCAAACGCACACAACCACCCCGACAGGTACCTACTCTGCGATGTAGCGCGCCATGTCATGTTGTCAAGATTACTCAAGGGTCAAGCAGTGGGTGGTTCCTTATCTCGTGGCTCGAGGGGGAAAACTGGGCAAACGGCTGGACGAGACGAAGCGAAGCATCTCTTGGCCATCGAGTGGCCGCTGTCTTGCGTTGTCGCTGCGGCTGTGTGAGCGTGGCATAAAGCGTTTCATCCAGGAAGGAGTAATTGTGAAAGGTGGGGTGAGTGGTATCAGTATCAGTATCAGTATTAGTATCAGTATTAGTATTAGTATCAGTACTAGTATTAGTATCAGGATCAGGATCAGTATCAGTATCAGTATCAGTATCAGTATCAGTATCAGTATTAGTATCAGTATCAGTATCAGTATCAGTATTAGTATCAGTATCAGTATTAGTATGAGTATGAGTATGAGTATGAGTATGAGTATCAGTATCAATATCAGTATCAGTATTAGTATGGGTATCAGTATTAGAATCAGTATTAGAATGAGTATGAGTATGAGTATTAGAATGAGTATTAGTATCAATATCAGTATCAGCATCAGTATTAGTATCAGTCCCAGCACTACTTTGTAGGTAAACCCAGTCTCGCCCTCCCTCCGCAGCTTACAACACACAACCACATCCCGATCCAAAACAGTCCCCCCTCTACTTCCCAGCACGCTCAATCCTAAAATCACTCCCATCACCAGCCGCCACCCGCTCAATCTCATTCTGCACAGCAAGCACCCAATGATCCCTCTCAGCGCGACTCCTTGCTCGAAACACCACACTCCTCCCCTTGGACCCGAGCTTGGCGACGCGCTTGACGCGCCCCCGCTTACCCTCCTTCCTGACCTGCTCCCCCCCGCCCGCGCCCTGCTCAGCCCTGAACCAGCTGCGCGCCTTGCCGTGCCAGATGACAAACGTGGTCATGACGTCCTCGTCGGTGGAGGTCCAGCCGTCGAGGGGGTAGACGCGGGGCAGCGCGTGGTGACCCGGTTGGTTGGCGTCAAACGTCTGGTTCTGGTAGAGCAGGTCGTGTTCGGTGACGAGGCCCGAGTAGACGTAGCAGTCGCGCAGGTCGAGGTTGGCGATGCGCTCGTGGTGGATGTGCGTGAGCTGTTTGCCGACGCGGGAGCGCAGCACGTCGGCAAAGATGGCGAGCGAGCCGCCCGCGAGCAGCACGCTGCAGCGCGTAAAGGGCGCGTGGATGCGTGGCTTGCGGTACAGTGTGCCAGACATGTGGATGGTGCGGCAGCAGGCGATGCCGCACATGTTGTAGAGCAGCGGCGAGGCGTACGACTGCGTGACTTCCCATTTGCGCGCAAACTGGCCAATGAGCGCCTCGCCCTCCTCGTCAATGTTAAGCGCGCTGAGGTTGCGGGCACGCGTCGATTTGTAGAGGGCAATGTCGGACGCGGTGCGGTGTTTCCAGTACTTTGCGAGGGCGCGCAGGTGCATGATCCACTGCTTGCGGCGCGGCTTGTCGGCGGCTTGCAGGCGGACCACCAGGCCGTTCTTCATGACCAGCTCAAAGGTGCGGCCCAGATCAATGTCGCTCGTGGCGCCGTCTTCGCCTCGGGAGTCGTCCATGTCGACGTCTTGGTCAAAGTCGACGTCCGAGCCTGGCTCCATGTCTTGGTCAGCAGGACTGGCGCCCAGCCTCGCCTTGCGGACCTTGACCATGTCGGTCATGTCAATGTAGCCATCGCAGTTGAGGAGGTTGTGTTGGTTGCGCTGGAACTCGTCTGCCGCGTCCTCGTCATGCAGCCTCTTGGTTTCAGACGTGCCCGTGTGCCCCTTCCTGAGCCACTCAATCTGCTTGTCCTGCACAGGGTACGGGTTGACGGCCCAGCTGTCCGGCGTGGTGTCCCGGATCGCCTGCGATGTGGGGACCGCCGAGCTGTTGGAGGCAGGGAGCCTGGGCGGACGAGGTGGAGTTGCCTTTGTGGGCCGTGAGAAGACGAGGTACTGATCGTGAGTGGCAAAGTACAGCTGCTTGTGGTACATCAGCCCCAATCGCTTTGCGCGGCCTCGCTGCCCGGTCAGCCTGATGAGGAAGCCTTCGACGGGCACGGGCTCGGTTAGGGTCTTGTGCTTGTTGCGCGTGACGGCTGTCGTGGGGTAGTGCGTCTTTGGCCGCAGCTCGAGATCGTGGGATTTCAGCATGGCGATTGTGCCGTACATCTTGCGCTCGTTGGCTCCGTGGATCCACTCCAGACGGTCGTAGCGCTTCCAAGCGAGCCCTATGCGCTGCTCCTTGGTCCAGGCTTCCAGCACCGACGCCCACTCGGGCGCGTCTTCCAGCTGGTCAAGACACTGCCGGATCAGTGCCTGGGCCACGGCCTGCTCTTCCTGCATCGTCTTCAAGATGGCCTCCTCGGTGTCGTCGGCGTCCTGGACGCGGCTCTGCGAGGCTTCCAGCTTCTCAAAGGGGTTGGCGACGCGCACGCTGAGACTCATGTCTGGGATGTTGATGTGCAGCTCCGAGGCGCGGCGCCATCCGAGCACGTTGCGCAGGAACGTGTACCACTCGACGGCGTTGGAAGCCGTCCGCGACTGCATGATGAAGATCAGGGTCCCCCTGGAGCCGGGCGTCGACACGACAATGGACTTGTCGAGCGACGAGTACAGGTTGAGCTTGCTGGTCTTGCGGCCGAGGGGGATCTCGTAGGCTGCACGCTTGCCTGCGCCCGGCTGCGCGATCTCGGGGATGACCTGGGGTGTCAGTTTGAGGAACAGGGCATGGACGCTGAACTCACCCTCGTCTGGTAGAGCTGTAGCAGGAAATCAGCTCCGTCCGTGTGGCTGTGGCGACAGACAACCATGTACTCGCGCCACTTTTCCTTGACTCTCGAGACGACTCGCTGGCTGACGTTTTCGTCAAAGTCGTCGGGGACCTGGTCGGCAGCGTCGACGCGCACGAGCATGCGCTCCATCTTGACGACCAGGCCGTCCTTGATGCTCTTCCGGCGCAGCTTGGTGCCGGCGCGCTGGATGGTCATCTGGGCCTTCTTGGCCTTGAGGTGCACTGCCTGGCGCCTCGAGTCGTCGGGCACGTCGAACCTGACGAGGTTGCGCAGGTGCGACGGCTTGCGTGAGGGGTCTTGCGGGGGCCGTGAGAGGTCTGATGTGGGCCGTGAGAGGTCTGATGTGGGCTGTAAGAGGTCTGATGTGGGCTGTAAGAGGTCTGATGTGGGCTGTAAGAGGTCTGCTGTGGGCTGCTCGGGGCCCGTGGACGTGTCGGTCCTGAACAGGCCCATGCTCGAGCGTCTCTTGGCTCGCGCGAGGATGCCCCGGGGCGGTGCCTTGTTCACGTCAGCGTCTCGCAGCAAGGAGGAGGTCGAGTCGGCATCTACCGAGGGCGGCCCTCTTGTGGTAGATGCCGCGGCCGCATGCGTCACGGCAGACAACGGCAGCTTGCCCCGCGACTTGCCACCAGGCACCATCGCGGGCTGCGGCTCCTCTGCGCGAGGCGTCTCGGCGCCCTCGCCCTCGTCTCCGTCAGACTCTGCAATCGGCATCGACGATGCCGTCACAAAGGACCTGGTGCTCTCGCGGTGTGGGAGCGGCGGCTTTGCAGGGTCGTACTCTTCCCCCTCGTGGGTGTAGACGCGCAGGTCCCCGTCGTCGGCGTCGGCGTCGGCGTCGGCGTCGACATCTCCAGGCTCCGAGGGCGCGTCGACAAACTCCTCAGCCTCGCTGCCCACCACATCATTCCCACGCCGACCCTGCGCGCCCTCCGCTCCGTCTTTGGCGGCTCCATCTTCGGCCGCTCCGTCTTCGGCGGCTGCGTCTTCGGCGGCTCCGTCCTCGGCGGCTCCGTCCTCGGCGTCGAGCTCCTCGGGCTGCGGGAAGCTGTGCTGGAAGAGAGCCGAGGCGCTGGGGCCTTCTGCGCCGCTGAGGCGCCGCTGGCGGGCTTCGCGCGGGTCCGACGAAAAGGTGGCGGCGCGGCTCGAGTAACTGATGCCTAGGTGGTGCTTGTACCAGTCGCGGCGGTGCTTACTCAGCCAGGCCGTGGGGACGGGGCCGATGAAGAAGCGGCGCGACGTCAGGTCGAGGTGCTCGGGCGTCGCGTGCTGCAGCTTCTGCGCCGTGAAGGACTCGGGCGACAGCGGGATTGTGTCGGGCTGCTGGTGCCATGGCCGCGGCGCCTCGGGGGCGGGCATTGGGGTGTCGGTATTGGAGATGGGTGTTGGGGAGTCGGGGCTCACATGTATTGCGCAGAGGCAGACAGCAGACAGCAGACAGCAGACAGCAGACACCCAGACTATGTTGCACTAGGACGAGAACGAGACACGAGACACTACACGACTGGAAAGAATGAAAGACGCAGCTGCAGCGCAGCACGTCGAGTGCCTGGGAGAGCAGCATCGAGCGCGCATCGAGCGCGCATCAAGCTGAGCGCCGTTCCCTCATCCATCAGCAGTGAGCCCGTCACGTCATGCCGCTCGGCCCCTGCGCCAATCCCCTCCAATCGGCCCGCCTGGGCGAACCTCAACCGTGCCTGTCCACACACGGTGCCTGTCCACACACGGTGTCTGTCCACATACAGTGCCTGTCCACACACAGTGCCTGTCCACACACAGTGCCTGTCTACATACAGTGCCTGTGCGCAACGGCGTCAACCACACGCGGGCATTGGTACCAGCACTCCACTGCACATGTTGCTTCGCTAGTATTGTTGCTTCGCTAGTAACGTGGTCCACCACCGAGCGGATCACCCCACCGAGCGAATCACCAAATGCAACTATATATCTTTGAACGTGAATAACTCAACACAACAACAAGATATAATAGTGCGTAATAGCTTGAATTAATCGCCTATCTCTACTGTATCTTTCTTGCATGTACGCTTGTTGTGTCCTGTGTTGCCACACCTCCTGCAGCGCGGAATACCCCTGCTGCTAGCACCTGCCTGCACTCTCCCCTCACGCCTCTCTACTTCAAGTTGAACCTCAGCATCCTTTTGGGTAACTATTACCCCTGCTTCTACCTGTGATAGAGTCCCCCCCTTCTGTATTCGCTTCTTCTTACGCTTTTTACGCTCAAAGCAGCCTGATTTGCTTGCTCAAGACTATCTATCTAAGCTTCAAGCAACGTGTGTGAGTGTACCTTCAAAGTTGACCCCTTTTTAACCTGCAGCACTATCTTAAGAATAGATTCAGGTGAGGAACTCCTATAGTCCCTTATCCTCTTGAGAATTAGCGTTGTTTGAGCCTCTATTTCCCAGGCGTTGCTTGGTGTTTTAGGCTGCCAAGGGGTACTCCTAGGTAAAGGTAGTGTTAGTGTACGAGGCTTCACTTCAAGCCTTGATAGCACCACCTCTGGGTTATCTGGAACTAAGCTAGTTGCTCTGAAGCTTGATAGGATATTGTCCTTTGAGAAGGCCTGGTCAAATACTAGGGTAAGTGCAGCTAGGAAGGCTTTCTTGTCAATGTAGTTGATATAGCAGTTTGCCAAGACTCGGATCTCCTCCTTGTACGCACGCTTTAGGGGGGCAAAGCAACCCACATCAAGCGGCTGAAGGATGTGTGAGGTGTGAGGGGGCATACAGAGGGTGATGATATTGTTCTCCTCACAAAGATCCTGGAAGGCGAGTGACTTGTGGCTCTCGTGGCCATCAAGAATCAGTAGTCTGTAACCACCTACTTTCTTAACCTCCGTGTGCTTGATAAAGTGCTATAGCCAGGCAAGCCCAAGCTCATTTGTTGTCCATCTATTATCACTAACCCCTATTCTCCAATCCTGAGGGTTATGATACCAGGCCTGGTCGTGGTTCTTAGCTTTGAAGATGATGAAGGGTGGGATAACCCACCCTGTGGCGTTGATGGCGGCAATCAACGTCACCCACTCCCTGTCACCAGGCTGAACCCCAAGTGGCTTAAGGCGCCTCTCAGAGGCTGTGACTGCCTTCACAGACCCCCCAACGCCTATCTGGAAGCCAGTCTCATCAAAGTTGTACGTGTCTTGATCTAGGATACTATACTTGGCTTTGACGTTGCGTACAAGGTTGAACCAGGGGCTGATAATAGCTGGATTACTGCAGAGGACTCGCTGGTGATCACGGAGTCGAGTCACCTGAGATTTGACCTCAGGCCGGCGTTGGATCAGCCTATAGGCCCAGTTCTCCGCAACCTGGCCACCACTACGCTTAGCTAGTAGCTGGTCAGCCATTCCACGTACGTGGCTAAGCGTAGGGGCAAAGCCTCTAGCGTCAAGCTTCCTTATATATTGTATAACTGCCTCCTCTTCATGCTTCTGAAGCTTAGATGAGTTGGGGTGGGTATCCGTCGTGGGGTTCTTCCGGCGCCTTGATGGCTAAGTGTACTTTGAGGAACCTTGTAGATAGCAGCAGCGCGTCGCTGGCTTAGTGACGCGTTAGATTTCATTGCTTGGGTAGCAAGTATAACTCTATCTGCACAGGAAAGTAATTCAAGATCAACTGGTTGAGCCATTGTAATTGAAGTAGAAAGCGTTGTGGTCTTGGCAGAGTGATTCGCTCGGTGGGGTGATCCGCTCGGTGGTGGACCACGTTATGTATCATGCTGTTACTATTACTTTGCTGTCCTGCGCTCCTGTCTTGACACCAGCGCCACACTGGACATGTGCTTGACTAGTATCATGCCATGTTGCCTTTACTTGACCAGTGTTTTTACTTGACCAGTGCCCTTACTTGACCAGTGCCTTTACTTGGCAGTGCCTTTGCTTGACCAGTACCTTTGCTTGACCAGTGCCTTTGCTTGACCAGTACCTTTACTTGACCAGTGCCTTTACTTGACCAGTGCCTTTACTTGACCAGTGCCTCTACTTGACTAATGCCTCTACTTGACCAATGCCTCTACTTGGCCAACGCCTCTACTTGGCCAACGCCTTTACTTGGCCATGTTGCGTTTCCACATCCTCGTCTGCATCGTCCCGCCGTCCGTTGCGCTTGCTCTTCGACCTTGCGCGCTTGCTGCCGCCCGGAGCTGGCGCACTGCTGACGGCTCTCTTCTTCGTAGCCGTCCCAGGCAGAAACCTGCCGCTGCCGGCAGCTTCTCGGATGAGCGACGTGACGAGTTCCTCCACGGCCAGCTGCCCCGCGCTGGCGTCCTGCGAGGCGCCGCCCTCGGCGGGGGAGTCTCCAGCAAGCGGATCCGGCGCGGCGAGCTTCAGGCGCTCGGTGCCCAGGTGGAAGGCGTTGCACGCTATGCGCGACACCTGGACCGCCGGGTGCGACACGTCGAGCGCGAGGTGGGCCGCGAGGTAGTCCGAGAGGGCGGCGGTAAAGGGCCTGTCGCGCGCGTGCGTGCCTCGGGCGACGAAGCCGGGGACGTCGGCGGCAGCTATGGTCAAGTCGACGTGCCGGAGGAGCGTGGTTGCGGTGGGAAAGGCGAGCTGCACGCTGAGCTGGCCCACGACCCCGGCAATCGTCTGCGTCGAGGTGCTGGCCGACAGGTGGCGGAAGCACGTCTCGATGCTCGCCGTGATAAACGCCGACGGCAGCCTCAGCGGGGCGACGTGGGCATCGAATGCGGTGCGCAGGTACTGCAGGAACACGTCGCGCACCGCGCCGGGCATCTTCAGCAGCAGCAGCGGCAGCGACGAGAAGCCGTCGGGCGCGGCGGGACCGCGGGGATCGCGCAGCAGCAGCGCCTGGTACGATTGCGTCTCGTACTCGACGCGCACCTCGATGCCCCGCGGCTCGCTGGGCGGCGGCAGCGCGCGCAGCGCCGACGCCTCGGCGTCGTGCTGCAGCGGGTCGTGGCCGTCGATCCAGGCGTCCTCGTCGCCGAGCAGGTCCCAGCTGCACGCCTCGAGCGGCCCCAGCCTGGCTGTGTCCTCGGCGCCGGCAAAGTCGACCTGCACGCCGCGCACCGCGTCGCCCTTTAGCTGCTCCCGCAGACGTTTCGCGTGCGTGCGCAGGGCGCCGTCGGCAAGCAGGACAGCGGCGCCATGGTGCAGCGGCGACAGGCGGTACAGGCTGTAGGTGCGGTTGTAGAGCGGATACGGGGGGATGTCGGCCATGGTGTCGGCATGTTGGCGGGCGGCCCCGACTCTCGACTCGACTCGACGCGACGCGACGGAATGGCAGCGGGCAGACGTGCCTGGCGGCGGCGGTGACGGAACGCGCGGTGGGTCGAGCCGAGGGTCCGTGCGGCTGCCCACCACAAGTTTCTGTTAGCGGGGCATTCAATTCGAGATTGTTCGCTCTGATTCTACGAGCAGCCAGCCCGGCACAGTGCAAACTGCAAACCTCGACAAACTCCACCTATACAAGGCACTCTTGCTGCAGCTGCCGCCCCGACCACCTTGCACGACTCTTTTTTTTTTTTTCTTCTTCTCCCACCCCGTTTGATACCCTTACCCAGTAACCAACCGATACCCCGCGCACCTGTGTAGACATGTCTGTTGTGGGCATTGACTTGGGCACGCTCAACAGCGTCATTGCTGTTGCGCGCAACCGCGGTGTCGATGTGGTGAGTCTGCTCCAGCGGCGCATGCCCGCACACCACAAGTGCCCTACTGACGTCCGCAGATCGCCAACGAGGTCTCCAACCGCGCCACACCGTGAGTGCCCTCTGCATCTGCCCCCGCCAAGGACGAGGCCTTGGTCCTCTCCACGCACGCCCTGCCAGCACGCCCTGCCAGCACGCCCTGCCAGCACGCTCTGCTAGCACGCCCTGCTAACACGCTCTGTCAATACGCTCTGCCAACACGCTCTGCCAACACGCTCTGCCAACACGCTCTGCTAACATGCTCTGTCAATACGCTCTGCTAACACGCATGCCAGCTCGCTCGTCGGCTTCGGCCCCAAGAGCAGATACATTGGCGAGGCGGCCAAGAACCAGGAAGTGTCGAACCTCAAGAACACGGTCGCGTCGTTTGTCCGCCTCGCCGGGCGCGCCTACAGCGACCCCGATGTCCAGCTCGAGCAGGACTTTGTCTCGGCCCCGCTCGTCGACATCAACGGCCAGGTCGGCGCCGAGGTCACATACCTGGGCAAGAAGGAGCAGTTCACGGCGACGCAAATCACAGCCATGTACCTGACCCGCATGCGCGCCACGGCGTCGACGGAGCTGAAGCTGCCCGTCAACGACGTGGTGCTCTCGTGCCCCGTCTGGTACACAGACGCCCAGCGCCGCGCCCTCCTCGACGCTGCCCAGATTGCCGGCCTCAACTGCCTGCGCCTGATCAACGACAACACGGCCGTCGCGCTCGGCTACGGCATCACCAAGCTCGACCTGCCCGCCGCCGACGAGAAGCCCAAGCGCGTCTGCTTTGTCAACGTCGGCCACAGCAACTACACGGCCACCGTGGTCGAGTTCAAAAAGGGCGAGCTCGCGGTCAAGTCGAGCGCCTGGGACCGCCACTTTGGCGGCCGCTACATTGACAAGGCCCTCGTGGAGCACTTTGCCAAGGAGTTTGACGAAAAGTACAAGATCAACGTCATGGAGAATGGCAAGGCGCGCTTCCGTCTGGCGGCCGGCGTCGAGAAGCTCAAAAAGGTCCTCTCCGCCAACAACATGGCGCCCCTCAACGTCGAGTCCATTATGAGCGACGTCGACGTGCGCGGCATGCTCAAGCGCGAGGAGCTCGAGGAGCTCATCAAGCCTCTGCTCGAGCGCGCCACTGTGCCCATTGAGCAGGCCCTCGCCGAGGCCAGCCTCAAGCCCGAGGACATTGACCACGTCGAGCTGGTCGGTGGATGCACGCGTGTCCCTGCCCTCAAGGCTGCCATCCAGGACTTCTTCCCGGGCAAGACGCTGTCCTTTACACTCAACGCCGACGAGGCCGTCGCCCGTGGCTGCGCCTTTAGCTGCGCCATCCTCTCGCCCGTCTTCCGTGTCCGCGACTTCTCCATCCACGACATGGTCAACTACCCCGTCGAGTTCACCTGGGAGAAGTCGGAGGATATCCCCGACGAGGACACCAACCTGACCGTCTTCAACAAGGGCAACGTCATGCCGTCCACAAAGATTCTGACGTTTTACCGAAAGCACGCTTTCGACCTCGAGGCCAAGTACGCCAAGCCCGAGCTGCTGCCCGGCAAGGCCAACCCCTGGATCGGCCGCTTCTCCGTCAAGGGCGTCAAGGAGGACCCCAAGGGCGACTTTATGATTTGCAAGCTCAAGGCCCGTCTGAACATCCACGGCGTGCTCAACGTCGAGTCTGGCTACTACGTCGAGGAGGTCGAGGTCGAGGAGCCGATTCCGGAGCCCGAGGGCGAGAAGAAGGACGGAGAAGTACGTGTTCCCGCATCCCCCCTTGATTTTCATGGCGACGAGCAACCCCGCGAAGAGCCTGCCGCCAAACGGCGCAAGCAAAGCGCTGAATCTGCACAAAGCACTGAATCTGCACAAAGCACTGAATCTGCACAAAGCACTGAATCTGCACAAGGCACTGAATCTGTACTTGGGCGTCCCGCTTCTGCGAGCGCCGAGCATGAGCTAACGAGTGATTTGCAGATGGACGTGGACAAGGAAAAGGAGCCCCCAAAGATGCGCAAGGTCAAGAAGCAGCAGCGAAAGGGTGACCTCCCTCTGTCGGCAGGCACAGCATCGCTCGACGAGGCTACCAGGAGCCTGCAGGCCGAGCGTGAGAACGCCATGATCATGGAGGACAAGCTCGTCCAGGACACGGAGAATGAGAAGAACAACCTCGAGAGCATGATTTACGAGCTCAAGGACAAGATCATTGACCAGTACGCCGACTTCGCCAGCGACGACGAGAAGTCGAGGCTCAGCGCCAAGCTCGAGCAGATTGAGGTAAGTCGACCACACGATGATGCAAGCGAGCACAGTCTGACCAACTCCCAGGACTGGCTGTACGACGACGGCGAGGACGCTTCCAAGGCACAGTACGTCTCCAAGAAGGAGGACATACGATCGATTGCCGGTCCCATTATCCAGCGCTACAACGACAAGCTCCAGGAGGAGGAGTCGAAAAAGCGCGAGAAGTGGGAGAAGGAGGCCGCCGCCAAGCAGGCCGAGATTGAGCGCCAGAAGCGCGAGGCCGAGGCCAAGAAGGGCGACGCTCTCCCCAAAGAGGACACGGACATGACAGACGCGGAGACGACCAAGCCCGATGCCGTCGAGGAGTCGTAGACCAAACGCATCAGCGAGACATGAGGGCGATTTGTGCAAAAGCATTTTGGGCGCGATATGGATCGGTAGGGTTACGAATCCACCACGGTAATGCAATGCGATGTTTATGATAGACCGAGACATAGATGAACGAGCATGATTCCACGCATGATTGCACGCACGATTGCACGCATGATTCCACGCATGATTCCAGCACGATTCCACGCATGATACCACGCATGATTCCAGCACGATTCCACGCACGATTCCAGCACGATTGCACGCATGCTTCCAGCACGATTGCACGCATGATTCCAGCATGATTCCACGCACGATTCCAGCACGATTCCAGCACGATTCCACGCACGATTCCAGCACGATTCCACGCATGCTTCTACGCACGATTCCAAAGACACGTCCGTGCACCCCGCTGCAACCGCGTGACAAACAACAGGGAATCAATTATTTCGAATGCATGATCAAACCCTGTGCCCCAACGCCTCGACAAAGGAGACATTGCAGGCTCAGCTCCCCTTCATGCCCCTGGCAGCTTCACCTTGGTCTTCCCCACAACGACCGCTGCCAAACTCTTCACGCTCCCACTCGCCAGCAGCTCCAACACCTGCAAGTTACTCTCAAACATCCGAGTGATGAAGTTGCGAACCTCAATCGCCGTCAGCGAGTCCAGCGGATAGCAGCTCAAACTCCGCTCCGGGTCCAGGTCCTCCTGCTCCATCGACACAACCTCTGCAATCTTCTCGACCAGCGCCGCACACACAATGCTCTCCGCTTCGCTGCGCGAGGCCGCCCCCCGGAACTGCGTGTTCCACGGGACCGCCACGGCCGTGCAGCCCGCCGAAGCATGAGCCTCTGCGGCGCGCAGCAGGTGCGCAAACTTGGCATCAGTGGACCAGAACGGCTTGCTCGTAGGCGCAATCCGCATCCCCGTGATGGGGTGCGCGTTGCAGCTCGTCAGCCCCCCCTCGACGGCCGCCTGCAGCAGCGCGAGCACCTGCGCCAGGCAGATGGTGTCGCTGCCCAGAGTGCGCGCTACCTCTGCGGCCTTGTCGGCGTCTTCGGCCAGGTAGCCGGCGTCCGACACGGCCGTCAGGTCGAGCGAGGCGGCGTTTATGCCCCGCGCGCGCAGGAACTGTGCGAAGCCGTTGAGGAACGTGTTTGCTGCTGCGTAAGCCGCTTGGCCGCGGTTGCCGACTGCGCCGGCCGCCGAGGAGATCAAGATGAAGAAGTCGAGCGCGTTGGAGCGCGAGGCCAGCGCGTCGTGGAAGTTCCACGCGCCCTGCACCTTGGAGGATACGACGGTCGTGTACTGCTCGTACGTCATGTTCTCGAAAAGAACATCCTAGATTGCGTGTGAGTTTCGGATCGAGCGTTGGCGAAAACGCGAGTCGACTTACGTGTAGCACCATGGCGCCGTGGATCACGCCGCGGACTGGTGGTAGGTCCGAGAGCCCGTGGAGTATCAGATGGTCGACGTCGACTCTGCTGCTGACGTTGCAGCTGCGCACCACGATGTTGGCTCCGCCGTTTCTCAGTGCTGCGATTTGCCCGGCAGCTTGACCTCTGAGCGCGCCGCTGCGTGAGAGCAGGACAATGTGCTTTGCGCCTTTCCGCACCATCCACTCGGCCATCTTGCGGCCGAGGCCTCCTGTGCCGCCGATGAGGATGTACGTGCCGTCCTCGCGCAGGAGCTGCATGTCTTTCTTGACACGTGGTGCCTTGGTGTTGTTAGCAGCGGTCATGAACTGTGCCGTCTCACTTACTACAACGATATTGCCGCGTTGGAAAACAACGACACTGCGCTCCGCCATGTTCGCCGAAGCGACGTGATGCAATGCCGCTGCGGTATCGGCAGCGCTGAAAGACCGGATGTTCTGCAGGCCTTGAATCTGGCCATAATGCAGCATTCGAGACACATCAGCGAGTAAGCGCTGGGCAGTCGCTGGACGGTGTTCTGCAAGCGCGGTAAAGTCTACCGAAAACACCGCTGCATTCGTCGCGCATGCCATGTCGAGAGACAAATGCTGGTCGCCTGCGATGTTGACGAAGCGACCGAATCGGGCAAGACATGCCCATGTCGCGCGAGCGACGCGTCGGTCGGCCAGAGTGTTGAACACGACGTCCACGCCGTGTCCGCGGGTCTCGTCTTGGATTCTGTCCGCAAAGTGTGTAGCTCCCGCGGACCAGATGCGGTCTTGTGGAATGGCGAAGTGGCGCATGACGAAGGCCTTTTCCTCCTCGGTCTTCACAGTCACCCATGGGTCTGCTTTGATCATCAGTGCCACTGCCAACGCGGCCTGGCCCACTGGGCTCGCAGCGTCGTGTACGAGCACGCTTTCGCCCGCGGCCAGCCGCGCCTGGTCCATGAGAGCATGCACGGCCGTGCAGTATGCAACGGGCATGGTCGCCAGCGATTCAAACGACATGTGCGCCGGAGCCTTGAGGACGAGCCTATAATGCACGCGCGCAACGGTCGACAACGAGCCTGCTGTCGTGATGGCTGCAACGCGGTCGCCGACGCACAGATTGGGCACCTTGGACCCGGCCGCGACCACGACGCCGCTGCACTCCATTCCCAATCTGCCCACTTGCTTGAGATCAGATGCACACAGACCGACAGCCTGGATTTGGACATCAACACAGTCTTCGGGTAGAGGCTGTGCGACGCGGCCATCGTCTCTGAACCCGACACTCTCAGCCGCGCCGGACATCGCAACGGATGCGCGCAGCGGTCTCGCGACGTCGCACAGACTCGCCGGCTCGGTCGCGGCAGGATGCATCTTTTCGTGGACATAGGCGTTCATATCGCGGTCGTCAAGAACGCGCGGCGTGAACAAAGCTCCGTCGCGCGCCCAGAACTCCTTCTCCTCGACCCTGTCCGTGCCGCCAAACGCCATGCGGAAAACGCGGCAGATGGTCGACACCAGCGCGGGCGAGCGCACATGCTCTCCAGCCGCGAAATCGAGCGTGACGAAATCGTTCAGCGCGCCCTCGGAGCGCAGCGTCCTGCTCAGCCCGGACACCATGTTCGACTCGGGGTGTGTCGACTGCTGATAGGCGCCCTTCACCACCCACATGATGCCCTGGACGCTCAGGAGGGTGTTCTGCAGCGCTGAGAATTGCGCTGCGCTCAGGGTGGCGAGCAGAGGTCGGTCCAGCTCGGTCACGACGAGACAAAGCTTGTCCTTGGCCACGGGCGCGACATCCTCGAGCGAGCCGCTGGTGACTCTGGTCCCGTACGTTTCGGCAAGGTGGCTCGCGAGCTCGGCAGCGAGGTGGGTCTGTTCATCTGTGTCGCCGTGGACGATGACGATTTCGGCATCGAGACACGGGGTCGAGTCTCGCTCGTCGCTCGCGTCCTGCGCGTCAGGGACAGCCTCCCAGTCTAGTTTGTAGCACAGCTCTTGCGGCTCAGCGTCCTGCGAGGTGTCTCTGGACTCCACTATCGGCGCCGTGCACAGGTCTTCGATGGCGATAATGGGCTCACCAGACGCATCCACAGCGAACATGGAGAAACTGTTTGGTCTGTCGCAGAGCAGCGTTCCATTTGGCTCGCAAACAGCCCGCAGCGTATCGCCCGGGGCTCTGAACAAGTCCAGCGCGCGCGCCGATATCGTTACTTTCCCGATCGAGCCGGGGAGGTGCACCGTCCCCAGAGGACTGAGCGCAGAAAGCACAGGCCAGTACATCGAGACGAGCTGCTCCATCGACGCTGGATGCAGTATGTACTCTGTCTCGTAGTGATGCGGCATTTCGAGCGTAGTGTCGGTCTTAACGACGCGCGCGACCGATCCACGGGGCGACGTGTGGCACTGCGAAAGCCCTTGGAATAGACCTCCATACGCGACCCCGATCTCGGATAGCTGCGCGTACATGTGGCTGGCAGAGATGCATTCGGTCGCGGCCTGAGCAATATCCACACTCTTGGCGTATAAGTTCTGCCGCTTGAGTTTCTGCGCACGTTGCCCGTCGACCTTGTCAAGACTCGTCTGCACGAGGCTGATTGCGCCTGTGCAGTTCTCATTCCAGCCGCGCGCACGAGACCAGCTGCGCACGATGAAGTGCTGCGACGCACCCGCGTCATCCTGGTCTTGGTGCGCTCTCAACTCGATGGTCATTTCTAGCTCCTCCTCTGATAGCATGACGGGGGCCTTGACGACGAGGTCTTCGACTTCGATGTGCTCCCAGGGCGTGTTCGTTGACATCGCTCGCTGCGCTGCGGCTTCGATGGCCATGGCTAAGAAGCCGGAGATGGGGAACACAGTGACGCCCTGCATCTGGTACTGTCGCAGCCAGGGCAGGTCATCCAAGCGGACAATGTTTCTCCACGTCGGCTCAGCGTCGTTGGAATACGACGCCAGCACGCCGATGATGTCGTGGCGCGGTGTATCGTGGTGCTTGTGGATACTCGTGATTCTGTTCTCGTGGACGAATTTGGAGCCGTGGTTCCAGGAGTATCGCGGCATGTCGACTAGCACCTGTGGCGCTCTCTCCAGCGCTGTGGGGAAGTTGATGCTGCCCATGTCCAGCATGGCGCCTTTTACGAACAGGCTGCCTGCCATGCTCAGAGCGGTTGTGACGGCGTTCTTCTTCCGTTGGAGAACGGATGTGTATGTTGTTTTCGCAGCGGAACCGCCGACGTGCTTTAGGATTTGCTTGATGGGGCCTTGCAGCGCGGCGTGCGGGCCTAGCTCGCAGAGGTGGTTGACGGGCATCTTCTGGTCCTGTGTTGGGCGGCACATGGCTTGTACTGCCTCGTCGAATCGCACGGCGCACGTCAAGTTCTGCACCCAGTAGGTTGGGTCGAGCTCTTCGCTGGTAGCCAGACGGCCGAGGAGGGATGAGTAGAATCGGACCCCAGACGTCTTCGGGGCCTGGAGGCCATGCAGCGCCTCTGCATACTGCTTCGCAACGAGATCCATGTGGTGCGAGTGGTACGCCGTGTCGATCTGCAGTTTTCTGACAAACATCCCCGGATACTCGTTCTCGAGCAGCGCCTGCAGGAACACGACCGCCGGCTCGTCGCCGGAGATGGTGATACTGGACGGACTGTTGATGCACGCGATCTTCGCCTGCCCCAGCGAAGGGCAGATCTGATCGAGCAGCGGCACGACTTGGTCTCTGCTTGCTCCGACGGCCATCATGCATCCATTGAGCGCAGGGTACGTTTTCTTCAGGATTGGCACCAGACGGCCGCGGTGATACGCTATGGTCATCGCATCCTCGAATGTGATGAGTTCGGCCGCATACGCAGCCCCTATCTCACCAGACGAGTGACCGGCTACGGCAGTGGGGCGGATTCCCCAGGACCGCAGGAGGTCTACGAGGGCGAGCTGGACTGCGGTGCACGACGGCTGGGACAAGTACGCGGCATTGATCAGAGTCGTATCCTCATCCTTTTCAAGCTCCTCCAGAAGCGAAAAGTCGGCATCGATGGAGATCAGGTGCGCGTCCGCCAGCTTCAGTGCAGCAGCATATATCGGATAAGTATGGCAGAGCTCCCGGCCCATAGCCCACCATTGCGCTCCTTGGCCGGTGAATATCCACCCCAAGCGCAGCGTGTCCGCGTCTTGCTTGCACGGGCTGATTTTCCCGTTAGACAGCGTTTCGACCAGCTCGACGCTGGAGGACGCAGACACAGCGATGCGCCATGGGTGGAAGGACTTGCGCTGTCCCAGCGTGTACGCCAGATTGCTTAGGAGATCGTTCTGGAACACTTCTGGGCGCTGCTCGAGGTAGATCCCCAGCCCTTGCATCGTCTTCTCCGCACTCGCCTTGTCGTTTGCCGAGAGCACGAAGAGCCGCTCGAAGGTCTGTGTGTCGACTTCTTCTTTCATCGTCTTCCGCTCTAGTGGACCCCGCGTCATCTACTCACAAAAGAAAAGCTATTAGCAAACTACCTCTTCCTCACCGTGGTTTTATATTGGTACTCACCACTACGTGTCCATTGGTTCCTCCGAAACCGAAGCCGTTCACGCTTGCCCAGCGCTTGCCGGAGGGCCAGGGTTGCTGCCGTGTGGCAACTTTCAGGCCCCACTCGTCGAAGGGGATGTTCTCGTTGGGATGCTTGAAGTCGTAGTTTGGTAGGATGAAACCGCGCTCCAGCATCAACGCGGTTTTGATCACGCCCGCGATACCTGGGGGTAATCAGTCAGCGTACTCTTTCCGGCAGCGTATCGACTTACCAGCAGCGGCTTCGAGATGCCCGATGTTCGACTTGACGGATCCGATGAAGAGCGGTTTGCGCTTCGTTCGGCCTTCACCAAAGACTCTGTGGATCGCACCCACTTCGATCGGATCGCCGACTCGGGTACCGGTTCCGTGAGCCTCAACGTATCCTGTATCGCGAGGGTCCATACCTCCATTCTTATACACTGCTCGAATGAGCTTCTCTGCGCATCCATTAGCACGGGATCACTTGGACAATTCACCACCGTACCTTGCGCATCTCCATTCGGCATCGTGATACCAGGTGTCTTTCCATCCTGATTAATCCCACTCCCTGTGATAACAGCCCTAATCGGATCATTATCCTTAACCGCCTGCTCAAGTGGCTTAAGCAGCACCATACCACACCCTTCACCACGCCCATACCCCGTTCCGCGCTGGTCAAACGCGTACGACCTTCCCTCCTCGCCAAAGAGGCGCGACATCGAGTACGAGACCCAGAATTCGGGGAGCATGTTGAGGTGCACGCCTGCGGCGATGGCCATGCTGGATTCCCCCGTGCGTAGCGATTGGCACGCGTTGTGCAAAGCGACGAGGCTCGAGGAACACGCTGTGTCTACTGTGTAGCTGGGGCCGCGCAGGTCGAAGAAATGTGAGATGCGGTTTGATTGCATCGCCATTGCGCAACCTGGACGTTGTTAGGACCTTCTGTCGCCGCAAAAGAAATACATCTTCCGCTCCGTGAACTATCAGGTATATACTGTGCCATCTTCTTTGCTCAGCACCGACCGACCGATCAACGTACCTGTAGCCTGATGCATGGGAATCGTATCCGGATCCCGAAACAGATCCGCCTCATACTCTGAGAAAGTACCGCCGACAAAACACCCCACATCTTTACCGACGACGTCGTGCTTCGGGATACCAGCGCTCTCCAGCGCTTCGAATGTGCACTCGAGCAGCAACCGCTGCTGCGGATCAAGACTAATCGCTTCTTGCTGCGTGAACCCGAAGAACGGCGCATCAAATGCAGTCAAATCATGCGTGAGGAAATTCCCACCACGGGCGTTCGTGCTGCCGCTCTTACCCGGGTTGGGGTGGAAGAATCGCTTTCCTGAGAATCTGGCGGTTGGGATACCGGAATATCCCGTTCGGGAGCGTGCGAGGAGTTCCCAGAACTCGTCGGGTGTGCTGACGCTCCCGGGGAGGCGGCAGGACATGCCGATTATGGCTATGGGTTGGTGCTTTAGCTCAATGTGGGCGAGTGTGTAGCCATCTTTGTACCCGTCCGTGTACGCATCTTCGTACTTGTGGGGTTGGGGGGCTGCTGCTCCGTCTGGGTTGATGGCAGTTGACTCCCGGTCTCCATTTGTGTGGCTCGTATGGTGTGTCGAAGCACCGGTTGCTTCGTTGGTCATGGAGTTGCCAGAGTCGGATGCTGAAGATGTGGGGGTTGCAACACCAGTTGATGAAGCATCGTTCAGCGAGGAATGATCAGGTTGCCCGAGTCGTTGTTCGAAGTCGGAGAGTGGTGTCAGGACGTACGGAGCCATGGTCGTCAAAATCTGACAATCAGTATGAGATGTGGAAACAAAGGTAGAAGAGCTCCTACGAGAGAAGCGACCTGAGCGTGAAATTTGAGTCTGACATCTCAATATCAATAGGCAACCGCCATCACAAGATTGGTAGTCTGATTTCAGAGGGCTCTATGTGGTATAGTGTACCGTGCGTTTCGAAGGCATTCATTCTGGCGTTTCGAATCGTCTCAATCGAGTTCGAGCAGCCTTCAAGAATTCATATCTGGCCATTCCTTAGATTGTTGGGCTCATTGCCTCATCGATAGCATCCCTGTGAGAGCACACTGTTCCCTATCTGCCCAGCACGAAGCGTTCCAAGCGGCTTCCCGAAACATGTCACAATAGTTGGCTTAGAACATACAGTGAGCTACGGCAATTAGTATACTCCAAGTATGTCTCGCGACTTATAGACTACAGGCATAGAATGGGCCTGGGGGCAACCTCTTGCAACTATACAAGATGTTGGGGAAGCCGATAGCCGTGATAACGCGCCCTGGATTCCAAACAATCAGAACACGGGCTCTATACAGTCTTCCACTGTATATTGTTACGGAACTACAAGGTAACCTCTCCGCGGCGCAAGATCATCTACTCAGTGACTGAATGCGCGTGGAAAGCAACGATCAGCGACTTGAGCTGTCTGCACATCATGTAACGCCCCGATGCAACGCTACCTATGTGTCTTCCTCTGTGGATCTCGAGATAGACGTACCGATATAGGGATGGAGAGATAGAAGCCTGAGTTCGACGTTGAGAACAAGGCTGCCCAAGCGTTCACCCTTGTCCGGATCTGGTTAGCTTAATCTTTCGAAGATTAGCAGGGCGAATAGCATGCCCCCATAGACGAGCATCGTTGTCGACTACGGAAACATTTCATCAAGTTCCACAAACATCACAATCCTGCTATTGATAACGGTTAGTGCTTCTGCTGAGCTTGCCTAGATATCGAGCGGAGTCGTAGGTACCGTCAGAGCCTCATGCCTTTCTCCGGAGCAGCCGCGTCATGCGCATTCCTCGCCTGAAAACCGCTCGGGCCCCCTCTCAGCGGTCCGATCCTCTCACATGTCAAGGTTACGGCGGCTTCATTCCGAATTTCATGAATGGCACACTTCACAAGGGTACACTGCAGTTGCTTCAGCCCCGTGATGTCGGGCGTGGGATCCACTCCCGCCCTCTGTTGATGTGTTACAGCTGAGCCCCTAAAGAGAGCTCTGACCGTCCTTTGGACGCGCCCTGGCGTGACAATTGACTGATTCCGCCATTTTTTTGCACCTTCACTAAAATCAATTCTTGAGAGGTCAGACATTATGGCTACAGCGGGCATGAAGTTTTTGTGCCTCCCGGGCGCCTTTGGAAGCATTGACGTAAGGTCACGAAACTCGGCATAAGTTATATAACTGATTCCCTGCAGAAGTTCAAAGTCCAGCTGGCGCCTTTGGTGAAAGAACTTGAGGGCGATCAATCTGCCTCCTTCCACTTCGTTCAGGGCCCCTACGAGGTAGCACCCCCAGTCGGCTACGAAGATTTCTTTGGGGGACCACCGTATTATCGCTTCATCGTCCCTTCGGGCGCGAGCGAAAATACCACCGATGTCATTGAGCGCATCCGTGACTTTCCGCAACTAGAGACACCCGAGATGACTATGCGTGAGCTCATGACGTACGGAGTTGCCAAGTCGGACGATAGTGCAAGACGCACATTGGAGTACCTGTATGATATAATGGACAAAGAAGGTCCTTTCGATGGTATCATGGGCTACTCTGAGGGGGCAACCATCGCCGGTACTGTTTTGCTCCACGAACAGGTGAGGGAAGAGCTCGAAGGAAGGACGCCAATGTTCAAATGCGCCTTGTTCTTTGGCGGATGGCCCCCAATGACACCAAACCTCGATGGCATGGTGCTCTCAGACGACAGTGATCTGATGATCACTGTACCGACAACACATATCAGTGAGTCTATCTTTCACTTTATTTTCACGCTAGTGCTAACCATCCTAGTCGGTTCTTTAGATCCGTATTTGCATGGGAATATCGCGCTTTACAATGTGTGCGATCCGGACAATGCATTCATATTTGACCACGCAAAGGGCCACACGTTGCCTCGAGATAGAGGCATGGTCAAGGAGCTAGGAGACACAGTACGCCGTATGATTGAGGAGGTGAGGGGCACTCGTTCTCCTGAGTAAATGTTGGCGTTTAGCAAGTCTGCAGTGACTAGGCAGCGTCGCAATTCATCCTTCCCTCGCTCAAAAATTGTTTACAAGACCCCCACACATGTGTGTGATTGATTGTTACGGGTTGAACCAGAGATCCTTCTTCGGGAATGCCAAGCTGTCAGTTGACTGCTTATTGCTGTGGAATGTGAGGGAGGTTATCGGCTCGTGTACCCTAGCGATGGTCCGAGCCCAAGCACCCCGACATAGTGGCTCAACGGACCACTGTCCACTAGGGATAGGATAACCATCTCACCTCCGCTCAATAATTACGGAGCACACGGATTTTTCTGTCGATTGCAATCGATCGTGATCAGACCCAGTACTTCGGTTCGCAATTCAGTGCATTTCAACGCCAAAGTACTCCCTTCTTTCCAAAGGCGGATCTCGGGTTTCAATGCCGAGCCTTAGGGGATAGACTGTAGGTTCGATGATGCCCCGTGATTGCATTGCACACTATGGTCATGGTGTTGCGCCTGGAAACGGAGCCAAGTGTTAGGATCTTGCCGAGTCGTCCAAAGCCGCATCTCTCGCCCCGCCTTAGAGCTTTTCGTATCAGTCTGAATAGCTTTAGCCGATGAAATTACTGCAATCAATACGCTACTCGTCAAAGCGCTCGTACGGGTTGGTTTGTTCAGTATGAAGCTGATCATCAAAGAGAGCTTGCGTTGGCCCTCGTGGCCGACGCGGGTCTCCTCGTCGACGAAGGCAATGCAGGAGAACGCTAGAACTATGGTCGTAAGTTTATCTCAGTCTTTTGCAGCAAAACCAAAAAATTGACAACGAAGCAGCGGATTTTGTCGTACTCCACAGCTACAGATCGCGCATTTCTTGTTGCGTCGTTCGTAGCCTCTATTTGCGCAGGAGCTACACTTCCACTGATGAATTTGGTTTTTGGTGAGCTAGGACACAACGTTAGAAGTTTCATACCTGACAAGCTCACAGCACAGCTCGTCAAAAGTATCAGTGCTTTGTCGAGCTCACCGGGGACAAATATAGCGGCCTCTTTCATGGCCACAATCAACAAATACGTGTACGTCCGTGAACCATGGGTCTCCTGCAATTCTAAACTGACCTTTCTTGCACAGCGTCTACATTGTATGCTTATTTATTGGACGCTTATTTTTAGCCTACATTGCCATGGTAAAGTTGTCCCAAAGCCAGACTGCACATAACTAAGAGATCACAGATTGGGTTCCGCATCAGCAGCTTACGTATCTCAGCAAACGTACGTTTTCACTACCTCCAAGAACTCTTTCGACTACCGGTCTCCACCTTGGATACCCTTCCTCCGGGACAAACAACTGCCATCATTACCGTCACCGCAAATATCCTTCAAATGGGGATTTCCGAACGTCTCTCGTCACTGATTCAAGCTATATCAGTAATATCGATTGCCGTGATCATCGGGTGTTGCTTTAGCTGGGAGTTGACAATGGCGACTTCAAGTGGTCTGTTGGCGATTGCTTTCTGGTATTCAATTATGACACCTTTATCGGCGAGGAGATATGCCGGTGCTCAGAAGCTTGAGCGAGAAGCAGCAGGATTCGCGGCCGATGCGCTGTCAAGCCTGAAGATGATAGCAGCTTGTGGATCAGAGAACAAGATTTCTAAGCGCTACGGCAAACTAGTAGACGAGATAAGCATCATCAGTCGAGGGTTATCGCTGATCTCCGCATTACAACACTCCCCTGGTCTGTGCTTGGCCTCATTCACTAAAGGAGTCGGACTGACTTTCAGCAGTCTTCTTCACGATATATGCGACTTTCGCCCTCTGCTTCTGGTTCGCAGCAGACCTCTATCTTGATTCGAAGTTTGCCAACGTGGAAACTTTGGTAGTGTATGTACACTGTGGCCCTGGCCCTGGCTAAAGTCAAAGTATACTAATCTCCCTTAGGGTGCTGATGTCCATCATGACAATGCTCGCTCATATATCCGCCATCTCGGTTCCACTGGCATCTGCCGCCCATGCCATTACCGCTGCAAAGGTTTTCTTCACGATCATCGATGCCCCTAAGCCTATATCCACGGGCGTCCGTGGGGATGTTGTCGAGACGGGAGCCGATATTGTAATGCAGAACATCAACTTCGCATATCCAACACGTCACGATGTCAAGGTACTGGACGGACTTACCTTGTGCATACGTGCAGGGAAGAAGACTGCGATTGTGGGGCCTAGTGGGTCCGGTAAAAGCACAACAGTGGCACTCATCCAACGCTGGTATGAGCTGGGCGAAGCCGATCCTATTGCCAGCTACCTGCGTAACGGTCTTATAAAAATAGGCAACACAGAGCTGAAGAACATTGACCTTAAGTGGTGGCGCGCTCAGATAGGTATCGTGCAACAAGAGCCCTTCCTCTTTGACGACACTATCTTCAATAACGTCGCCTTTGGGCTGACAGGGACGAAATGGGAGTCTTCGTCTCGGAAATTGAGGGAGCAACTGGTCATACAAGCTTGCAAAGAGGCTTACGCTCACGACTTCATTTGTCTGTTGCCAGAGGTATGTGCGAGTATCTGAACAGATGTACGAAGTGTAGCTAATCACTTACTCAAACTAGGGGTACCACACACCTATGGGCGATAGAGGTCTGCACTTCAGTGGCGGCCAGAGACAAAGAATAGCCATCGCCAGGGCTATAGTTCGGCAGCCTAAGATCCTGATCTTCGATGAGGCTACTAGCGCCCTCGATGTAACGAGCGAGCGAATCGTGCAAGCTGCTCTTGATCGGATTGCAAAATCTCGCACAACTATCATAGTTGCTCACCGGTTGGCTACCATCTCAGATGCCGATTGTATTATCGTCATGAAGAAAGGAAAAATGGTTCAACAAGGGACCCATAATGAATTGGTCCGGATCAAGAACGGCGCGTATTGGAGTCTCGTCCGTTCTCAACAGCTGGCGACTCATTTCGTGGATGCACGAAATCAGAACCGCCATGATGCCAACATTGAGCACATTCCAAGGCGTCGAAGCGTAATAGTGGAGAAGGAGAGCTATGAGACGCTCGTAGAATCTGAGACCACTATTGCTGCATCAGTTTCGAGCGCTGTGGCGACAGCATCTCATACTTTCGGTCTATGGGAAGGCTTTCGGGTGTTGATGACAGAACAGAAAAGGAACTGGTGGCGATACCTCGTTATGGTCATTGCTGCCATGTTCGCTGCAGGTGGGTGACATACCAACGCTTGACAACCTGATCTGGCTGACGTGTTCCAAATTAGCCAGTACTCCATTGCAGGCATATCTCTTTGGACGCCTCATATCTTCTTTCGCTTATTGGTCAGAAGCTCTTCGAGCATCGGTCAGTTTCTTGTGTCTGATGCTAATTGCTGTTGCGGTTGGCGTTGGCCTCAGCTACTTTACTCTTGGCTGGGTATCAAACGAGGTATCAACTGTACGCGATCTTATCTGCGAACTCATCCCAACTATACATCGCTAATCGCTCTCAGTATACTGTGAATCTTTATCGCAAAGAGTACTTTGGGAACATGATCACCAAAAGGCTGTCCTATTTCGATGACGTCAACAACTCGGTTGGTCTCCTAAATGCGCGGCTAGCTGCAGACCCGGTGCAGCTACAACAGCTCCTGGGAATGAACATGGCCATGGTACTCATTTCCATATTTGGTCTCCTCGGTTGTATCATTCTCGCCGAGATATTCAACTGGAAATTTGCGCTCGTGGTCATTGCGCCATCGCTGCCGATTATTTTGGCGGGTGGATGGTATCGCGTGCGTCACGAGGTCCGCTTCGAAGCTACGAACAACGCAGTTTTTTCAGAAAGCGCCAGATTTGCTACAGAAGCTATCGGCGCTATTCGAACAGTCGCAAGTTTAACACTGGAGCAGACGATCTGCGAAAAATATGACAGCTTACTCAAGAGTCACATAGCTAAGGCTCAGGCAAAGGCTAGATTTGCTTGCCTCGTCTTCGCTGCGAGTGATAGTCTTATACTTCTATGTATGGCATTTGCACTATGGTAAGAGTGGTGAAATCCTGAATGTCGAACAATTGCTGACTACCACCCACAGGTACGGTGGAAGACTTCTCGCAGGCTCTGAACTTCAGCCTTTCACCTTCCTCGTAGTGTATCTTGCAATCATTCAAGGGACGCTATCCGCTGGACAGTGGCTCAGTTTCGGTCCAAGTAAGTACGAATGTGCAACTCGTTTTCGCAGAGCTGACATGACAAGATTTCGCCCAGGTTTCCGCAGCCGCAAACCGTATATATGGCATGCGATATCGGGAACCGGAGACGGAGGTCACTCCTTTCATGCACCTCAAGGGGTTTTCTCGCTGGAGACTACCTTCACAGCTTCTTTGGAAAGGAGCGGACATCAAGTTTCACAACGTTTGGTTCACATATCCGACGCGTGATGTCGCCGTTCTGCAAGGCCTCGACTTACACATTAGACATGGCCAGTATGCAGCCATTGTCGGAGCCAGCGGCTCTGGGAAGACTACCGTCATATCCTTATTGGAACGTTTCTATGAGCCTATCACAGGCGAGATCACGTACAATGGGGACCCGATCACGTCAATGTCTCTCAGTGAATTGAGAGGCCATATGAGCTTGGTTGCACAGGAATCATACTTGTTACATGGGACGATACGCGAGAACATTATGCTCGGAATTACGGACAACGACCTAGATGACACGACGCTTCACCAGGCCTGTCGAGAATCCGGAATTCATGACTTTGTGGTTTCACTCCCGGATGGTTACGATACCAACATTGGGACAGCTGGTGTCCTACTATCAGGCGGGCAAAAGCAACGAATCTCGATTGCACGCGCTCTCATTCGCAATCCCGACCTTCTACTTCTCGACGAGGCGACCAGCAATCTCGACTCCGAGACAGAGACTGAAATCCAGAAAACCCTGGAACAGGCCGGAAAGGGTCGGACGACTATCGTGGTGGCTCATCGTCTAGCTACAATACAAAAGGCGGATGTAATATTCGTTATGCATCAAGGCCGCGTGGTGGAAAGCGGGGATCATCGCAGTCTACTTGAACGCAAGGGAACGTATTGGCAGATGTGCCAAGCCCAAGATCTTGGGTAGCAATGGGCTGAGCAATAAACACAGATATACAACATCCGCTATACAACACTGTAATCAAAGCTGTATATTTTCTCACCATGCAATATCTCTCTCATCGGATACGGAAGGAGTCTAACCTTCTGAATTTGATCCTGTAAGGTTCAGTATTGTGACTGTGTAGTGGCACGTGGAATGTCCGATCCCTTGCGCCATCATAATCTCCTCGGTCTTGAAAAGAATGTGCTGACCCCTTGCACCAGTTATTGTGAAATTGTCCGCTCAGTATTTTGGCATTTACATTTAATTCAATCAAGGCTCTGACCTTGCTCAAGAAATTCACCACAGCTCAACATTCGCTTATTCGGATACACTGTTAGGTGTGACTGCTGCGATGGCCCGATTCCGTATGCTCTTGACCCTGGCCTATCTACAAATCTCAGCAACTATTGCGATTCCCAATTGTCCTATTTTCGGGGCCGAGTTTCCGACACCGAAAAGATTACCTGAGCACCCCAGATGGAAGGAAGCCCTTGTAAATCTCACCGCTTCGTTCGACTACCTAGATGCGAACGTCACCGGAGATGATCTTTCGTACTCCGTGCAGATTTTCTCAACAGATTATGAGCCCAAGGTCCTTGCAGAACGACACCGGACAGCATTGACCTTATTACCCCAGACCGAAGGCGTCAAAGAAGTAGGCCCTGATACTGTGTACCGCATCGGCAGCGTTTCTAAGGTCTTCACCGTACTTGCTTTTCTAGCAGAAGTTGGGGATACGCATTGGAATACACCCATCACCGCATTCATCCCGGAACTGGCCCAATACTCTCTCCAGACTTCGGCACAGTTAATCGATGATGTTCGAAGAACAGACTGGGATGACATTACTATTGGTGCCCTGGCGGCGCAAGTATCCGGGATAGGGAGGGACTGTAAGTGCTCCGCATCGAAAATGATATATGCGATAGAAGTTCTGACGATAGTTAGATGGAGTCCTTGGTGAGTTGACACAGACTGAAAATATCTCTGTAAATTGGCAGTCGAGCTTTCCGACTTTAAGGAGCGCCTCAGTGCCGCCTTGTGGGGCTTGGCCACTCTGCACAAGAAAAGGTATGTACTGTAGCGAAAGGTCAAGTCAATTTGGTGCTGATATAACAGCAGAATTCTTCGCGGGCATCGAAATGATGTTCCCTTCTTATCTGCCGTGGCAGACTGCTGGTTACTCCAATATTGGCTATCAACTCCTGTCATACGCGCTCGAGTCCATGACTGGCAAGAAATTCGTTGAAATACTCAACACACGGGTTATCAAGCCTCTAAACCTGCAACATACCTTTTACGAAAACGTGCCCCCCTCGTTGGGAGTGATTCCTACCACAACAAAAGACGATTTCTGGTGGGTCAATTTAGGCGACGCAAATCCGTAAGTATCAGCTTACATCTTCCCGATAATTTTGCTTACGCGTGTGCAGTGGCGGAAACATGTATTCTTCGGCGAATGATATTTCCACTCTTGGGCACGCAATTCTCTCGTCCAAATTGTTAAAGCCGTCACTCACCCGACGTTGGCTTAACCCAATAACATTCTCGGCAGACTTTGCAGCTTCGATTGGCGCGCCCTGGGGTGTCCGTCGCATTCAGTTGGACCCATTTGCTCAACCATACCGCTCATTGAGTGTTTACACGAAGGCCGGTACCTTCCGCAAATACACTGCATTTGTAACTCTCTTGAAGGAGTTCAACCTCGGGTTCACCATCATGATGGCTGGAAAGTCACCGCTCAATAACTTCATGCTCGCAGACATGCTAGGCGCATCGTTGATTCCGGCCTACGACGAAGCTGCACGTGACGAGGCAAATGAAATATATAGTGGCATCTATGTCAGCCATGGACCAGATGCTATGCCAAATTCCTCGTTGGTCATCACCACCGACCCAAAAAAGCCCGGCCTGGGAATAATCTCCTGGACATCGAACGGAACAGACATGATCGAAACCGCCATCCAATTGCAAACAGGCTCCAACGCCACAGCTTCCAGGGCGGAGGCTCGACTCTATTATACCCAACTTGAAACGAGAGTCAAGAACGGTGAAAAGCGACAGTCGTGGAAAGCGGTATTTGAAGACACAGGATACCCGTCCGCACCTGGTCCGATATTATTCTCCACTGGTTGCGGTGCCTGGGTTGGACAGACAGGTGTAACGTACGGCTCGTTGCCATTGGATGAGTTTGTCTTTGATTTTGACTCGAGTGGTAACGTGAGGAGTATCACAAACCTTGCGCTGCGAACAACACTTCACAAAGTAGACCTTTACCAGTCTGCGAATTTGCTTCCAGGACTCTGTAATAATGTCTGTCCTTACTTTTCACAACAACAGTAGCGTTGTTAATGCCTTCATAAGTCTTCTTTGAAGACAAATATCGAGGGATAGGAGAAGGCGATGTAGTCGCGTGGCATTCCCATCAGGACTGCTAGATATTTTCGTGTATAAATTTCATATTTTTGTTGATTACTTGTTCTGTTGACATCCTTTCGCTTTAAATCGTCATCGCAACGGATCATGCTAGATAGGTAGTAGCGCCGGCTACTGCAGTCTGCAGGAGCGACCCGAACCTCATACGTTCAGTGACTCCCCCGCATCATAGGTGCTGACCAACATCATGTTTTAAATCGAAAATTGTCATCTCCTTTCGCACAGTTTTTTCAATCACTCTGACACCATAGCACCATTAGTCAGGGACTGCGCTCATCAGTGGATGGCCATCCCTCAAGCTCTGTTTTTAAGTACAAGTATCAAGATATATCATGAAATCTATCCTAGCATTGACAACTAGCTTGACGGCAGTTGCAGCTGTTTAAATCACATTTTAAGATTTCTCACAGACGATCCTTCGCATCGATTCGACACAACCTTCCATTTTGATTCTGGACCCCCTGATCACCTTCTCTAGCCTTCCAACTCTCCCCGCCAACCGCCGTAGTCGCATACAACACCCCCATCGGATCCCACTTCTACTTGGTAGCCAACAGTTTTGGATAGTGCTTCGCACCATAGACACCAAGCTGCCAGTCCGGCTCCTAGATATCAGCTACATTGAAGTGTACACCTCCTCTTGCTGAATTAGGAGCAGCTTTGCGCCACGAATACATTATATCGCTACGTTCTACGAGTAAATGGATCAACAGCTATCTGTGGGCGACAATTGCTTGCACACTACAATTTAAGTCAATTTCAAAATTCTGGAATAGCGATTCAGCGGGCAGTTGCGTCAACACTGTTTCGACCATCGCCCTTGCCACCGACGTTCTTATCCTACGTATGCCAACTAGGATCCTTCACAAACTCATATGCCCTTCGATCACAAAGTGATGGTCATCACATTTCTGTCCTTTGGTGTCGCCGTCACAATTGTTGGCGCAGTGCGCACGAGTGTCTCGGTCAACGTGTTCATTCTTGGCGAAGTCATGCCAGACCCAACGTACGCAGTAAGCTACACCTTATCGAGCATCGAGTCCGGCCTTGCAATCATCTATACCGGCGGTCTGCCGATCAAATATCTACTTGGGTTGTGCATTTCAGCGCTGAGAGCCCCCGACAAGCCAAGCTATCGAGGCTGCACCTACCTACCTACAAGCGGATTCATGGCGCTGGTCGATCGAGGCAGTACGCGAAAGGCACACGTACGAACGATACATTCAAGAAGATCGACGGAAGCTCCACAGGCAGAATCGACCCCCCTGACGAGATGGTGGCGTTGAGCTGACAAGTGTAGACGAAGGGCAGCCTGGCGAGAGGCGTACGAACAGCGATGAGCATCTCGTTATTACAAAGACGGTGGCGTGGAAAGTCGATGCATAACAGCCAGATTCAAATAGCGCACATGAAAATGACATCAATATACCGCACACGGTGCTGTAATGGTACATAAGGGCAAGCCATAGCACTGTTCGGACGTGCCATTGGCCACGATACATTGGCTCTTCCACTCCATGCTATTGGCAGGTGAGCAGCCAGCTTTTAAGCCATCGGAACCTGATTAGTTCCGTGCATTTCATCAAAATTTATTCTTCCTCATACCCACTTATGCTGCTCACAATTTACTACTCTTGTCCCCCAATGTCACGACCAGCTTCCCGAACTGGCTTGCGTTCTTCATGTCGTCAAACAGCGTATCGATCTGCTTGATATCTAGCCCGTGGACACTCCGACTTACGACCGGCCTCAGTTTCTTCTCGCGCACAAACTGTACCATATCCGCGAACTCCTTGCGGCTCCCCATCGTCGAGCCCCTGACTTCGATATTACGCAGCACAGCGCTCATCAGGAAGTCCATCTTTGGGCTAATCGTCATGCCGTAGATGGAAATAATACCGCCAGCCTGTCATCGTCAGCAGCCCGATCAAAGTGAGAGTGAGAACGAGAAACAGACCTTCAGCAGCCGGATTCCCTTCGCAATAACATCCCCGCCCGCCCCGTCCACAATCGCATCCAGATACTTCCTATCTGACGGAAGCATCGCCTGCAGCTTCTTATCCCAGTCCTTGTCCTTATAACTCACGCCCCCCTTGGCACCCAACTTGACCGCCTTATCGATCTTCCCCTGATCTCCACTCGTGACAAACACATTACACCCCTCCGCAACCGCAAACAGCAGCACCATCAGCGCCACCCCGCCGCCGATACCAGTAACGAGTATATTCCGCCCTTTCTGCGCGTTATCCCCGCACTTGATTTTAAAAGCGCGCCACCCAGTCAACCCCGTCAGCGGCAGCGCCGCGGCCTCGGCGTCGCTCAAATGCTCGGGACACGTCTCCAGCTCGTCCTGATCGAGGACAATGGACTCGGCCAGCGTGCCGGCGGGGTTGGTCTTGGTGCCGCCCAGAATCGCGTAGCCCTTGGGATGCTCGGGGCCGTCGGCAGAGGCCGCCCAGCCCGTACCCGGGTTGAGGATGACGCGCGTGTTGAGCCATTGCTTCGCGGCAGGGCCGGCAGAGGTGACGAGCCCGACACCGTCGGCGAGCAGGGGCACGCCGAATGTGGTACCGGGGTAGAGGTGTTGCCGGATGAAGAGGTCGCGGTGGTTGAGGGCGGCAGCTGTGAGGGTTATGACGGCCTGGGTGGTTAGTCCGGGCTGGATGCTGGAACGCACTGGTTTGCATGTCGGCGTAGGAAAGGTGCTTACTTCGTTGTCTTTTGGCTTGGGTTCTGGAATTGTGATCTTTTCCAGCGGGTAGTATACTTTGCCTGGCTTGCCTTCAATTTGCTTGATGGCGATGGCGGATGGCATGGTGGCGGTGGAAGACTGTGGACTGTGTGTTGTGATCAGATGAAGATACCGAGAGATTGGACAAGGGGTTGAAATGTGGATCAAGGATGGTAGTTATGGATTGACGAGCTATTGGCAGTCGATACAGATGTTGCGAGTTGCGCCCAGAAAGATGACGAAGCCGACGAGGACCTCGGCTCGTTCCCCATGCGGGGGAAGCGAGGACAGGGATCATAAAGCTTGCAGCTTTGCTGTTTGTACCACAACCTCGCGGTATATAGGCAAACTAGTGAAGGCGCCGAAGAAGCATAAGCCTATCGTTCCTGTAGTACAGCTGTGGTAGGCGGAGGGCTTACGAAGTTGGTTAGCTGGTGTTTCTGCGGCGCATCTCTTAGCTTGCCCATATTGCGAGGTTGTACTGTGATCATGTACAAAATTACTACGTGATGTTATGTGCTGGATATTCCCACGACGGTGACAATCCACTTGTACCGGCAACCCAAACTCAAGGCCTCCACCTGAACGAAGGGTGCCTCCAGTCCATGTCCTCGATCTCGCCCGCCGACTTGCCCGCAAGCTCAGCATCCACATCAACCTGCGCACGCTTGCTGTTGCTCCTCTTCATCCAGAACAAGAGCGCAAAACCCAAGACCAAGATCGTGCTGCTCGTCGCCAAATTCAAACCATTGCCAATGGGGTAGTTAGGTCCGTCGAAAGGCAAGAAACTCCATGTCGAGATCAGACCACCAATGTTACCGAGCATGACCACCGTGCCGATAGCAGAGGCGCGCGCAGTATCTGTGACGACGTTTGCAGAGGCTTGCGCGTTGCAGAGCGCGCCGAATGAGAATGCGCCGGAAGCGATGATGAAAGTTGCTCCGTAACGGACTTGAGACTCGGTGCTGGCCAGGAACATGATGTAGCCTACCATCATCAATGGTGCGCCGGCAATCATGAAGATTGTACGTCTGTCGTAGCGCCAGCTGAGGAAGGGGAAGAGGAGGGTGAAGAATGCTCCCACGATGTAAGGTGGGACGGTGCGGAGTTGCTGGTAGACGACGGTGTTCTTGGGGTAGATAGTTCGCACAATGGTGGGTGCGAAGAAGGCCAGACCTTGCACGGTAATGTTGTCGAGCAAGAAGATGATAGATGTCGCGAGCACGACGGGGTTGAAGATGCCGCGGAAAGTCTTCTTCTTGTCCAGCTTGTCGAGGACCTCGTTCTGTCCAACGCGCTCAGACTTGACACGAGCAATCGCCAGGTCCTTCTCTTCTGGTGTAAGCCATCTAGCAGTTTCCGGGCGGTCGGTGAGCGTGAAGAATGAGATCAAGGCAAGAATGCAAGTGACAATGCCTTCGATGGCGAAGATCATCCTCCAGCGATGCAGGCCCCCAAAGTGGTCCAGAGTCAGAATAGCGGAAGCCAAAAGACCACCAAAAGCGCCGGCAAGCGGCGCCATGACAATGTAGAGCGACAGGCGGAAAGCTAGCTCAGATCGGCGGTACCAACGGGACTGATTGTCTTGGTAAGTTTCGAAACATTAGACGAGGAGAAACAGGAGCACTAACCAAGTAGTAGGCAATACCAGGCAGCATGCCCGCCTCGAAAACACCGAGAACGAAACGCACACCACAGACGCTGTGAATGTCGTGGACGAACGCCGTACCAATGGACGAAATACCGAAGCATAGTGAGATGATGGGGATGAACCATCCAGGACCCATCCACTTGCAGCAGATGTTGGAAGGAATCTAATCGGTGTCAGTCACAAAGCCGCCAAGACGCATCGTACAACGCCTTTGTAAATGTCTATGAAACTCACTTCGAAGATAATGTAGCTGATGTAGAAGATGGACAAGACCTTATTATAGTCGTATCCCTTCAGACCCAGGTCTTTCTCAAGACCGGCCAGACGAGCATTGCCGATGTTTGCGCGGTCGATGAAGCAGAAAAGGTACAGCAGAGCAACGGTGGGGATGATGTAGAGGTCGATCTTCCACCTCAGCTTGGCTTCCGCCTTGGGATCAAAGGCGAGCAGCGCATTGCCGTAGCTGGAAGAGTCAGTTCGTATCCAGTGCCAATTGGTCCGCCAGAGAGTCATACATGTCAGTAGCTGCGTGGCCGTGCTCAGCAACAGTGTGCGTGTTGTCGCTCTTGAGGTCCTCGTGCAGGCTCGACGTGTTCTTCTCGAGGTGCGCGGCCATGATGAATGCGTCGAACGACAGACAGTCTGGGCGAGGGCAACTCGAAATGGTACTCCGTCCTTTCTTTATACCTCCATCAGTGTCACGGATCCAGACGCACGTAGCGGACCTTGGCGAAAGCCAAGATCAGCGTCGGTGGAGATGCTAGCTGTGTATGGAATCGCGACGGGCAGATAGCGAGGCCGGGGCCACTCACGACGCGTCAACGTGGGGACCCCGGAGTCGGGTGCATCTACTCCTTGTCGGAAGCCAGCGACGGTACTTGCTGCCGCCAAACATCAGGTGCAGAGTCGCGATCCAGAAGTCCCAGCTGCTCGATACCCCGCTCCGCCACGAGTCTTGGACAGCACATGGGAGCTGGTTTCGGGGAGCGCGCGACTCGTGCGCGGACCGCGAGCAGTCCGGGAGGTTTGACGGTGGAGCCCGGTTCGCGACGACAAACCGGGATGCAGCGCGTGGAAGCAATCAGCCGCCAGAATAGACAAAGATCCGTTGTCCGTAAATTTGATACGAAGATGCAAGGCACGCATGCACGTCGCATGCAAACAGGTATCAATCCACGCCGTATGCAGGCCATCACTGGCATGCACGAATCCCACAGCGCTAAACGTTATGATATGGATACAGACAGTCGGTGTCAAAACAAGCACCGCGCTATTAATGCAGCTGTGGAGTGGTCGCAGCTGATGAAGCAGCTCGTCGTAGCCCTGCCATCTGATGCGCAGGCTGGAAGAAGTCATAGCCAGGCAGCGGCACGAGCACCAGCGCGTTGTACGAATCGAGCTACAACGCCAAAGCACAGACACACGATGGCTTGCGGACGAGTCTCCAACATCCGACAAAAAGAGTGGAGCCGTCTTCCCCACGGGGTCCCCGAATTTCGGCATCTGGGAACCCACATCCGTCTTTTCCGGATTCGCACTCGCACAAGCTGAAGTTTCCCATCCGCAAACCGCCTCACCTTCTCCGCTGCCGCCATCCTGGCCAGATCCCGCATGACCCTCAGCTCACCCAGATCCTCTTCGTTTTCGACACCGAGCATTTTGACCGTCAGATGGTGGTACCTTTTCTCGCCATTCTCGAGGTCCTTGAAGTGGCCGCGCTCGCTGTACACCAGCGTGCCGTGGCGCGTCTTGTCGGCCATGAGCACGGTGATGGAGCGCGCGGGCACGTCGGCGGACTGGTAGCTGCCCTCGTCGATGGCGGCGAGGACCGCGGGGCTGAGGATGCCGGTGTCCGTCCATGAGGGCGCGATGGCGTTTATGCGGATGGGCAGATTGGGATGCAAGTGCCCTGTTAAGGAGCGCATGAGGCTGAGCACTGTGTGCTTGGTTGGCTGTTGCTGTGATGCATTGAGTATGACAAGATACGACACGTTGGATGAGGCCTACTATAGTCTGTGGCAGGGAATCGTGTGAAATCCGAGCCGGATGCCGTTGTCACGATGCTGCCGCCAGCAGGGTTCCTGCGGATATGGTGGATACCCAGCTTGATGGTGTACATAGGTACAGCCCAGAAGATTCACGTTGATGGTCTTGAGGTCCGGTGGAAGTAGGTCCCCGTTGACATCTACATCGTCCTCGAGCAGCGAGACTGTTGGTGCAATCCCGGCATTGGCGAATACGTGGTCAATCTTCCCGTATTGCTTTTCTGCTGCTTTGAAACTGTACGAGGTGAGTCGTTGGGTATTGCCTTCAATGCTGTGACGCTCACAGCTCGACTTGCTGCTTCCAATCTGTCACATCGACTTTTGAGAACGAGACTGAAGCTGCTTCCGGCTCTGGCAGTGAATTGAGATCCCCAGCGTAGACCTTGCCTCCATGATTGATGATGCGACGAACCGTTGCAAGGCCGATGCCAGACGAGGCGCCTGTACAGTGTAAGCCACTCGGTAACGTCACGTCTAGAGCTTATATACCAGTGATCAAAACGACTTGGTCCTTGACCTGGTCAAGATCGTTGTCGGAGATAGTAAAGCTCGACATATTGTCAATAGTCCAGAGTGGTTTCTGGTCAGTGATGCAAGCTGCAGTGAAGTGGTAGCATGAAGTCAGGTCAAGCAGACGTATGAGTGACCGGGCAGCCAGAAAGCAAATCTGAAGTCGACAAAGTCCCAGCAACTTCACTCATGGTAGATGAGGCTTTCTACTCTTTTGCAGTGAGCCTCGAGTTACCGCGGGCGTGCTGTGATCGACCCCGCTTTAGCGTGCATGGTGGCCGAGTATCTCGCTAAACCTAGCAACTCTACGTATGAAGAGCAACAGTACGAATGGGAGCCATATTTGCAAAGGGGACGGGAAGTGTGCTCTTTTGGGATGGCCTTTCGAGATTTTGGTAGATTGCTTGGACTTTTCTCATTAACGACTCTGTCAAACGGCGTCTCTTACAGCAGACGAGAGCTTCGCCTGTGAGCGTAGGAGAACCCTTAAGGATTGCCGCATATTGTCAGGCTAAACAAAGCTCCCGAGCTCATGTCGAGCGGTTTGGGCCAACGTCGATGGCCGTGTGTCGAACGAAAAGGACGGCCCTGGGTCTCCTTGCGGAGCGCTGTACGCACAGGACTATGGATATATGCCCAATAGTGCTTTCGCAAAGCTGCTGTGTTCGATCTGCCTTCTCTTCACTCAACTCACGCGTTGTTACTGTTGCCGCCGCCGCCCCGTCCACGGCCTCGGCCGCGTCCACGTGTGCCTCTGCCGCCCCGGTCGCCCCTGTGGTCTCCACGGGAATGCATGCCACCGCGTCCGCCTCTTTGCGCCTGGTCCTTGACCTGCTGCTCCTTCACAACCTCGATGATCTCGTCCGGTACCCGCAGGTACTTGATCTGCGCGCTGTCAGCTTTCGATTCCCCCGCGCGAGGCAATTCTACCCACTGTGCTTCCACGGACATATATCTCCGGTAGCCGCATGAACTTGTCGCCATCTGCGCTCGTCTGCACGACCTCCCGTAATGTGAGATTCATCCATGTGTCGCAGTTGACCAGCAGGCCGTTGAGTGTCTCGCCGCTCTTGAGCTCTACAAGCATCGGGTGGCCCGTTGCGGCCGTGAGAAGGCCTAATGGGAGCTGTGTCGCGTCAGTCAGAGCTCGCGGGGCTCTCAGCTGCAGGCGCAGTACGACGTACCATCTTGCCGTTGTGTTAAGGCGAATGAGCAATAAGCTGAAGTGTATATGGTCTTTTATTGAAATTGCGGTTGGAGGAGTAGATTCACCGTCGACGTCGCTGGTGCTTGTGGAGCTGAGAGCCAACCGTGCTGTCGTCAAGTTGCTGCACTGGTAGATCGTCACTAGTCCATGCGCTCGCCTTGGCGACGCTCAGCCCTACAAGAACTACGAAGTTAGACAGTCGATCACCCTGCAACGACGTGCCAAAAGCCTTGGAATTGTCGTTCGAATCACTACAATGATGCGATATTTTTGCAATTGTCTTAGAACGACAACATTCGTCCGCGCCGACCTGGTCGTCATGGGGCGCCTGAACCGGTGAAGAACCATCTCGAAAGGCTCTTGTCAGATGGCCTGCAGGTGAGCCTGCAACAACAACTCCAACCGTGGGGTATAGCATGTTGCTGAGCCACCTGATAGGCCTTTTCCATTGGTTTGTATCATTCGCGACGGTATTTGGCCTTCACTTTCTCACATCCCAAGCTCAAGCTCGATTAGATTGTGGCTGAGCACGCTGACAGACCACGCGTCTTAAACTCCGCGCAGCCGCACTTCTGCCTGATCCTCAGAAGTTGGGACGAGAGCTCCCATCTTTCACCAGCAGCCGCACCTGTTGTGCGCCCGTGGTGGAGGAAAGTGCTGTTTACCGTTACTTTCTCTCTCGCGTTTTTTCTGTATTGCCTTCATTATGCGCTCCTTCAAGTCCAAGGTGTTGTCAGCCGTTGCGTTCGCCGCCGCCGGGTTTGCCGCAGCACTTCCCAGCCACGGTGAGGTTGCTCGACTGCACAATGAGCCTTTGCAGCTAGGTACGCTCCACTCTTATACATCCACCTCTTGCCACGCCTCTAGGCATCTGCTGAACTGTGCTAGATGTTCAACAGAACTACGCGCAAGCGACCTTCAGCGTGCCCTGCGCTGGGTGTTCCGGCCAAGATTACACGGACCAGGATGACGAGTCACTCGTGAGGCGCACTTCAGGCATCTATTTATGGAGACAGCCTTGCTAACCTCACCACAGACCCTAAACTTCACTGCCCATTCTCACGACGAAGCCTGTGGTTCTTCCAACATCACCATCAACGGTGTACCACTCCCCCAAGAATGGGAAGGTGACTACGCGTCTGGCTCGGGCTCCTACCAGTACACCAGCATTGCGCGTCTGCAGCAGAATGACCAGCTCCCTCAGCGTGACCTGGCCCTTGCATGGAACTCGACCTGTCTTCACGGCAACGCGGAGACGGACGAGGCCGCCCAAATCCTGACAGTCAACATCAAGTCCATTGACGGCGTTCCCATTAGTACTCCATCTGGATTTACCATCTCGTTCAAGCAGAACGCATCACCGCCATCACTTCTCAGGCTTGAGACCGTTCCGGACCTTGCGCCAGAGCTCTCTGACATCTGGCGTGACCCACCGGCTCATCTTCGACTAGTCTTCGGTCACGCCGCAACGGCAGAAACCAGCAAGACAAACGTCTCCCTTGAAGACGAGATCCGGGAACTCAGAGCACTACAAGCCGAACTTGCAGCTATCCAGCTAGCAGTAGCGTCCAAGAAGCAGTACATCAACTCAAAGATCCGCAAAGAAGCGAAGTGCTCCACCGAAGAGCTCAAGCACTGTGACGGCATCTCTTGCGTTCTCAAGACTGTCGCCGACAAGGCCCATGGCGCATGGCGAGTCGTGTACCTGCGCTTGCATCCTGACGATCAATTCAAAAACATGGGTCGGCCAGAGGAGGTTTACGCCTCGGCTCGCGTGAGCTCGCAACGATATGGCAGCATCAACGTCGCTAACATAGACTCGAAAGCAGAGACAGAGGAGGAAGAGTCAAAACCTCAGCCGTATGAGGGGTCTACAGGCGAGCTCCCCCTGCGATCGCAACAACGTCAGGCTCCGTACATTATTGCTCTCGAGATCGCTCTGGGCGTTCTCTGCTGTGGCTGTCTTGTTGCCGTTATTCGACACAAATGCTCCAGCCTCCGCACCCGCACCGAGCGTGCTGCCGACTACGAAGAGCGTTACAACGCACGCGCGTACAAACGCGCTGCACGCCACCACGCCTGGCGCAATTGGTGGCGCGGCAACTGGCGCAAAGATGCTGCGCGAATCGCCGACTACGAAGAGAAGCGTGCCCTCATCGCAGATCAAGAGAACGTCCTCGAAACCGCCATGCAGGAGGAGATTAGGCAGCTTCGCGTCGCGCACAATGTTGTCAACGACATCATCCGCGCAGAAGAAGGCCGCACGGGCATAGCTATTCCCCCAAACCCTCGCTGCGTATGTCACCGCCCTTGTTTCGCGCCGGGGCCGCCCTCACTCACATCCACCTACCCACCTTCGACTATCCCCGAAGCACCCTCTCGACCCCTCTCTCGCACCGACAGCCTCCCTAGCTACCGCTCCCGCACACCCAGCGAGCCCCCATTGTACGAATCGGATCTTGGTGCTTCATTCGTGGCGAACGGTCTGCGGTACGAGGCGAGAGCCAGGGCGTACACGGCGAGCGCGTCGTCACAGGCCGGGGAGTCCGGACGCTGGACGCCGGACAGCAGCGTGGTGGACGTGAGCCCGCGACCGAGTGCCGAGACATTGCGCCATCCTCAGAGCATATTCACACTGGACGAGAGTGAGAGCGAGTCAGAGCTATAAGCCGGCTGTAGGTTGCTCTCCATCGGCACGTTGTTTTTTTCTGTTTCCTTCTTTCAAGCATTCTAGGGCTGGCGTTTATCGGCGGAGATTGTGAGGCTCTTGTTTGCCCCTGCATGGTATGATCTGGCGACATGGGGAACCTCGTCTACTAATATCTCTGAGTCCCCGTGTATAGTACATAATAGCATGCGCCGGCTGTCGACGCAGCAACTGTCTTGAATCAAACAATTTCACCAGCCTCGCGGTGAACTGAGCACGTGATTATGTCGTCTACGGTGTGAATAGACAGGATGTTTTGCGTTAGTCTGGGGTTTTTACACAGTATGACGAGTGTGAAGGCGCGAGGATCTCTCCGGTACTCAGGAGTGCAATTCGCCGGAGTTCAGCCGCTTCGGTGTCGAGATTTACGATCCGCGTTCACGACGCCTTCCCCAGCACACGACACACCGCCGTCATGAGAAAGAAGCCGAGATTCCATTCGCTGAAGAAGCTGGTGCGTTATGCCCCCTTTGGTGCAGCGTTGCCTCGTCCTGGCTAACGATGGCAGAAAGTGCGGCAGGATATGTCGCGCTGGACGCTGTACAGTCTCGCGCAGCTGCGGCCGCCCAACACTGCGATGCGAACATACTTCCAGCAGAAATGGACGGCCAAAGCAGACACGCGTGCCTACCACGGCGAGCAGATGCGCGAGAAGAAATGGGCGCGCCTCTTCAAGCGGTCCATCCCCGCCGTTGTGCCCATGGACCACAAGTACCTCGCCCGTCACGACGGCAGCGAGCAGGCCGCCGGGCGCGGATCTGGCGCAGACTCGCAGGACAAACCACGCGCGCCGCCCATGACGCCATACATGCAGATGGCCTACTACCCGATCGAGCGCCGCCTGGACACGGCCATCTTCCGCGCCCTGTTCGCCAGCAGCGTGCGCCAGGCCCGCCAGTTCTGTGTCCACGGACTCGTCAAGGTCAATGGCAAGAAGATGCCCTTCCCGGGTTACATGCTCAACCCGGGCGACATGTTCCAGGTGGACCCGACGAGCGTCATGTTCGCCACCGGCGCCCCGAAGGAGCGTTCCTCGACCGCCCGCCGCGTTGCCAAGGAAAAGGCCGCCGCCCGCGCCGAAGCCCGCGAGGCCCATGGCGGCCAGACACCGCGCCAGCCCACGCCCGAAGCCGTCGTGCAGTCCAAGGGCGACGCACCCTCGCCCGCCGAGCTCAAGAAGCACCTGCAGGCAATGATGACCGACGTCGACGGCGTGCTGGCCGAGGACGTCGGCGCAAAGGACAAGCAAAAGTTCCGCGCCTTCCGCCAGGCCGTGAAGCGTGCTATCGGCCTGTGGCGCAGCGCCTCGCCCGAGTCCATCTCCACTCTCGACACGCAGTTTGACTTCCTCAAGACCCAGCTGGCGGGGCGGTCTGCGCCACCTTCCGCACGCAGCCCCGACGCCGTCGAGGCGCCGCTGTTCAGCGCCGAGGACCAGACGAAGCTGCGCCAGGCGTTCGACAAGCTGAAGCTCGAGACGGAGCACACGAGCGCGTGGAACAACCGCAACGCCGCGGCCCCGTACGCGACGCCCTGGCGGCCCAGAGACTATATGAGCGCGTTTGCCTTCATCCCCAGGTATCTCGAGGTCAACCAGAATGTCTGCGCGGCCGTGTACTTGAGACACCCGGTTGCGCGCCCAGGGCTGGCCGAGGTGCCGACCCCGTTCAGCATCGAGACGGGGCAGCTGGCGTTTAACTGGTACCTACGGAGACGGTAGACGGCGTAGCGAGTGTAGTCATAGTAGCCATGGTGGTATAGCGAGCGCGGCGTCTGTGCTCGCACGTCTTGTATGATAGAATAGACTGTAGCAACACGAGCACATCGACTTTGTCCAATGGATCCAGCTTCAACCACGTATGCTAGGACTATTCACGCATGCCGTGTGAGGCGGCGGACTATATGACGCCGTCGCAGCCCGCAGGAGCAGAAGCGCAAAAGCTAAACTTGCGGACGTTCGGTCGTGGAGCAGATCCACACAGCAACAGCGGGTGTGTACCTATAGGTTGGTTCAGCCGCGATGTGCCGTGCTGCAGCGATGCTGCTGCGCGTGCGTTGAGGGGGGGGGGGGGGGGGGAATGTCGAGTAGCTAAGCCGTGCACTAGTGCGATGGTGACTCGATGTCGACTGTGAAAGATTTGACTGATCAGACGTCATCTGGCGTGGGACAGCTAGATGTTGGCTAGAACTGCATCGGAGTTCAGGAAAGGAGTCTAGACGTTCTGATCGACGCCCGAGTGTACCCGTGAAACCATCCAGCCTTCTATCTTTCACAATCAAAACGCTTTATATTGTACTTATCCCGCAGAATCTTCTTATCTCCATTCTTTGAGACACGATGGCCGAGTGGTCTAAGGCGGTAGATTTAAGCAATTCGGAAGCTTGCAGTGCATTTTTCAATTTGTTCAGATCTCTACTACAGAAATGTGCGTGGGTTCGAACCCCACTCGTGTCATTTTGCCTTTTTGTGCATCTGTACTATATTTTGCCTAGTAATGCATCGTTACAAATGAACGCCTTTTTGGTCGCGCGTCGAGGGACCGGGCAAGAACTAGCGTTTCGGCGCTCCAACATCACGCACTTCATACCCGCCCAGCTCGACGGGCGGCTGTGCAACTTCGGCGGCGTCTTGCTTGTACACAATCTTGCCCTGTGCCATCTCGTGCCGCTGATAGGTGCCGTCCATCTCGCTTCGGTACGGACTCACTGCGATCTCAGCGTCATCCCGGCTGTGCTCAGCCGCAGCTGCGTCCCTCGCTTTCCTCGCTCGTTTCTTCCTTGCCAGCAGCCACAGCGCGAGACCCAGGATCAGCGCTCCCCCCGCAAGACCACCGAGGACGGCTCCAACTAACGTACCTGTCGTGGGGCTGGTCGATGGGGCAGCGGAAGATGTCGACGAGGCTGATGCTGTCGGTGAACTGACAGAAGAGCTGCTCGCGCCAAGATCGCACATATCAATGCTGTAGTACACAAACGTGCTGTTCCAGCACTGTCCGAGCTGAATCTCTTCCTGGAAGCCGCCGCATATCGTCGTGTCGTTGTCTTGCACGTAGATAGTCACTGCCTTGCGTGTCAGCCATGCGCGTTGCTTTTGCCCACGGGCTGTCTAACCTGCGCACCCCGCATCCAGCCCAACAACCTGCAGGCTCCCGTACGACCCGCTGCGGCGGAAGTCGGTACATGAGCCGTTGGGGTAGCCGTTCGGGCCCTCGAGGCCCTTGAACGAGTCCTGGCAGTTGTCGTCGGTGAACAGCGCTATCTGCGATGCGGCGTGTGCGCCGCTGGCGAGCGTGAGGAGCGCGGTAAGGAGACTCAGGATCGTCATCGTGCGGCGACGCTCGCGGGGACCAATCAATGCGCGAGCCTGGAGGTTGGGCTCTCAGAGGCGTGGGCTGCGCGGCCGAGTTCATATATGCGTTTCCTCGTCTGGTTGGGACTGATGCAACGGCATGCTTCGTTTGTGCTGCCTGAGGAAACGGCTTGGATTGGCGACTGGGGTTTCAGCGAATGTTATCAACCCTTGAAATGCGGCCCCCGAATTTGAGCTTGGCGGAGGATCGCGCGCTGATGGGATTCTCCATTTGGACCGGGATGATGACTAGTCAGGCTCAGCTGAGTGGTGACAGTTAGGAGAGCTGGATTCTAACACAAGGTCGGGGAGGTACAGGAAGCACACATGGAATGTGTAGCACATAGTTTGCGTTTCACGGATATATGCAAAACGTAGCATCGATTCGGTCCAAATGTAATCTGGTAGTCGAGATAGAAATACTTTTCCCAACCTAGTCGTAATGGTATCGAGCACCATGGCCATGAAGCAACCGTAACGCCGTATATGCAATCCAGCATCGACCGCAATCCATCCACTATGCATCCTCCTTGATCTCCAGCTTGCTCTTCTTATCCTCGCCGCCCGCCTCGTCGTCAGCCTTGCGCTTGTTGCTGGTGTCCTTGACGACCGGGACGCCGTGAGCGTCGCGCTCAATCTCCTTGCTCTCCTTCGATGCGTCGTCCTTGCCGTTCTGGAAGCGCTCGCGGCGGTTCTTCCAGTCGTCGTCATCGACGGAGCCGCTGCGGTCGCGCCTCGAACGTGTATCATGGCGGTTGCGGTCGTCGCGACCGTCGCGGCCACCTCGTCCTCCACGTCCTCCACGACCACCACGTCCACCGCGTCCACCACGACCGCCTCGGCCGCCGGATCTGTTGTCGCGGCCGTCGCGGTGTTCGCGGGGCTGGCGCCTTTCTCCCTCGGCGAGCTCCCACTCGGGCTTGATGCCCTTCTCCTTGCACTTCATCTCCGAGTACTCTTTCTTGCCCATCACGGTAAGGTCGTTGCCATTGAACCTGGGCGCGGGGTCGAGGGCGAGGAACTGCTTCTGGCTGTCCTCCGAGTCGAACTCGACGAAAACGCTGCCCTTGTAGGTGCCGTTGTCCTCGCGCCTCTTGCGCACCATGACGGCGCCGTAGGGACGGAAGAATTGCTCCAGCGCAATCTGGCCGGGCTCCTCGTCGCCAAAGCCCTTGGCATAGGCGCTCTTGCTCAGATCGTTGGAGGAGGCGTGCTTCAGGCGGTAGAACAGATCGGTGGCGGACGGGGGGTTCTTCTCATCGTCCTCCTTGGTGGGGACAGAAATGGGCTCCTTGCGCTTGACGGCCTCGTTGCCAGGGCCGCTGAACTCGCCGTCGTCGACGACAACAAGGTCCTTGCTTTCGCGCAGGGCGTTCACAATGGCGCTGTAGGGCTGGAAGCGGCGCATGCGCTTGAAGTCGGCAATGTGCTTGATCGCAACAGGGCAGTTCTTGGGGCCTTCGAGCTTGGTGAATAGGTGCTCGTCCGTAACAAGGTTGTGCGTGGAAAAGTAGAATTCGACCTGCGCCTGTTAGCAGGCGACTGAAATTAAACAATCAGCACGCACCTGGTTGCGGATCTCAACCGGGTCGTCGCTCTCGGGGAGGTCCTCAAACTCGTTGTTGCGCGACCTGAGGAGAGTCAATCAGTGTATGCACAGCAATTGGCACGGCACCGTCACTCACTTTCTGCCCTTGAAGCCGCCGCCGCCGCGGGGTCCTCCTCGTCCACGGCCCCCACGTCCTCCACGGCCTCCAGAGCGGTTGTCACGGTATTCGCGGTTGTCGCGGCGGTCGCGGTCATCACGGCGATCGCTCTTCTGTTCGCTGCTATTGAGGTTCAGGATCTCCTCGCCGTCGTTGTTAGAGGTCTTGACCTTCTTGGGCTCCTCAGCTGAAGCAGCTGCGGGGGCAGCAGTAGTGGTGTCGGCCATAATGATTGGAGTTTCTGGGTCGCGGGACAGTTTTCAAGCGGTCCAGAGGGGTTTGTAGGGAATGGCGGGTGTGAGTCGAAGTGTGCAGTGAGCGCGGTGCTCGCGAGAGCTGTTTTCTGCGCCTCGAGAATTTAAGTTTTACCGGAGTTCGGCCGCCGAGCCGCCCCGCTTCTGGATCTCCACCCTTCTTGAGGTTTACCTTCAATAATCAGGGTCACTATTAATTCGAGTCACAGCCAGGACCAGTGTCGTCGCAGCTGCAGCGCTCGAATTTAGAGTGGTGCAAACCACATCTTTGAACTCTGGATATGTTCGAGATTTTGGAGATGGCTTTAGATGGGCTTGGAAGTGTCTATTGTTCTTTCTCAACGTCTACTTACCTGCACAAACTCGTGTGAATCGTACAACGCCATGCGTGGGGGATGTTCGGAGATGATATGGTTGATGGCTTCGGTTTGTTCAACTCAACTGCCCTTTGACCTCAACAGTCAGCGACTTGACAGCGTCTAGCCATCTAGAGTCACCAACGAGGCCCACGAAGAGTTGCTGGGATCTGCTGAGTAGTTCTCAGCAATATGAGTATGCGAGGACCACAAATCCGATCCGCCTCTGCTGCACCATTCGTGGCAGGAAGAAAAGAGAATAAAGGAGGGTCACTGTCTGCGAGGTCGTCGCTTTCGCATCGGCTGTAAGGAGCCTAGTCTGGGAGGCCGCATAGACTGGGCCATCATCCACACAAGAGACTCTATCCAGCCTTCACCACCTCTTCAAGCTTCGCGAATACCCGCCAGGGCGTACTTCTTCCACCTTAGTTTAATGATGATACAGATAGTCAAGAGATGAACGGTTCGGCGACTACTAACCGAGAAAGGGCGACACTACAGGTCCGATTGGACGCGTCTATCCGCAGGATTCGTAGCGTTGCTTCGTTGCATCTACAAATCTATCGATCCATATGGAGATTCTGTAGGTCTGGATGTTCTCGCTTCCCCATGTCGCACTCGTATCACTCTTGGTGCTGTCAACCGGGCCTGCGGCACAGCCCTTTCGTGAGCCTTGTGCAGCGGACATGGTTCTGCTCCAGCCTCGGTGCGTGTTGGGAGAAAATGGCTTCGTATCATGAGAGGCTCGGGCTTTGTCCAGGGCGGCGGTAGACTGATGCGTCGCCTTGAAACTCGTTTCTTTGAGCATCATCATCCTTCACTGGCCTTGACCGTAGGCAACCTTCTTTCAATCACTCACTTCGATATCAACCTCGCGAGCGGATGTTATCGATCATGTAATTTGTGGCGCAAGCTGTGCCAATCAGACAATGATGCACTCTCACACCTTACAGACACGGCTCGTGCTGACAGCGCTTATCTCGGGCTGCAGGCATCCCACTTGGCATCGCAAGGCAGGCTGTGACGGGTGGAAGAAAGTGCAAGCCCGCGAACAGCGACATTGCTATTAGATGTGTAATAGTCTGTGTGTCAGCATACATCATATGTGGGCCTGGGGGAGCTGCCGAGAGGTATTCCGGCCACTGATTGACACAAGATGAGGCCCTGCATAATACCAGTAACACGTGGAGTACGCAATGTACGGAGGAAAGCTCGACAAGCAGACTCTACCCACCGGCCAACAGTCAAGATGGATCCATCGGCTACACGAGCAGAGACAGAGGTCCGACGTCGTGCCTGCAAGTATGGACATTTCGATATCCCAATCGCCGCCTCCTGAAGACCTCACCTCAGCTGACGTATGGTCCCTGTCTTCAAACATGTCTTTGCTCACTCTAGTAGACCAAGGTAAGCGGATCTTATTGGCATTGCACAGGTCAAGCATCTAGTTGTGGGGTCTTTGGAGCCCGGTGAGGCGTCCTTCTTGCCTTAGTCGGCCCCAAGTCTTCGCTCTGAAGAAGTTCTCGGGTGGCCATGATGGACACTGCCATGCATGACAGAACATATACCTCCAGCCCACCATCTTCTTAGGTGACAGGCAGTCGACAGCCTATACTTCGTTTGTCCACCAGACCTTCATAGCGACCTTGAACCTCGCTGTGAACAGCCACTTCTGTACCGACCACCCAGCAGCCACAATTTAAGTATGATACCTCCCTCGATCAATCGACCAAACGAACCAATTGCCGTCATTGGAACTGGGCTCAGATTCCCTGGAGGTGTAAATGACCCAACACAGCTTTGGGACTTGCTACAGCATCCTCGCGATGTACAGACTGTCATTCCAGCAGACCGTTTCAGTATAGACGGATTCTACCAGCCATCGCACGACAACCAAGGCAGTAGCCATACTCGTCATGGCTACTTCCTCAGTGGTGACCATCGACAGTTCGATGCCGAATTTTTTGGTATCATACCGGTTGAAGCGAGCTCGATGGATCCACAGCAACGATTGTTGCTTGAAGTCGTATACGAAAGCATCGAGGCTGCTGGCCTCGACATGAAAACTCTCCAAGGTTCACCTACGGCAGTGTACGTAGGTCTTATGGCTGTCGATTACAACGACATGCTGAACCGCGACCCGTCAGATTTCCCACCCTATGTGGCTGCGGGTACTTCGCGAAGCATGTTCTCCAATCGAATATCGCATTTCTTTGACTGGCGAGGACCATCTATGACGATTGATACGGCGTGTTCCTCCAGTCTTGTTGCTATACACCTGGCCATCCAGTCTCTAAGGGCTGGAGATTGTGAGCTTGCTATCGCTGCTGGGGCAAACCTGATGCTCGGTCCGGAGCAATTTATTGTCGGGAGCAGTATGAAGATGTTGTCACCTGACGGACGATCGTTCTGGTGTGATGACCGCGCAAACGGTTACGCTCGAGGTGAAGGGTTCGCGTCTATCGTTCTCAAGACTTTGAGTGCAGCGATCGCAGATGGCGACGATATCGAGTGCGTGATTGCTGAGACTGGTCTGAACCAGGATGGAAGAACCCAGGGTCTCACAGTGCCAAGTGCGGACGCCCAAGCTACGCTCATACAGACGACGTACAGGAAGGCAGGGCTCGATTTGACCAAACCTTCCGATCGACCCCAATACTTTGAGGCTCACGGCACTGGAACTCCTACCGGAGACCCCCTTGAGGTCAAGGCAATACATGATGCGTTCTTTGCGAACACTCAGCCTGATGACAGTAAAGAGCAACTCTACTGCGGCTCAGTGAAGACGATCATCGGCCACACTGAAGGCACAGCCGGACTGGCAGGCTTGATCAAGACATCGTTGGCCCTGCGGCATGGCATAATTCCCCCGAACCTTCTTTTTGAAAACCTTTCGCCTCGTGTCAAGCCTTTCTTTGACAACCTCAAGATTCCAACCACAGCAGAGTCATGGCCAGTTCTGCCTCCTGGAGTAATACGCCGAGCCAGTGTTAACTCATTTGTGAGTAATTTGACGGAGCAAAAGGAAACCTCGTTCTAACTGCATACAGGGATTTGGAGGAACAAATGCTCATTGTATCTTGGAAAGCTATGACTCCGCAGCGCGCGAACAGCCAATAGATTGTGTGACAAATCTCCCATTCGTGTTCTCTGCACCGTCGGAGAAAGCATTGGTTGCCATACTCAAATCATACTTAAAGTATCTCAATGAAGAGCCTGCAGTCGAGCTTCGGGCTCTATCACATACTTTGTGCACTAGGCGAACGGCATTTCCTGTGAGGGTGGCTTTCTCGGCGAATAGTATGAAAGATCTCCATACGAAACTCAACTCTATCGCGAACCAGGAAGGGGCCAAGCCATTCCTCACTGCTCCGGTGTCAGCATTACGACCACGGATACTGGGAGTCTTCACGGGCCAGGGAGCTCAGTGGGCTGGCATGGCAAGCCGTTTGATGGAATTCTCCGGAACAGCAGCCCTCATCGACGAACTCGAGCGTAGCCTAGCCGAATTACCAGACCCGCCCTCATGGTCACTCAAGGCTGAGCTATCAAAGGAAAAGTCACACTCGCGAATCACAGAAACCGCAATTACCCAGCCGGCGTGTACAGCTGTGCAGATTCTGCTGGTCGAAATGCTGCGCGCCGCTGGCGTTCGTTTCTCTGCCGTGGTCGGTCATAGCTCCGGAGAGATAGCCGCCGCATACACTGCCGGATATCTCTCTGCTCAAGACGCGATACGTGTCGCTTACTATCGCGGACGGCATGTGCCTCTAATCGGCGGGAGGAATGGAGAACGCGGATCAATGATTGCGATTGGCGCGTCATACGAAGAGGCGCAAAACCTGTGCAATCAGGACGAGCTTCGCGGAAGAATATGCATCGCCGCAAGTAATTCAGCTTCCAGCATCACTTTGTCTGGTGACACTTCTGCTATTGAGGAAGTACAGACCATGTTCAAGGCAAGTAACAGGTTTACAAGGCTTCTCAGGGTTGACAATGCGTGTAAGTGTCCGTATCTTCATAAGATTGTCACGTAATTGACCTCCTGCAGACCATTCACATCACATGATACGTTGCTCCGAGGCTATCACGGCCTCGTACCGCGCCTGCAAGATCAAGTCGCGACGACCTACCATCCCCGACTGTTTGTGGGTTTCGAGCGTATATCATCGAGACATAGCCTTAGTCACGGACAGCCTGGACGGTCATTACTGGCATAGCAATACGATCGGCGAAGTGCTTTTTTCGCAGGCGCTTGAGCATGCTCTGCAACAACCTCACTTCGACCTTGCCGTGGAAATTGGAGCTCACCCGGCCTTGAAAGGTCCCGCCCTACAAGTGATCGAAGACACCGTCGGTTACACGATACCGTATACGGGAATGTTAGCTCGAGGCGTAGAAGACGACGAGGCGTTCGCGAACAGTCTTGGCTACATATGGGCCAGCCTCGCCAGAAATACCGTTGACTTTGCTGGCTATGATCAGTTCATGAATGCTACAGAATCACCCACGCTACTAAAGGGTCTCCCAACATATCCCTGGAACCATGAGAGGGCATTCTGGCACGAGTCTAGAGTCTCAAGAGCATTTCGAGGTCGATCTGGCCGGCACAAGCTCCTCGGTCTAAAAAACGTTGATTACTCTGAAGATCAAATCTCATGGAAGCACAGCCTGATACCCGACAGGATGTCTTGGCTCCAAGACCATCGCATTCAAGGGCAGATGATCTTCCCTGGTGCAGCGTACATCGTATCGGCATTTGAAGCTGCGCGTCAGGTTACGGGAGAGCAATCCGTGAGAGCCATCGAGCTGACAGATTTTGTGTTCGGTCAGCCTTTGGTGTTTGCGACTGGAGATACCCGGATAGAGGTTCTTGTGTCGTTACGTGGCGTCCGGCGTCGGGATTCGAAGACCACCGCTGACTTTACCTATCACTCGATCGCCAACGAAACCTCCGGCTCGATGACACTCAATGCACATTGTCAAGTCACCATTGACCGCGGACATCAAGATGGAGCCACCATGCAACCATTTCCAGAAGCCACACAGTTTGGAATGCAAGAGGTTGGGTCTGATAGGATCTACGAATCGTTCGCCAAACATGGGTACCACTACACTGGTCCATTTAGGTCTTTGACATCGGTGTCAAGAAGACTTGGGGTTGCTTCTGGTCTGGTCCAGATGCCCGGTCCCACTCATAAGATGGAAACTCTGATGCATCCTGCGACCCTAGATGCGGCGATGCACTCAATCATGGTTGCACACTCCTATCCGGGCGATGGCCGATTGTCAACTCCACGGATACCAACCGAGGTCTCGAAAATATCGCTCGATCTGTTGGCAGCCTTGCGAAGCTCGTCCCAGCAGCACTTGAAGTTCGTGTCTATAGATGTTGATAATGTCAATCGTAAGGAGGGGAGAGTAGAGCTCTCTTCGGTGGACGGCGCAGACTCTATTCTCCAAATCGAAGGTCTGCGCACAAAGCCTATGGTTCCTGCCACTCCAGCAAACGATGTTCGCATGTTCTCCGAGACGGTATGGGGCCCAGGATATCCTTTACTCCGCGATGGCCACAATGGCTTCAATACCTCCAGGGACGTCGTTGATGTGATGACATCTGCTGCTGAGGAGTTGACTCACCGCTATCCGGGCATGCACATACTAGGGCAAGTCCGAATCTCTGATATCTCTCACATCGCTAACAAGATTCTCAGCATCAATAGGGCTGACCCAGAGCATGTGCTGCGCTTCCTATCGGGGCTTGATAATGCGTTTGCCTCCTACACGCACACCGATGTTTCCGAGGAATGCCTTGACCTAGGCAGGACTGTCCTTGACTCGTTAGACGACAAGATAACGTACAGAAAAACAAGCCCGGATACCGATGTCAGTGATCAGGGATTCACTGCACGGTCAGCTGATCTGGTCGTTACGTTCTCGATGCCATCCACGCTACTAGAGCTGCAACATACGTTAAGGGATGTGGGATACCTCCTTAGGCCAGGCGGTTATTTCTTGTGTCCCCAGCCTATCGATCCGGATCTCTTGATTCGCGATCCGTCTTCGGAGATAGTTGTAGCCCCTGATGTTTGTGGCGGACCTGCACATCCCTCATTGCAACAGGGAATCCTTTCACAGCGCAAACAAATGCTGGAGTTACATGATCTTGCAGACTTCGATTCGCTGCTACAAACGAGAAACAGCATTTCACACAATGGCCAGGACTGTGTCACACTCATGCAAGCGATCGATAATCGTGTCCAGTATCTCCGCGATCCTCTAAACCAAGTCGCACGACACCCACAGATCATGGCCGGAGATATTACCTTGATCGGTGGCGATACCACCGCCACATCCGCTTGTGCTGGCCAGATCGAGGCAATTCTGAACGCCTGTGGCGGAAACGTAGTCCGGGCGCAATCGATCTCTTCTCTACTTGATACGGAAGCTCGATTCGGTGGCAGTGTTCTTGTCCTACAAGACTGCGACAAGCCTATTTTTGAGGATTTCGATCAAAACATGCTTGCAGGCCTGAAAAATATATTCGCGGCCAGCAGGAATGTTTTGTGGGTCACATTCGGCTACAAGCGCAATGCGCCGAATGCGAGAATGTTAGTGGCTTTTGCGAGATGTTTAGCTCAGGAGATGGAACATGTCCGGCTACAAATTGTGGACTTCACATCACCAGACACACTTGAGGCGTCGCTGATATCACAGGTCTTCCTTCGGTTGCTCGGCACAACGATTTGGGAGGACCAAGGCCGCCTACATGACATCCTCTGGTCTGCGGAGCCTGAGATCTCCTATGAAGAGGGAGATATGTTCATTCCTCGAGTAAAGCCCTGCAAAACGTTGAACGATCGCTACAACTCTTCTCGCCGCCCGGTCACTCGGGACGTTGCTCTGGCTGATGAGATGGTAGCCTTATCGCCAGTGGATGATACATATGTCCTCAAAGCATCGATCGGTGCCAGCCAGGCATCGCTCCGGAACAATCACGTCACCATCCATGTTACACACTCCTTTCTCAAGGCTGTCAAGATCGAGCGAAGTGGGTTCTTCTATCTACTCTTGGGCACGGATGTCGCGGGCAACGAGCAGGTCATTGCGTTGTCTAGCACACTGTCTTCGAGGGTGGATGTACCGAGAGAACTGGTTCGATCTTGCCCATTGCCCAAAGAAAAAAATGTTGAGCATCTCCACGCCGTGTTTTACGGCCTGGTATCGTTCGCAATCCTGCGTGGCCTTACGTCAGATGACGCGGTCCTCGTTCTTGAACCCGACTCAAGTATCGCGACCATTCTCCCTGCTTTTGCTAAAGCCAACTGTGTGAGAGTATTGTTTTCTGTGGCTCGCGAAGATCAGAATCTCGACTCACAGCCGCCGCGCCGCGCTTTGGGCAGCGAGATCAGCGACGCCTTACATGATATCAACTTGGCACGAGTTGTTTGCTGGAAAGACGATGTCTCGACTGCGAGCATACGTAGCGAGATACCATTCGGTCTCGCTTGCGATGAAATGAGCGCGTACGTCGCCGAGAAAGGCTCTCCTGTCAGTTGCATGTCAATAGCAAGAGCCTCTCTTACGCTCGATCGTGTGCATGATCGATTGAGCTCGACGATATCTACCAATGCTTGCGAAGTTACCAAATGTATCTCCCTATCAGACGTGGCTGGAACCTTCATCGCTGTTGATCCAATGACAATGTTGGAGTGGAAGGCAAAGTCCAAAGTCCAGGTTTGCATCGAGCCCATTGACCATGGAGTGCTCTTTCAGTGCGACAGGACCTACTGGCTCGTTGGACTTACTGGCGACCTGGGTCTATCGCTTTGTTTGTGGATGATAACGAAAGGTGCCAGGTTCATCGCTATTTCGAGTCGTCATCCAAAAGTCGATCCCGCATGGATTACGCACTTTCGGTCTTTGGGCGCTACAGTCGAGGTGCTGACTTGCGATGTGACAGAATACGAATCCATTGAAGCTACACTTGGTAGTATCGAAGTCAGTATGCCGCCAATTGCTGGAGTCTGTCATGGTGCAATGGTGCTGCAAGATGCACTGTTTCACGATCTCGACCCAGCACGGATGGAGCAGGTGTTAAAGCCGAAGGTCAACGGAGCAGTGAACCTTGACAGGGTGTTCCGAAAACACTCACTCGACTTTTTCATAATGCTTTCATCGGTCGCAGCCATCACCGGAAATCCTGGCCAATCAGTCTACGCTGCCGCTAACGGGTTCCTGGCTGGTCTCAGTGCTCAACGGCGGGCGCGCGGCGATTGTGCTTCGACAATCAACATGGGTGCAATTCTCGGTGCCGGTACCACACGTGCTCTTACAACTGCTCAACAAATCTCTCTCCAGAAAGCCGGCGTCATGTGGACATCGGAGCAGGATTTCCATACTGCATTCGCCGAGGCTGTCGTTGCAAATCGATCGTGCTCCGACTCAAACGGCGAATTCACTACCGGAGTGCGTATCTGTAATGTTGATGAGGAATTCAAGCCGAAACACGCGAGCAGTCCTATCTTTTCCCATATGTTGTTGCGCACGAACATCCTCGCGCAATCGAACGCATTCGCTCCAGCAGCAGAAACTGTGAGGGCTCGGTTGCTCCAAGCTACCGATGAAAAGATGTTGTTGCAAATCCTAGCTGGTAGCTCACACCCTGAAAGATATTATGTTGACAATGCTAATTATTTACAGAATCCCTGACCTCCAAGCTACGGAAAGCACTCCAAATGTCCCCAGGCTCGACTGTCATTGACGAGACAGCCGAAAGCTTGGGCATCGACTCGTTGATAGCCATCGAGATACGATCTTGGCTGCTAAAGGAGCTGAGTGTTGATCTGCCGCTTTTGATCGTTATCGGTGGTAACAACATGCGGCAGGTGCTGGAAGCATGTCGTGCCCGCCTCGATCCAGCAATGACGCCATTGCTTGATGCAGAATCGGGTCAAACGACAACAAGCGAAGTGTGGCAGTTACAAGACGATAGTAAGGTGTTGGTTTCTTCTCAAGAAGAGATTCCAGTCATATCTGCGCATACGAACGTTCACCCTGCTGGTACAAACAATCCCAAGATTGTCGAGATAGTTGCAACACTGGTGGAGAATCCCGCAGCCCCAGTACAAGAGAGACGAACGCTGGTCACGGCCAACACACGACCACATGATGCCGAGCTCGCGTCCAGGCCAGACATCACAGGTACCGAGCAGATGTCCCCAGAAGATGTGTTAGAGAACGGATGTATTACGGTCCATCATCGTCATCCGATCAGTTTGAGCTGCAGTAACGAGGGTGACAGCAGGTCGACTGAGCAGATGGGTGTGAAGAGTGGCATTGTCAACGTTAGCAGCGTGTCTGGGAATTCGCCCCAATCACTCGTCGCAACGCATCGCAAAGGGCTTTTTTCGCGTATATTGCGGTCACGCAGGCTTACAAAGATTCGACAATACATATAGAACGGGTGGACCCGGTGTCCAAGAATCAAACAAAATAACAACCTTGTCTTCATCAAAACTTGCTAGGACGGCAGGAGCAAGAAGACGACAAAATACATACAACAGCGGGTATTCGCTAGTGGCCACCTACCTAATTACTAATCCGCCGGTACGTTGTTTAAGTAAGGCTGCGCGAACGGGAAGCCTTTTTGTCTCCTGTCCAGTTGTCACAAATGCCCTTAATTTTTCTGTTTACGGTAAATGGGAGTCTGGCAACAGGAAGCGGGCAACTCAAAACAGGAGTACCGGTATGCGCGGCTTGCTTGTAATCTACGTTACCCGTGAAGTACGTTATAACATATAGCTGAACATTATAGTCATAGCCGAACTTATATCCTCTAACGTAGAGCATTGGAATTACAATGTCCTAGCTCAGGTCGATAGTCTTATGCTCTTCCACGGGACAAAAACCTATTGCCATAGCGGATTATTACTTTGCCCTCCTCCTCAAATCCCCACCCATCTAGAACTAGCGTCTGATCTGGCAAACTCCACGTTGCGTGATAGATCTATCCCCAAAAAGTCACTGCGTCAGCGACACCTTTTATTCCGTCAAACTTTGAGCAGAGAAGATCTCATACCTGTTCGTTCATGGTAATACTCAACAAAAACGGGGTGACAGCAGGCTCTCCTTCGGGTCCATAATACGTGATCGTCCAGTCCCCTTCGATCGTGTCGCCGGCTTTAACAGTACCGTCAGCGGATGCACGCCGAACGGCGCGGCCTGTCCCTGTTTGACCCTGGCCGACTATACGCGACGAGACCCATCTTGCGTCGATGATGGGTTCGCCAGCAGGGTCGTGGCCAAATGTGTAGCGCACGATACCGTCGAGGGCGGAGAGTTCTTTCTTGATGGCAGCGGTATCCATAGTAGATGACCGGAGATGTGCGATAGTTTTATAAATACTGATGCTTTTCGAGAATTGCAGATCTCAACTAAAGGCAGATGAATTGGTAACTGAAGGATTAGTTGGGCTTGTTGTTGTTATAGCAGAACCTCTTGGTAGCGCTATCTTGTCCTCAGCCGAGAATAGTACTGAGTAAATGATAACCGACACGCTGTAAAGGAGTATAACAGCACTTACAACCATGCTTACATCGAGCATCATGACAGGTTTCATCTAGCCGAGGTACCGTGGCCGTGCGCCCGATGAGCCAGTTCAGCCAATGAGCCACCCGGAACATCACAACATTAAGATACCCACAACTCTAACGCATCACAACTCTACTAACGTGTTTTATAAGCGAGTCGTCAATACAAGCGAGTCGTCAGCCCCACCAACTTTGATCACCTCTTCCATCTCAACGTGCAATGGCTCCACGCTACGCTTCTTAAGCGCCTTTAAATGAAGCTAATATTCATCTTGCTATTAATTCTATTAAAGCCCAGCAAATTAGGTCTGAAAGCTGCGCTGCTGTAGTCTATAATGTCCCTTGTATGACAATGCGCGACTGACGCGCTGGCAAGCCTGCACAACGCAATTGCCAACCCAACTTAAAGAAGCTTACTAAGCTAGAAGAGGAGGTAATTGTAGTCTATATACTTGATCTGGATCAACGTGGTTTTGCGCCTACGTACGCAGCAGTGCGTGGTATGGCTAATAAGCTGCTGGCTGCGCGCAGTGTTGGTCACGTTAGCGTCCACTAGCCACGCAACTTTGTTAAGCGATCAGACAAGCTTACAACGCGTTTCAATTAAGCGTACAATAGGCAGAGAGCCTTGTGTAAGGATCCTGCCTTAATTAGCAGCTAGTTTAAGCTTATAGAGCAGACAAAGGCAAAGTAGGGGATCTGTAACAAGGACGTCTACAACTTTAACAAGGCTAACTTTATAATAGGCAAGATCACAACTTAGCTTGTTGTAACAGGGTTAGAGAGGAGAGGCAGGCTAAAGGCTGTTTAGCCTGGCAATCGCGAGTGGGTGACAGTTATTGCTGCAATCAACGCTGCTGGCTAGACAATCCCACCCTTCCTTATCTTTGCTGGCTAATACCACTTGTCTGCCTGGTACAAGGAGGCAGAGATCCCACGCGACTGGGCGATTGCAGTCAGCGACAACAGCTGGACGAACAACGAGCTTGGAGTTGAGTGGCTGAAGCACTTCAACGCTCACACGAAGACTTGTAGTGTGGGTGCGCGTCGCCTGCTTGTCCTTGATGGCCATGAGAGCTACCACTCTCTTGAATTTCAAGAGCTTTGCAAGGAGAACAATATCTTCACGCTCTGTATGCCGCCTCACTCATCTCATCTGCTGCAGCTGCTTGACGTTGGCTGCTTCTCGCCGTTGAAGCGCGCGTACAGCCGTGAGATTGAGGCTCTGATCTGCCACCACATCAACCACATCACCAAGCTTGAATTCCTGCCAGCCTTTAAGGCAGCCTTTAATCGCACCTTTACAACAGCTAATATCTGCTCAGCCTTTCAAGGCGCAGGCCTTGTCCCTTACCAGCCAGATGCTGTCTTGTTAAAGCTAAACGTGAAGCTGTGTACACCTCCTTTGGCTGCTCTACTAGAGGCTGCCTACTAGCAGGCTCAAACACTAAGTAACGTACATGAGCTTAAGGCTTAATTAATGTTAATTTGTAAGCGCATAAGAAAGCATAAGAGCTCCTTATCTGCCTTAATTATTAAAGTAATTAATTAGCTTAAGAAAGGAGCTAAGGTGATAATACTCTCTGCTAAGCTTATGCGCGATCAGATTGCCAGCCTTAAGAGAGCTAACAAGGCAGCCTTAGCGCGTAAACAGCGCAAGAAAAAGCAACTCTAGAAGCAAGGAGTCTTGACAAAGGGAGCTAGAGAGGATATACTCGCTCAGCGTAAGGCTGATCAGCAGGTTGCCTGTGTAGAGCCTCAAAGTGGAGAGCAAGCAGGCCTCAGCCGCCAGGCTCTTGCGCGCTGCAGCAGGTGTAGAGAGACTAGGCATAACGCAAGAACGTGTAAAAAGGACTTTATAGATCCTGCTTAAACTAGTATATTAATATTTATATACTGCCTTACAACGTGGTTGAGTTATACGCTTAAAGAGGTGATTAAAGTTGGTGGGGCTGACGACTTGTTTGTATTGACGACTCGCTTCATCGGGAAAAGTTTTTCAAAATCCGGCCTAGACCGGCCGTTGCTGACAGTCGTGGCATGGTCGTGCAACGGCTGTTTAACGGCCCCAACAGCCCCAATTTGCGCCTAACAGCCCTAATTTCGCGCTAATGTTGCTAACAGCTAAAATGCTAAGTGCCTATATTTAATAAACTTAAAACAACGTTGCAATATTGTTGCATAGCTACCCTTAGTAGTGCTAGCACTAGCATTAAATATTTAAAAATTGCGAAATTTCACCTATAGATAGAGCGAAATTGTAGCTTTAAAATAAGCAAAAAATGATTATTGTAGGCCTACTACAACGCAAGTTATAACGTACTCCACAAGCATGCCGGTCACCCAAGTGTACCGGTCACTTTTGCCAAGACCACACCAAACTTCACTCTACTAACAATGCCTTAACGCAGCAACATAAAAAAGCTCTCTAATGAAGCAGACATACAGCTTGCTCTCCAGGCTATCTAACAAGACGCGACGCTCTCTCAGCGACGCGCTGCAGCAATCTACAACGTCTCTCAAAGCACGCTTAGTGACCGACTTGCTAGAGCCACCCCACGCTGCGACTACACACCTAATACTATGAATCTTACAAAGAACAAAGAGGAGGTAATTGTCCAGCACGTGTTGAGGCTAGACGAGCGAGGATACTCGCCCTAGCTTGCTGATGTAGAGGATATGGCCAATTCTCTGCTTGCTGAGCGCCACCAGCCCTATGTTGGCAAGAACTAGGCTGCTAACTTTGTTAAACGTCAGCCAGAGCTCAAAGTCAAATTTAATTGCAAGTATAACTATAAGAGAGCTCTGTGTGAGGATCCTAAGGTAATTAGGGACTAGTTCTAACTAGTAGAGAATACTAAAGCTAAGTATAGTATACAAGATAAAGACACCTACAACTTTAATAAATCTAGCTTTATAATAGGCGTTATATTAACAGGAGCTGTTGTTACAGGCTCTAAGCGTTAAGGGAGACTAAAGACAGTGTAGCAGGGCGACTAAGAGTAGACCAGCATTATCTAAGGCATCTGCGCGAAGGGCTGGTCTATCCCACCCTTCATTATCTTCTCTAGCAAGCACCACCTCTCTGCCTAGTACAAGGAGCCTAGTATACCTAATAACTAGGTTCTTAATATCTCTAACAATAGCTAGACTAATAACAAGCTTAGAGTTAAGTGGTTAAAGCACTTTAATAAGCACACAAAGGCGCGCACTGTTGGCAGCTATTAGCTGCTTATTCTGGACGGCCACGAGAGCCACAACTTAGTTAAATTCCACCAGTACTGCGAGGAACACAAGATTATTACCCTGTGTATGCCTCCACACTCGTCGCACCTACTACAGCCACTTGACGTAGGCTGTTTTTCTCTGTTAAAGAAGGCCTATAGCTGCCAAGCTAAGCAGCTAATGCGCAGCAAGATTACGCGTATCACTAAACTTGAGTTCTTGCCATGCTTCAAAGCAGCTTTTGACGCCTCAATCACAGAGAGTAATATCTAGGGAGGATTCAGAGGTGCTAGCCTAGTCCTACTTAACCTAGAGGCTGTGCTATTAAAGCTTGAAGTACAGCTGCGCATGCCAACGCCACCTACTGTGGACAACAGTACGTAGGAGTCTAAAACACTAAGCAACACCCTAGAATTTAGGTCTTAATTAAAGCTAATTTAAGAGAGGATTTAGAGACACGCTGATAGCTTGCCAACGTCTATAGTTAACGCTCTTAATT